CTTTACACATTTCTTGAGAGCTTATCTTTATTCATTCTCATTTCCTGTAAGCCTACCAATTTAAAAATGTGGAGAGGTAAATTGCCTCTGAATCTGGGCTTGTAGAAATAATAGGTTGTTTTTACAAACAGTGTTGTTAAACTATTGCGCTATTTTTTTCAATAGCAGTAGATTTAACGTGCTACTTTAAAAAGAAATAGCTGTAGCTCGCTACTAATTTGAAAATAGCGAAGTAGCTCTCAATTTTATATAATAAATTCACCAAAAATTAATAAAATATATATATTTATAATTTTATAAATTCTAAAATCATAATTTAATTTTAATTTTGAAATTTAAATTTTGCATTATAAATCTGCTTTCAAAATAATTAAAATTTAAAAAGTCGACAATAGAAATTTATATTAAAGATAATATTGTTACAGATTATATCGACAATTATAATAATATGAGAATTCTATTTCCTAAATTCGCAAAATATTGTAATCTCGATAAATAAATTAATACAGGGTATAAATTTCGTTGTAAGATGTGTCTTAAGAGTTTATTATCAAACAAGATTCATAGCTTCAACTTGAGGGAATAAGAGTAATATATCAAACACATTTAATATCAATATATAGGCCAATCCTTAATCTTTAAAATAAAATTTGAATCACAGTTTTTGAGCTAGATGAGTTTATGTGAAAGTTAATTTTCTGGCCCCTTCCAAACAATCTGGATGTTAAAGATGCTTAAAATTAACCACTCATCTATTTATAGATTTATAAATTTTATCAAAAGAGGCTAAATACGTATTTCAATCCTTTCATATTTTGACCAATTTTGAGAGAAATTGATTCAATGGAAAGGGGGGTGGCTTAGCCAGTCAGCAATTATGGCCATTTATGCCACTTATCCCCTACATAATTTTTATTCTAGCTATTACTGTTAAAATTTTAGACTGACCCTAGCTAGATCGCCACCTATTTTTTTGAAATAAATAATAATAATATTGAAAATCCTCTAAACGCATTTTTTTAAATCTAAAAATACTCAAATAAATATTTTTGATGATTTTTCTTATATAAAAATGTTAAATTTAATACTACATTACCCTAAAGTTCTAGTGCTGAACGATTATTTAGTCAAAGCTTATACTTACTGATCGTCGTTCTAGACTTAGGGATGACAGTATAGAAATGTTAATATTATTGAAATGCAATATAATATAAATAAATTATATATATATTTAAATTTTTAGTCATATTTTATACCAATGGTACTATTTTGAAAAAATAGAGCGATGCGCGCTACTTATAAAAGCAGTGTTTAACAATACTGTTAATAGCATACTTACATTTCCAAATCTTTTATATATACAACTGGGATTTATGATTTACCAACATATGTGATTTATCACCCATTTGTTATTCCCCAACTAGTGACACACCATTAATTCCCTGCCATTTGGGGAGGGGAGGGGGTGTTAGTTTAGCTAGGTACAAAATTTATAGTTCGAAAAATAGTATACTTTACCCATGAAATTAACATATATATTTATATTACTATATATTGAATAAAGAAGCTAATTTTTATTTAATCGAATTAATCAAATCCCAGAATTCCCCTTAATTACAATTATAATTTAACATTGTTCGCATTTATATCATTTGTAATTTATTCTTTACATGTTTCTGTAAATTGATAATAATCTTTTTTATATTAAGATAACCTTAACCTCTATTTTGTTTAAAAGAGAGTTTATTATATGTTGGAATTTTAACAAAGAAACATGGAGGGGGGGAGGGGTGTATGATAAAAAATCGACATTAAATCTTAAGACTTATGGGGTATGATATTTAAGGCATATTTTTGAGATCCTTTAGAGGATGGGGTGATGTTTTATAAAGAGAAAGTATATGGCCATTAAGAGAACGGTTTATAATTCAGTACAATTGTGTAGAGGAAAAATAATCTTCTTAAGTGTCATTCTGCAAAACTTCTCCAGTTAAAGAGATTTTATTCTACCAATAAATTATTAAATGAGAAGAGATAATTAATTTTTATTTTAATTATACACAAATTTATGTAAATTAAATTCAAAATAGGACAATTGACAAAATATCATAAATATTTTTCCTACAATAAAACAAAAATTTTGATTGGTTTATTTATTTATCTACTTGCCAATGTTAAAATAAAAATGATTTCGAATCTAAATTTCTACACAAGTTTCAACAAATAATTCACACTTGGAGTGAGTCTCCAAGTTTAAATTTTCTAGTTAAAATGCAATATATTATACAACTGATTTAATTTAACTGTTTGATATAGAAATTCGAAAATTCGATCTAATCTAAATAAATATTATCTCATCCCAATGTTTGCTCATGTAAAAGAAATAATTACAAAATTATAATCAATCTTATAAAAAAGTGATTCAAAAATAATTAAAATGTTATAATATTTAAAAATAACTACATTTGTTTATATTGATTTGTTTAATCAGGACTGGAACTAGAACCTTTTTTAAAATTTATTTATTCTTTCTGTTATCTTTTTTCATTCACTAATAACTATAGGTTCGTCATTTCTAAAATGGGATTAGTTGAATAGACAGTTTATTAGGTATTCATTATGTATGCCATAATATTATGTCGAGTTATAAATAATTAATAATTTGTAATAAATGACTGAATTGAATAATTTATATAATATTTATATTTATTTTGAATTATAATTCAATAAAAACGCAGAAAAAATTTGCAAATATTTTTGCTTTGGAGGCTGGGAAATATTTAGGGTGACTAGCCCAATTTGTCATTCCGTAGCCAAGGCCCAATGTTAAAAAATTTGAATTTACAAGGCTCTACCTTAAAGTATTCTAAAAATAATTTATTACAAAAAAATAAGTCAGTAACAATATCCCCCCCCCCTTTACTAAACCCAAAGAAAGAAAAAGCAAAACAATGAAAATATGCAAAAGAAATCAGGTTAGTAAAAAAGAAATCCAAAATAAAATTGGCACACTCCTTACCCTTTTTATATTTATTTACCCCGTCCCTTTTTATCCATTCAATCTCAAGGACAATCTTGTGACATGCCCCCTTCCAAGGTAGAAGTGCCTCCTGAAACGAAGTATCTTAGCTAAAACTATAAAAAAAATTAGTTTGGTATTCGAGAGGTGTTTGAGTCAAAATATGTTTTAAACCATTTTATTCATAATGTGTAAAAAAATTATAAAAACTCTATAAAAATTAGTTAAAATCACAATTCAACCCATTATTAAATATATTCTTTAAAAATTACACATAAATATATTAAAATATATAATTTCCATCTATAATTTTATATTTTATTTTCCCATTTGTCAAAAACAATTAATATATTTATTAGAACTTCATTCTTGAGGAATTTTGGAATACACTAGAGGGGATTTTTTGATGAGAGCGGGGTTTCAATGTCTACCACACTTTTGCATAAGATATTGAAGAATAAATAAATAAAAGGTTATAAAAAAGTTTTCGTTTAAAGTATAAAGATTGTAAATTCTGTTTGATAATGTATTGTTATATTAAATTAAATATTAGATGTTTACAAAGCGCGCCATAGATGTACAAAGCTCCAATTATTTATTAATATTATCTGGAGGAACCCTTCCATGTATTTATTTTAAAAAATTGGTTTATAACTTTATTTATACATATAACTTGACATAAATAATTTCGCATAGCCAAAACAAATTAATACATAGTAAAATAATAAATCAATATAAAAACAATAAAAAAAAAGTAAAAGCAACAAAAATATTTAAATAATAAATCCTAGATTAGCAAATTTTAAAACTTAAATAATCTATAGCTAGTGTTTTTTCTGAAAGATCTGATATTGCGAAAATCGTATTCTAGCATATATAGAATATCTACTCCGTGAATTAAAACAATTTTGTCATGAAATTCTGGGTTAACCCATAAGTTATAAATAATATTGGTTACATTGATATAAATTTAAATTCATTTAAATTAATCCTAATTCTAAATTCATGATAAAATAAAATGTATAAGCTAGGTTATAGATTAGATACACATATTGGAATACAATTTGAGCAAAATAATTATTTATTTAAAAAATGTGTGCTGCAAATGATTTAAATTTTAAAGATTATACCCTTCAAAATATATACATGTTCCTTGTATTAGGGACTATAATGTTTAATTTATTATATAATTTAGTATAAAATATTCTTTCAATAAAATTTTTGTATTGTAACATAATGTTATTATATTATAGATCAAACACTAAATTTATTCTCGGATACAAAATATGATGGCATGACTTAATTAATCTTTATTTTTGCCTTAATTATAAAAGGTGCAAAATAAAAATAGTGCCTCGCTATAACAAAAAAAACGCTCTAATTTTTTATTCATGAAAATTAAAATAAATGCAAAATTACCAGGACATTGTTTGATGGTGAAAATATATTGGTAAATATTTCCTTGCAAATTCAGATCGCCATTAATTCCAGTAAGAAATGCGCTGGATAATTCTTGTTCTAAGGTTCTATTATTTCCGTCTATTTGTGATATCATAATAGCATTACGATTTTGTACTATTGCATTCTATAATAAATCAAGATAGGAAATTGAAAATGTATGATATAAAATTTTTGTGATTTAAGAAACTCACTTTTTCTCCTGTGACCAGTGGATTTTTACATTTTACTATAGGTATGATCTCATTGTATTCGAGAAAACAAATGGTGAAAGGGCATGCTGTATTACTGGCTTTCATTGTAGCCACCAACTTTATTTTTAAAAAAAATTAAATACAAAATTAATAATTATTTAACATTGCTTTTGATGTGTAATGGATATTGATTTATTAACCATATAATTGATTCTATATTTTCAATGGATAAAGAGTTATTTTTAGTCTTATCAAAAATATCTGTGCCATCTATTTTTATCATAATATCTTCATGCATTTTGATAATTTGTAAATGTTCGGGGCTATTATTAAAAATAAATTATGTTAATTTTGCATATTCTATATATATATTTGTATTCATACAATATATTAGGCAAATCAACTCCCAATATATCTTTCGAATAAACAGTTTGCCAATCATTGTTTTCGATCTTTTCACAAATATCTACGGGTCCTAATAATATTTAAAGTATAAAATAAGTCCTATAACATGATATCTATTATTAAGTATCTTAAAATCATTATAAGAATATTTTTACTTTTATAAGCAGTTGTAACAACAGGTGTCGTTGATTTGGTTTTACTCTCTAATGTTGATATAGTTTAGAATAATTATTATTTGAATGATAAAAAAAAACTTTAGCCATGTACTCTTATCTCATTTATGATTATATTTAAGCTTCTCTAATGAAGAAAACATTGTCTATATAGTTGTTAAACGGCTCGATTTGTGCTGATTTTTAAAAACGATTAACTCGATATGTTAGCCAGAAAAATATTGCCTAAGCCTCGAGATTTACCTAATATATGTCCAAACCTTTGTGTCATTGATGAGCAGAATCTTTAGGCTTGCGTAATATTTTCCTGAATTAAAACATTGAGTTATCCGTTTTCAAAAATCGGCTCAAATTGAGCCGTTTAACAACACTATCTATATATAATGATAATATTGTTTAAGAAAATAGCGCAACCAATTCTAAAGATAATATCATGCTTATTTAATTTTATACAGAGAACTTTTTTTGGATTAATATTCTCAAAGTAGAGTTGTCAAATCAAGAGTGCATTTTAATTTATTGGTAGCTTATTACAAAAAGTATATATTATTATTTTAATCATTATTCTAAAAGTAAGATTAAATAAAAACATTTTATATACCTGTGGAAGTTTTAGTAAAATTAGATAGGTAATCCGTTGAACCTAGATATTTAAAAAACATGCAATCAAGAAAATTAAAATTTGTTAATCAAATGGCCATAACTTTTAATATTTTAAAGAAACCAAATGTTAAAAATATAAAAATACACAAAATTTCAAAAATATGTTTTGGCCACATTTTCAATTTCTATTAAAAATTTTTATTAATGTTATTCGATAAAGTTTCTCCAGATGATCCAGCTTCTATATAATTATTTATTCCTCCTTGAAAATCACACACAAAAGTAAATAAAACTTGGAGCTGAAGAATATTGAATATAAATAATTTTTTTTAATTTGTGAAGGCCTTAATTTATTGATATTATTTGTAGTTAAAACTTCTTTTTTTACAGATGGAGGTTCCTAAAATTTTGAGGTATTTTGAATCAAATTCAATAAGCCATATCTTTTCGTATAAAATATTTAACAGAAACTTTTTTTAAAAAATTTAAATATGCAGGCAATTTGCTATGAGTCAAATTTCATCTTTGAGATACATTTTTTGGATGCGATGGCATAAATGTTGATAGTTGGAAAATGTTATTTTTGACAATTATCTAAAAAAGGGCTACAATTTAAACTCAAAAGGACGGTCGGAAGTTTTAATGGGTTAAAAAAATATAGAGTAATTTTTTTTTAAAATAATAATAAATTTAAAAATAAAAGTATATATGGAAACAGTTGATTCGCCAGATAATTCAGATTCAATGCTACTATCTATTCCCATGTAAGTAAAATTTAAACAAATTACCATAGGGGTTACTTAAATTTATTAGCAAAAATATTTTTTTAAATATTAGTTGCATAAAAGAGGTTTTTATACTATAAATAATATAAATTGAGGCTTTCACAAATAAAAACATATTTCTTACAATCTTCTCGGACCCCAGTTATTTGATATTTTGCAGTGTGTTTGAGGGTAATTAAAATTTGTAAAAGAAATTTAGTTAATACATTAAATTTTCATTTTACAATTGGGATTACATATTGAATAATGCATTTATATTGTGTTTCTTCTGATTTAAATAAAATTTCTTTACTAGATAGTTAGTAGAAATTGTAAGATAGGAGAGACTGGGGTTAAGTAAACCCTAGGGCTTGGCAAACCACTTAATCTCGTTTTAAAATTAAAAAGACTAGAATGTTTAAATATTATCCTAATATAGCTTTTATTAGTATACATCTATAGACAAAAAATCCTTTGAAATAATTATGTTATTTATGTAATATATATTTGAAGTATAAAATCCAAGATATTTAAATTATATAATTTTAATTTTTATTAAAATTTAATTATTTATATATAAATTAAATTTTATAGCAGTTTTAACACTTTTTATAATTTGAGATAGATTTATAAATATTTATTATGTCTAGATATTGTTTAAATCAGGGTTAATAATTTATAACTAGCGGGGCTTGTTAAACCATGTCAATCCCATGTTCAAACTTCGATAAATTTTTTATATTTCCAGAATGTTTATTAAAGTAACCAAAATTAAGTTATAATTTATAACTAACTTCAATTTAAGAGTATTATGATATTTTGATCAATTAAACATTGTAATTATTCTAACGTATCATTATTAATAAAACGTCCCTTTCAATTTATTATAACCTAAAAAAACAATGGTTTTGAAAGTCCCTTGAAGTGGTTTGCCTAACCCTGCTATTAGGGCTTGTTGGGCAAAATTCAAAAATATGCTTATATTCTTAAATTTTTTTATAAGGCACCAGTAAAGAGTATGTTGTTTATAATATCTAAAAACAGGAGTTATAGCCGATTTTGCAAATCGGTTTGACTAGCCCCGGTCTCCACTATATTTAATTTTTAAAATAATAACCAGATCCGAAAGGAGTTGTTTCATTAACTGTTACGACAGTTTTAGTGGTTGTATCTAGGCATAAATAAATGAAAAATATAAATTGATGGTTAATTTGCAAATATATTTATAATTGAATTATGGTCATAACAAATTTTATGCTACTCTTGCATACTAAGATAAATATAATTATTCTTGAAAAATACTATATCATAGCTTTAGTGTTAAATAGCGCTATATAGAATTATAAAATTTTAAGGTAATTTAATACGAGTTATTAATTCACATCTAATTGCACAAAATATTTGATAAAAACATTCATTAAAATTTAAATATATAGGTCATTTTTTGCAATGAGTCTAATTATCAGAGATATTTTAAAATTCAAAGGCGCTGAGAGATGTTGGTAGTTGAGAATTGTTATTTGGAACAATTATCTACAAAAAAAGTGCTACCATTTAAAAATTATTCAAACTCATAATATAATTACAAAGTTGATCAATTGTTAAATCAAATCTCATCCATTGAAAATTTATTTAATTGTTTTTCACTTTTAAAAAGATCAACCCATTCTTATACCCAATTCAAATTTAATAAAATTAGCTCTCGCAATAGGAAATAAGGTTATCACATTGCAAAAATCAGTAAACAATTTGTGTAAATAACATTAATCCCCAAATCGACGGTTAGCTAATTGCATTGGACTTGCATGGTGTTACAGGAAACAATGTTAACCTAATAGCTTAATGCTTTATATAATAACTTCTTTTTTATTTTTATATATGAGGATAAATTTAAAAATCAAACCAGATACTGAAACAGTTGATTCTCCAGATGATTCAGCTCCAATGGTACTATCTATTTATTTTTAAGTAAAGATTAAACAAATTTCTATAGGATTTACTCTCATTTATTAGCAAGGATATTTATAATTAACTATTAGTGGTATAAAATAGAACAGATTTAATATACTAAAAATAATATTTCTAAATTGAGTCCTTCACAAATAAAAAATATATTCTTAATAAAATCTTATTCGGCTCTGATTTTTATTTGTTTTTTTAGTCATTTTCAAGGAGAGACTTAAAATTTATAAAAAAAATCAGTTAATACGACAGATTTCCATTTAATGGGATCTCATATTGAATAATCGATTTACATTGTTTTTATCTGAATTATAGGGAAATTTATTTTCCATTTTTTTCTGAATTCATGGTTTAGTAAAAAAAATATGAAATATATTAATTTTAATATAATGACCAGATCCAAAAGTAGTTGTTTCCTTGGCTGCTACGACAAATTTAGTGGTAGAGTCTAATGATAAACAATAAAAAATATTTTTGCTAATGATTAGATACTAATAATTAATATTATGCTACACTTCTACAACAGAATAATTTCTTATACACCAGAAATCTACTATATTGTAATTAGTTAAAGTGAGCTACATGGAAGTATATAAATGTGATAGATTGATACAAGTTTAATAATTCACACCTATTCGTATAAAAATATTAGAAATATTTTTTAAATTTAAATATCTTTTATTTTTATTGTGAGCCAAATTTTATCAAACAGATTTTGAGAAACTATTTTAAGGTGGGATGCTAAAGATATTTGTAGTTGAAAATATTATATTTGACCATTATTCAAAAAATAGGCGCTAAAATTTAAAGATAAACTCATTAAATAATTTTACAAAGTCAATCAGCTATTAAATAATATCACAATCATGATTACTTAGTTCTTATTTCTTTAAAAGATCTACTCATTCTTATACCCCATCCATTAAAGAATAAACTATAAATTTTTTAGTAGGAATTAATGTTATCAAATGTACATGTCTAAGATAAATTGCAATAATTATTAAACATTGAAATAACATTAATTCCAGAATTCGATGGATAGCTAATTGTTTAGAGCAGGAAATAATACGAAAAGTATGATAGTTAAAATAATCAATTGAATAACTTTTTTTAAATAGTTATAAATTTAAAAATTAAACCTGATACGGAAACCGTTGTTTCTCCAGATGATTCCGTCTCAATGGTACTATCTATTCCTATTTAAGTAAAATTTAGCAAATTACTAAAGGATTTACTATCATTTATTAGCAAGCATATTTTTAATTAATAATTACTGGTATAAAAGAAGTTTTAACTACAAATAAGATCCATAAATTTGCTCTCACAAATTAAAATATAGGGGGATTTAAAAGTTATATAAGAAATTCAGTTTATATAAATATTTTTCTATTTTAAAAGTTATAATATTGATTAATATATTTATATATTTTTTCACTGATTTTTATTAAGATTTATTTAAAGGAACCTTTTGTGGGAAATATGGGATATATTTAGACCTGTGCGCCGATGTCTCAATCGACGGCGGCATTATTTATTTTATTTTTTCATGCGCGCCGATTTCGCCGCCTCCTACTAAATTGTCGCCAACGGCGGCGCGATATTTATTTTAAAAAAATTTTAATTTATAAATCAATGTATTTTTTAATGAATTTAATTTATAAATCAAAGTATTACATTTTTTTATAATTTATTTGGGCGCTCTTTTCTAACATATTGTTAACATAGTTTAATACATTTCTTAAAATATTTCCTGTCTCACTCCAATTTAAATTTATGTATTTTCTCATTCTCAAGATTAAACTATGGAATTGCATTTTTACTCAGATCAGAGTCACATAAACAACACATATTAGTAATATTCTTTTGATTTTTATTATAACAAATTAAAATATAAATTTGGAATGCAAGCAAAATATAAAGTATGAAATATAATAAATCATTCAGATTCAGCAAAATTGTAATTGTCATGAATAAATATATTTTATCAAGATTCGTGGGACATAAAGAAGTCCTTTTTGCATTGAGTATTAATCCAGCAATGGAAATTTTTTTTGCAGGTATACACAAAGAACCTTCCTAGTTAAATTAGCATAGGAAGTTCTCGTCGCTTTTTCTTCCAAAAGGTTAATGTGAATCCTCTTCTGGGATAATAAGTTGGCTGAGCAAAATATGAAATTCTTGTTCTATATTACTAATGTTGTTATAATCGTTGCTTAGAAGGTAATGTTTACGAGCTATTTAACTGTATAAGAACTGGATGCTTGCCCATTATTTTCAACTTGAATCTCATCTGTGCATTTCTATCATGCTCTAAAAGTTTTAAATGTCTAATTAAAAATTGCAATGATGTCGTAAAATTCGAATTAAATATTCTGAAACAATTTTAAGATTTTGAAATCTGGAATCAAATAGAGTCGCTAATATCCAATGTTTCAAATATAATTTAATTAGTAAAAATATAAAATAACTTAAAGTTCAGTAATGGAAAACCTATTGTCAAGCTTTTTTTTATATTTTCTTTTAAGCTAAAGAGTTTTAAAGATTGTTTCTTATTTTATTCAGAACATTATTTATAGGAATTTTGCATACACTACGAACACTTTCTAGCATAATTAATATGTTGTGTCAGCGGGTAGGGCAATTTAATTAAAGTTTCTGTATTAATTAAATTGGTTGGTGCAATGCCATTTCTGTTATCCGATTCATGACATATCAAAATGGTCATCAAAGTATGGATTAGAATCATCAATATCCAAGATATGACCTGTCTCATAAATAGACGGAAGACATTTACGATGCTCTTCTTCAACTTCACATTACAAATCAGCTACTCGATATCTGAGGGCTGAAATAATTTCCCTAATTTTTTTAATGACAATATCAATAAAATTGATTATGTTTATCCGAATCTTGCTGATCTTATTTTCCCAATTTTAAGCAAGGTTCACAATAAATATAATCAGGCATTATTGTGCTTTCCTTATTCTCATTTTTTAAAAAAGATTTCCAAATTACCTCCAGACATAACTTGATTTATGATTAGTAGAGAGAGTTGTTATTTCAGAATTGTATATAGGGTAGTTTAAAACGTGCAAGTCCATTAAAATAATTAATTTTGTGGAAATGAAATAAGATATATGAATATATGTAAATTATATACACTATTCTATTATATATAGCAATAGAATACAATTCATATGTTAATTTTATTAATGACAATATTCAAATTTAAATAATAATAATTTAATGTATAAATATATTAAACAGCAATCTAAAAATTATACACGCCGCGCCGCCGCCATCCTTAATCGGCGGCTGTTACGGCATGAATAAAATTGATGGCGGCGCACAGGTTTAGCTATATTTAATTTTTAAAATAATAACCAGATCCGAAAGGAGTTGTTTCTTTGGCTGTTACTACAGGTTTAGTTGTAGAATCTAGTGTCAAACAAATGAAAATTAAATGACGGAATTTTTATAATTCTATAAATCAGGGCCTAGAAATAAAAAGTTATGACTCAATTATGATTTTAAAAAAAATAAACATCTACACATATATATTTTATAAATCGACTGGACTAGTTTAAAAATTATCTGACAGATGATTAAAACATTAGCCTATAATATTGTATAAATTTCATCGAAAGAACAAAATTATTTTGAATAACTAAATTTTTAAATCCCTGGATAGGTCAAAAAAATAGAAATCGGACAGTGTTGGACTCAAGATTATTTAATAAACTCCGACGGGACCTGAAATATACATAGCTATGCACTATCTCCGAATTTACTCATTTCGGATTATAATTATACTTTAGCTATATATTATGATTATAAACTTTTATGAGAAAATATAAAAATCATAACCAGATCCAGCAATAGTTGTTTTTTGCGATGGCGAGCCAGATCTAGTATCAAATTCTATTATTAAATAAAAAAAATTTAGCTTATCGGAAAATTGTAAGTGTATTCGTATTCTAAACCATTTCTCTTTAATATCACACCTTTTTATAGATTTTTCACCTCTTATTATCAATAAAAATTCGTTAAATATATAGTTATAATTAGACCTTTGGACGACCCACATCCATAGCAATTTGTTTTGATAAAATAGGTCTTCAGGAATTGTGAATTGAAATTTCTATTTCAAATGGGTTAAATTTGGTTGTTAAACGATTTGAGCAAATTTTTAAAAACGGCAAACACAATATTTATAAAAATATTAGGGAAGACTAAAGATTTTGCTCATTGATAGATATCCATTAAGCCAGTTCTCCGGGTTTCGGCCATATTTTACAGACTAAAGTGTTAGCCGTTTTTAAATTTAGCTCAGATTTAGCTATTTAACAGCACTAGTTATATTGTATTTTAAATTTTAACAAAAGTTAAAATTAATTTAAAGAGTTTTCTTGTGTATTAATATATTCCCGCGAAGGAATTTATTCCTAAATTACTTTAAACTTAAACATTGATGGATATAAGAAAATTTTATCTTCTAAAAAATATTTTTTATATTTTTTATATTTATCTCTATTATCTAAGATTAGACATAATTTTAAGAGTCTGTGAAATGTTCAGATATCCAAAGATACAGATGCTGAATAATATTATTTGTGAGACTTCTTGTGCTACAAGAAGAATGAAAATGTATGTAAAATTCATTCTCGACATAATGGAGCCAAAGACATCAAACTGTTACCGCATTATGAATATAGAAGCACCTATTTAGAGTCCCCTTAAGGAAATATCAGAATGGCCTGAATCAAATATTTTATCCGAAGCTTATTATTAGATTCAATACGACAAATGATTTCATTTTGCACTGGAATGTAGTAATAAATTTTTTTTATTACACACCTTTTTTTATGCAATTTTTCAAAATTGAGTTTATGAAAATCTCAAATATTATTATAATATAACTTATAAAATTAAGAGATTATATCGACGAATTTCAAGAGTTTTATGTGATTGTTGAGGCGGAAGCTATATATGATTTTGAGAATTCGCAAGCCTTGAATTCCACCTGGACAAACAAATCGCTCTAATATTAATGTGGACTCAATTGAAGATTACTATAAAATAAAGTTTTCATTCTACTGGATACATTTTTGACTCAAATCAATAAACGATTTATGATTCAGATAAAGCCCTTAAAATTTACATATACTATTACCTAGAATCTTACTGATATATTAAATCTTGATATTGCAAAAAGTAAATATTAAGCTCAATTTTATTTACAGGATAAGTGTTTTTGAAAACTAATTAATTTCAGAATTTAAATTTTGGTTAGAAATATTAATTTTATTATAATCCTTCAAAAAAAAATTTGGCGTTTTTCTAAAATATTAAAAAAATTATTATATATTTTGTCAACATTCTTAATTAATACAAGTGCAAATAAGAGGACCTTTTTTTATGGAGAATAAAAACCTATTAAAATAATACATCAGAAAATCGTATGAATGTACCAGATTTTCTCTATATATTGAGATTTAATCCCCAATACAAAAGAAATTTTTGAAATGGCGTAATCGCAAAGAAGATTAAATTAACATTTATGAACGATATTTTGATAAATAAATCATCATATAATGTTTAATTCTATATTTTATTATTATTTATATACAAGTTTTAAGGTATAGTATTTTTTAACTATAATATTTTATTATTTGACAATATACATAATTTATTTGGAGTAAATTTCATATATAAATTTATTTATTAAGGAAAACTCTCCCGATATTATATTTTAAAGTATGGAGAATTGTTTGGTAACCAATATTTTTATCTTTTACATTCTTTAACACTTATTCAAGTATCTCAAATAATACCAGAGATTATATTATAGGAGTTAATTCTACTAAATAATCTTTTAGAATTTAATTATTATATTGAATTATGTGTTTAGGGTATGTTAGATAAGTAAAAAAAAAATTCGAAAGAATATAATTAAAAAAATAATAAAATGTTTTATTATTCTAATCTAAGAAAAGAGTGGAGATTTAAAGTTGATGATATCATTTTATCAACAATATCTAATAACAATATTTATAAATAAACATCTAAATATATATTATGAGCAAAAGGAGATCAATTAAGAATAACCAGATTCTGACTTTCACCGATCAAATATTATCTTCTTTTAAATGGTACTGCCTTTATTTTATATATTTTTTATTTTAAAACAAGTTTTTACATTTAAATGAGTTCCCAGATTTTATTTAAATATTTAAAATTATCTTGACAATTTTTAAGTAAATCAAATCTTTAGGAAAGATCAAGTTTATGTATTTTATTCGTAAATAAGAAATATATATAATTGTTTTTAAAAAATATACCAGATCCGAAAGGAGTTGTTTCTTCAGTTTGTATGACAGTTTCAGTGCCATTTACTATTGATAAATAAAAATATAACGATTAACTGAATTGATATCATTTTGTTATCAAATATTTATAATTTATTATAATTAAAACGAATAAATAAAAATCTCATAATTCATTTAAAAAAAACATAATTAGTTTTGTTTTTTTTTGTTTTTTTTTACATGTACAATAAAAGAGGTTTTTATTCATAAATAATATCTATAAATTGAGGCCTTAAGAAAATGAAAATATATATTTTATCGATCATCTTATTCTCGCTAGTAATTACTTTTTGTGGTTTTTTATAATATATTTATTTAGTGTTTCATCTAAATTAAAATTAATGTCATATATTTAATTATAATAAACCAGATCCGAAATTAGTTGTTTTCTTGGATGTTATGACACTTTTAGTGGTAGTATCTAGTGATATATTAATAAAAAATTATTAATAATAAAAGTTTATATTTATTTTTAACACATTGATCAATTGCTAATTTTTCATTCTACTTTTAAAGAATTTAAGATCAGAATATCGAATTGATTTTTACACAGACATAGACTATCAACTGCATTCCGTACCTCCAAAATATATGCCTATAATTTTTACTTATACATAGACCACCAACTGCATCCTCTTACTTTAAGACAATTTTTAATCTTCGATATTTATGTTATGAAGTTCTCTTTCAAAATGCTGTCCTCAACTCTTCTAATTCATAAAACTGTCATTTATAATCGTAAACCTTCAAAAATATGCCAACAATGTCTTAAACATTTTACCTTCCTTGGTTTGAAGACATGAATTTGTTAATTCGCCAGAGATGATATAAATATATCTTCCTATAAATAACTTCATGTTGATGTATTTATAACCAAATTGTTAAAGAAATATTTGGTGATTCAAATACATGACATTTGTTCCATATGCCATAAATCTACAAATATAACCAAAGCTAGGAAGTTTCAAATTCATGGTCCCATCTCTAGACGCCGAGGTTCAGGGCTACCAAGACCTACAGATCCTCCATGATTCAGTTTATTAAATTTAGTAAGTCCTCCCTCATCAACTGTTGCTATTGATTCACCTCCAAGTCATCGAACACCTAACCTACAATCATGGGCCAATAAATTTTTATCACTACCCAACTATCCCACCATATCTGGTATACTTTAGGGTGCACGTAATTCTTTTGCAGAATCCTTTAACAAATTAATCTATTTAACTGTAAACAATCCTGGAAACCTTTCAAATTAGAAAAAATTACTAAACTTTACCAATTTTACCCTTAAAATTCCTGAATATAAAAAAATCTTATTATCCAAATATATTAAAACTTCAATATCCCTCTTTAACTCTTCAATCCAGATATGATACCAACTTCTACACACCACTCTAACCAATCTAATCAACTCCCTATTGCCCGTAAGGTCAAAAAGTTTCAAATAAAATAAATAGCTTTAATATAAACTCAGCCCTTCGTGCCACGACTTCTGAAGACTCCTTAACTCCTAACAAGGAGTCACCTTAGAAGCTTTGTTTCAAAAACACCTTATATGTGACTCAGAATTTGTCTATTCAAACCAAAACAATCATAATTAACATTTACAAGACAATTAAAGCCGTTAGATCTTAAAAATCTTCTGGGGCCTTGATGGCAGTCGTGCTATCTTCATACATGACATTTTAAAACCCAACGTTCTATGTAAAGCTTTTTTACAGAACCGTACCAGGTTATTAAATATAATTCTCACCATCACCCATCATTCATAACCTCTTTGGCGCCCGTCTAATAGGTCGCAAAAAAAGGACTAAGGTATTCGCCCAGTCGCGTTGAGTCCTTCTTCCGAAGAGCTGTCTCTAAGATCATTGTTTCACAAATCAAGGAATATCTTTCCTCATTCCAGTCGCCACTCCAATTAGGGTTTGGTGTTCCCGGAGGCGCTGAAATTTCTGCTCATCTTGCCTGTATAACTATCGCAAAGAGTATTCCTGACGATGTTGTCTTAAAACTCGATTTCACCTTTAATACAATGAACAATGAAACGTTAACACTTCGTTCCTTTGTTTTGCAACAAATATCCTGAATACTCTTTATACATTCTCCATATTTATTCAAACTCTACTTTTCTAAAATACAATAATAACAAATCAAATCTCAAGAGGGAATTCCACAGGGAGACCCCTTAAGCCTTGCCTTTTTTGCATTGGGATCCACAATATTATCCAGGAACTAAATCCATCCTTGCCTTAAATTCCTGCTATCTCGATGATTGTCTCGGGCAACCTTTCCACAATCCTTTCCATCCCTCCCATCTAGTGTTGTTAAACGGCTTGATTTGAGCCGATTTTTAAAAAAGGCTAACTTAATATTTTATCCAAAAAAAAATAACGTAACCCTGAAGATATTGCTCATAGGTGGCACATAGATTTGTACATCTATTAGCGAAATCTCAAGGCTTTGGTAATATTTTTCTAGCTAAAATCTTGAGTTAGCCGTTTTTAAAAATCGGTTCAAATCTAGCCGTTTAACAACACTACTCCCATTATTGAGAATCTCTCACATATTACAGGACTATCACTCAATCTCCCCAAATGTGAGATTTGCTTCCTAAATCCTACATCCATTCCTTTAGACACCACATACCACGTCATCAACAAAGATGAGATGAAGCCATAGAAGCTTTTTAAACAAATCCCTTAGTAATTTATCCAAATTAAACATATTCTTTAATTACCTCCCCATCCATCAATCCTTTTTTTAATCAAAGACTATTTTAATATACCCAAAATCCTCTACGTCTGAGATCCTCTACGTCTGAGATCCTCACCGATCTTCAAATGCAGAGATTTACTAGTTTCCCATGAAACCTAAATCAAGGGACTCCTTGATAATATATTAAACTTAATTTTTTTTAATTCATCCTGGCTTCAGGTCACCCTCCCCAGCAAGTCTGGTGGTATTGGTATCAGATCCTCGATGCAACTTCCCTCTCACCATTATCTCATCTCGCCTGGCTGCTCAATCTATTATCAATAATGGATACACTCCTTTAGATCCTGACCTTTTCCAAGTCCTCATCTTTTGAGACAGCAATTGTTCATCTAACCCTCTGCCGTCCTGCCTCCGACATTCAAAAAGACTAGAATGCTCCTCTAATCGCCCGTTCCGTTGAATACCTAATTTTAAATAGGATCTTTGAGGACAATCTTTATAACATAGTATTATATGCAAATTCAGGCTATGAATAGTTGGAAGCCACCCCCAGTTCCAATCTTGGCCTCCTCATAACTGGCAAACACGTATATTCATAGCCTTCCGCCTTGACTGTAATGCTGTAGTTCCCTCCATTGTATCGATTGTGGCCAGTCCATTGAATCGAAAGATTAGCATTCCTTGCACAGCAAGTTCTCCCGTGGATGACAACCTCGTCATAAATCTATTAACAACATTCCCCTAGCTGCTCTTAAAAAGTTAATATTCCATCCACCCTCGAACCAGTTGGCCTCTCAAATGAAACGCCATGTGCCCAGATTATATATTCCTCATTCCTTGAACCAATGATCTCCCGCTTACTTGTGGTATAACTGTGTCGATTTTGCAACAAAGTCCAGCCTCTCATTTTCTGCCATCGGAAAGGCAGAAATCCTTAAAAAAACAAATACGACTGTGTTCATACTAATCGTTACCAATACCCTAGGCATGTTTAGAAGTGAGACCTTCATTTTCAACATTCACTCTTCTCTAGGGTGATATGTACCCTTTTTTAATATTTTTTTTTCTTAGATCTTTTTTATGTTTTTCTTCATAGATTATAACATATATTTATTTTATACTTAATTTTTAATATATCATTTTTTGTTTTTTAATTTATATTTTCAATTCAATAATTTATATATAAATGTTCATGTTTTAATATTTGTTAAAAAGTTTATAATATCAATAAATAAATAAAAAAATCTTCATTTTACACTAGAAAAATGGTATATCGTAGCTTTAGGGTTAATAAAATATTTCATAGTTACTCCAGAAAAACATTATCGTCGTTTTAGAGTTGTATGGAATATTTTACATAAACTTATTTTTAAATTTAAATATATATACCAGTTTTGCCATGAGTAAATATATTAAATTTAATTTTCCATTAGTATAAACATTGTATTCTATATAAAATGCTAACAACATTTAAATATTGAATATAAATTTCTACTTATAATTTTATTCTACTCGTCAAAATAAAATAATTTCTTAATTACGTCAAAAAAATACTATATTGTAGCTTAAGGGTTAACAAATTAATTTCATAATTACTCAAGAAAACACTATATCGTAGTTTTAGAGTTGAAATCCGCTACATAGAAGTTTATAAAATTTTGAGATGTTTGATAAAAATTTTCACATCTATTTATATAGAATATTTTAGAGAAATTTTTTTTAAAATTTTAATATGTAAGCCATTTTTGTCATAAGTAAATATATTAAATTTATTTTTCCATATGTATAAATGGTATTATATTCTATTAAAATGGTAACAACATTTAAATATTAAATTTCTACTTTATTCAAAATATAAAAAAACTGTGTTTTTAATAAATAATACCTGACGTAGTTTCATCTGTCAATTTTTTTTGTGAAAATTAAAAATTATTAAGTATAATGGGACTAATTTATAATATAGCACCTTCGCATATCTTGAAAACAACTTTTAATTTATGCCTGTCTCCACTCAGTTCAAAATCTCCTATTAGATAAGTTATAAATGAGTTAGGATAAGTTTTATTATTGAGTATTTTTCCATCGTTATCAATTTCTTCAACACTAACATCAGTGTCTTTCTGTACTGCCTCATTCTAAAATATTAAGAATAACAAAATATTATATGTAAGTAAATAATCTCTTATTTTGGTTTCTAATCATATAAAATGGACAAATAGTAGATATATTTTGGAAATATTAGAATCAATACCAATACTCTAATTTTCTACCATTAAATGGTAACTTATGTGAAATAGTGTGTTTTAAATATCCATTAACAAATAAATTGGAATATTAAGATAAATTCTTTAAACCAACTTATTAAATATTTTATAGTATATTAAACAATAATTATGCAAACTAGAGTAAAATTGTTTTCATATTCTCCAATTTCATCCATTTTCTTATATTAAGTCAGGATGTCTGTGCCCATTGGCGCAATTGTTATATTATTTGGTTACATGTTAATACCGTGAAAAGCATTATTGTCTATGCATTACTAGTGCTACAATTTTACGAATCGAATATTTCATTTTCGAATAATATTCGCGAATATCATTTTCAAATTATTCGAATATATTATTCGTATCGAATATTAATCTGAATGAATAATATTCGAATATTTTTCGAATGATTTTACTTTTTAAAAATCTCATCTTTGAAACGATTAGATTTTATATAATCGGTTATTAATATTGATTATGACATTTTTCCAAAATAAGTGTTATAAAAATTAATTTCATCCATCTATAACATATTATAAATTGCACATATATTAACATATTATAAATTGCACATATATTAATATTAAGCATATGCATAACATTTAAAGCCAGTTTTTAAGGCATATACAATAAGATAACGTTTTTTTATTCATAGAAGATCTTTTATCCATCATCATATTAGAAACGGAAGTGAATAATTTTTCTGGTGGACAGGATGTACCAGGGATTTCAAAATAATTTTAGCCATTTTTGATAAGATTCTAAATTTTTTGAAGATTGTTTCCAACATAAAATAGGATTTTATTCAGGGAGTAGTATGGATTGCTTATAAATCAAATTCATTCAAGAAAGGGGTGGGATATCTTCCTTTTGTTTAATTTTGCAAAAAAGAATTGTGATACATTGAGGCTGATCTCATTTTCTTTTTCTATATAATAAGATTCCATTGCTCCCATAAATATATATTTAATATATTTATTCAAAAAATTGCTGTTTCCCTAAATAAATTTTACATAGAATTATTTAAATATAAATTTTAATTCAAGGTATATCTTTATCCAATGAGCAAATGATGCTAATTAAAAAATTTTTTACTTAATTAAATATAAATTTCAATTCAATTTATTTATAATAATAAAAATATTTGTAAGTAAAATTTATCGAATTTTGTAATAACCATTACTACTCATAATTTAAATACTTAAATATCAATTTAATTTTTATATAATCTTAATTTAAATTATGAGCAAGTAGATTGTTAAAAGGTTCTGATAAATTTTACATAGAATAACCTAAATATAAATTTCAATTCAATTTATATCTATATTTAATGAGCAATTAATAATTTAATTATTAAAAAAATTTATTAAATTTTACATACAATGTAATCTTAAAGAATACTATAAAATTATAAATTACCTTGAAAATAAAGTTTCAATATGGAAAGCAAAAAAATAAAAAGGAGGTTAATAAACACGCGATTAAATAAAATAATAGGATACGACCATAAATAGGTAAAATTACATCCACACATTTAAAATATGAAAAAAAAATTAAAATCACTTTTTCGAAAATTTTAAAAATATCTATGAAAATAAACAAAAAAATAATAAATATTCAAATAATATTAGTGAATAAATGAAATTATTTGACAACGAATAAAAACGATTATAAAAATAAAAAAATTATTGATAGGTCAATTATTAATATAAATTATTCGATTATTATTTAAATCCTATTTAATTATCGAATATTCGTTAGATGCACTATTAGCGAAATTATTATTATAGCAAATGCATTATCGAGAAAATATTATAGCGAACGTAATATCGCAAATATATCACCGTGAATTTATTATCGCGAAAATATTTACTCGAATCATCGCGCATATATTCCCATGAATGCATTATCAGTAGAATTAATGCAATTGTATTTTGAGTGCAATTCGGGATTAAATTTTTATATAACGTTTCCGAAATATTTTAAAATTAAAAATATATTAATTGATAAACTCCTTATTATAAAAAATTTAAGAGTAGCAAAGGAATTTTAATACTATATAATAATTGTATCAACAAATAAATTTATAAATACAATAAAAGGTTTTGTAAATTTTATATTTGATATAAATCAATAAATAGAATTACTAATATTCCGCCTATGTATGGAATAAGACATATCACCTCCACACTGCCATTATTATTAAAGACGAATCTGCAGAGCTTAAGGAGAGATTCACAATAGGAAGAACCAAATTTTACCCTTAACTAAAAATAAATATATAATCAATTACTAATAAAATATTTTTAAAATTGTTATTTTTATTTATAAAAATTATTGATTTAGATATAATATTAATGTCTGAGAGCTTTTCTGGGGTAGATAAAAGAGATCATTTATAAAAATTTAAGACATCAAAATACAGTATTAATTAACTATTCTATTAATTTACATATTTTTAAAAATTAACCACATTATTTAAATATAGGAAATTATAACAGAATAGTTTTATACAATACCTCACCATTCAACAAATGAGTCTTTCACTTATCAGGGAAGTATTGTATTAAAAATTTACTTAAATGATACTAACATTTTCCTAATTTATAAAGACGGAAATTTTTAATGTAAGAACACCTGACTATAATATATTATGTATTACATTGCTATCAATGCTACGATTTAAAGATTGTCTTTCTAGCCAAAGAATTTGTTCTTCAGCAACATGGGATATTCTACTTGATTTGTATTTCCTCATAAAAATATCGTTTCCATCAACGTTCCATATTATTCGATCATCATCTCTTTCCAAGTAAATCATCTGGGGACTATATAAAACAAGATATTTTGAATTAAATTAGAGTATAAAATTTTAAATTGTAAGAAATGGATATGATTGAAAAGAATAATTTTTTAAAACTCTTTGTTTTCTTTACAGTTACAATAGAGATGTATAACATTAATTTATTATATTTATTGTGATATGAAATTCTTGGATTTTCGAAAACTCTCATTTTAAAATCATTTATGGAGGGCAATTTTAAAAGTTGGAAAATATGATTTGACTTGAACTATATACCAGCACGTATTACCCTCAATTAATAATTTGTCGTGTAATTTTAACTAGTTGTTTAATAATTTTTAAATAGATTTTTTATGTAAAATTAAATAAATTCTCAAAATTGCAATGCAAAAATTGGGTGATGTATATAGGATAGGACCCTACAATTCTGAAATATATTTCTGGTCAGATCAGATGGTTTTAAAAAATCTTTTCTGTAAATGATTTTATATTATGATATACTTAATCCACGTTTAATCCGTGCACTTTACTATGCGTTAAATAAACGTTTAAAAATGCAACGAGGAAATTATTTTAATCATTGTAGATTTCCATATCAAATCAACTTAAGAATTCAACCTAACCCTCTTCGATATTTTTTTAAAATTTGAATGAGGGTGTTATATATATATAAAAAGTAAAAATATAAAATTTTAATTCCCAACTCAGTTTATTTCGAAAATTAAATATACTAAATTTAATTTTAAATATTTTAAAATGTAATTAAGCTAAATGCATAATTTAAATTTTATTAAATAGCTTTAATATAGCCCTTTATGATATAAAATTTACTTTATTAAAAATAAGTCTATTACCAAAAACCGGAAAACTGGAAATGGCTATAAAATAAAAATAGCACTTTTTATTCTTTCAAATTTTTTTTACAGATAGACCTTATATTTTCTAATATTAATGGAAAATCTTAGACTGGGACGAGTATACACTTTAAATATAAGTAAGGCCAATTCCAGACAGAATGTTTTTCGAAGCGGTTTTTTGATAATGTTACCAGTTTTCTAAAAATAAAAATTTGTCGAATTAATTTTTTTACATAATATAATATTTAAAAATAACAATCCCGAGCCACATTTGAAGAGGCCATTTAATCGTTATTAAAATCCAGTTTGTTTTCTTATGATTAAAAAAATAAAGATCTGGATTGTTTTTTTAAATATCATATTATATAAAAAAAATTAAATCGACAAGTCTTTTTTTTTTGGAAAGCTGGTAACATTACCCAAAAACAGCTTTAAAAAACGTTCTGCCTGGAAATAACCTAATGTGGCTGAAATCGTTAATAAATATCATTTTTATTAAAATATATATAGATTTTTTTCAAATTTTGAAATAAAAAGAAAACTTAAAGTTTTGACAAATAAAAAATAGGTGGGTTGACATTAATAATCTCTGGGTCAGGCCTAATATGTTTAAAAAAATTTAAACCGAATCAGGCTTAAATTATAAATAAAATAAATTTTATAGCTAATATTTTTTTATTTGTTTGTAGAATGATCACAAACTTAATTTTGTTCAATGTAAAATAAAACTCTATTTTAAAAAAACTTCTATACAATAAATTCGGGACGGGAAGAAATAATTTTTATGTCTAGTCTGGCTTTTTGGGACAAATTAAAAAAAAATTTGTTTGGGATTGGGTCAAATATATTTTTTTTATAAATCTTTCGGGTAGAAAAATGCCCTATGCAGATCACTAATAGACACTGTATCCTATTTAATACATAAGTTTAGGTATTTTATTTTAGAAAGAAAATAATTTTAAAAATATGAAATAAATATTATAATAAACATATTAATTAAATAATATCATATATTAAAGAAGAATGAGTTATAATAAAATTTGACTTTCATATCACATCAATACCGCGAAATGTATTATCGCGAATGCATTATAGCGAATGTATCATAGCGAATATATTAGCGCGAATGCATTACCGCGAAAATATTATAGCGAATGCATTACCGCGAAATATAGCGAATGCATTACCGCGAAAATATTATAGCGAATATTTAGCGCGAATGCATTATAGCGAATGCATTACAGCGAAAACATTATAGCGAATGCATTTCAGCAAATGTATTATCGCGAATGTATCATAGCGAATGTATTAGAGCGAATACATTACAGCGAATGCATTATCGCGAATGCATCATAGCGAATGCAATATCGCGAATGCATTACAACTAACATTATCACAATGCAATAGTGATTTATATTTGACAAAATTATATTTAACCCATTTATTAAGTTCCAAAAAACCAGAGAACCAGCTTAATTTTCTATATTTATTTAAAGTAGCGTTTTAAAATTATTTACCTCTAAAACACGTCACTTGTTATTTATGAAATTCGTATTTTATTAAAAAATATGTGGAATTTGGTATATTCAATTTTTTTAACGATTAGATTAAGTCGTTTTTTACAAAATACCCTATTAATAAATATTTTTATATTTTAAGATTGATTCTAGTAAAAGTTAATTTTTGCCCCAACAAGCCCCAAACCCCAGGCTTGTAGATTATATTGGTTTATTAAGTCTCCAGGATAATTGTTATTATCAATAATACACCATTTGTATATAAATAATTCATAAAAAATTTCAAAATGTGATATTTTATTTTAAAAAATGTTTAAGTTTTAATGAATTTTTTTTCTAATTCTTTTGATTATCAACCACCAGAAAAGGTGAAAGTTAAAGGGAAAAAAATAGAATTTAAAGCTATAATAGCCAATGAATACTTATTATATCATATTTTTAAGCATAATATAATTAATTCGACCTAATTCTACTAGCCCCTAGTTACTGATATGATTAACCCTTTCCAACGCTAAAAAAATATGTTGATAATTTTTAAAATTTTTAAATAAGATTAGATGAAGGGGAACATTGGATTGAGACCTCTATCTTATTAAATCTTTTGTAATGGTCAAAATTATTAATTTTATAGCTTTAAAACATAAAATCTTATCTTTTTTAAATTTAAAAATTATAAATGCCAACTCCTGTTTCAAATATAAATCTTAAAATGATAAAAAATATATTTAATTATATATTTTGGTGGTTTCAATAGAGATGATATGTGAATTTAGTTCAAATTTAATATTTTGTAAGTTATTTTCAAATCATATTATTCTGCCTGAAAGGGAATGCCTACAATAAATATTTTTAAACATAATGATTATGAGACTTTCTGAAATGGGAAAAGAATATTTTTTAATTTCATATTCTGTCTATTTAATTATTTCTAAATCTCACTGTGCAAATTGGTTTATTATTCATGATACGGTTTAAAACAAATTCAACTTTAAGAGAGACAGAAGGCCACAAATCCATATTTTTATGCCGTTAAATATTATAGTGAAACATTTTAATTATGCTTTAATATTATTTACTTATCTTAAGATTCCGTATAAAACAATTTCTAAAATACAGAGAAAATATTCAAAATAACGAAATTTGAAAATTTAGGGCAGGGCTTTAAATAATCAGAGCTAAAAAAATGCAGACCGAAGAACACAGGTATATTAATTTACGACATTTATATTATTTATTTTATTACTAATTTTGACATTGAAATATGTTAAATTCAATTTTGTCTGTACTGTAAAAAATAGCTAAATATTAATAAAAGTATAATTTTTTTGGCGTTGATAAAGCTATCCTTTCAAAAATAACCCAGCGGCTGAAATAATATTTTTCTATTAAAATCTTTAGACATTTTTGGAATTGGATAAAATAAAGTTATTACCAAACTATAATTTACTTATGGCACCTTACTTTAAAAAGATGAAAGGTGCAATAATTTTTTTTCAATTTTTTTAAAGATTTATATAAGTTAATTGATGATACTACGAAATAAATAAATAGATTACATGACTTGTTTATTAACTCATATTTTGTTATATTTTATTACTTAAAAATAATAATTTAATTTTTTTTAAATTCTGGAACCCTAACTGAACTTGGGATCAAGACTAGTGCCTGAAATCTAACTCGTTATATTAAAATTTATTAATGTTTACAACCCTTAATATTTTTGATTAGTAATTTTTTAAATCTCACTTTCGCGTTTCAATTTATATACAGAATTTAATTTTATTTATAAAACTCTTCATATATTATTAAAGATCAATTCACTATATTGCCACAAAAATAAATTTTTCTAACCAAAAATCTAATAATAATAATATTAGAATACAATTACAATCTGCTAGCTGCTTATAGAGTTTAATATTTTTACTAAAAAATATAAAAATATATATTTGCTATTTTATTTTTTTATTATAATTGAATACATTATTGTAAAATTATATATTTAAATTAATAAAAGTACTTATAATTTTCTTAAGGTTTGCCTTTAGGGTTCGCCATAACCCCGTTCTCCCCTATTCAATAAATTAAAAAGAAAAAACTTGACGTTTAATATTTAAAATAATTAGATGAAAAAGAGAAATCTATTTTATTACTTAGAATCTTTTTTATATATTTTGAGTCAAAAAAAAGAAAAGCCTTAGCCTTAATTTCAATAAAAAAATGTTTTTAGAGCCAATCCACATTTTAACTTAATTTTCAGATTCAGCTAAGTCAGTCGAAAAGTCGATAAATATAAAATTGCAACTTTTATGTTTAATATTTAAAATGATTAGATGAAAAAGAGAAATCTATTTTATTACTTAGAATCTTTTTTATATATTTTGAGTCAAAAAAGAAGAGTTTTAGCTTTAATTTCAATAAAAAATGTTTTTAGAGCCAATCCCCATTTTAACTTAATTTTCAGATTCAACTAAGTCAGTCGAAAAGTCGATAAATATAAAATTGTAACTTTCATGAAACTCCATTCGCGATATGATAATGCATTCGCTATAATGCATTCGCTATAATGCATTCGCTATAATGTATTCGCTATAATACATTCGCTATAATGTATTCGCGATAATTTATTCGCTATAATACATTCGCTATAATGCATTCGCAGTAATATATTCGCGATAATGCATTCGCGATAATTCATTCGCTGTAATGTATTCGCTATAATACATTCGCGATTACATTTTCGCGGTATTACATTCGCGCTAATACATTCGCTATAATATTTTCGCTGTATTATATTCGCTATGCATTCGCGGTAATGCATTTGCTATATTATATTCGCGATAATGCATTCGCTGTAATGCATTCGCTATAATATCTTTTCGTGGTAATCGACATTCGCGATAATACATTTCACGCTAAAATTTTCGCGGTATTGACATGTAACCTAATTTTTCCATACATTGGAATAAATGCATGATATTTTTGTGTCACGGGAATTCGTTCGACCGTTAAATAACTGATTTCGAGATTGGTTTCCATTCTAAAATGTTCAACGTTGCGGACAAATATATAATTAATTCCGGGGATATTAATTCTCGCATAATTATATGAATTCATAGGAGTTAGTGTATGATTTTCACAAGGCCGTTGCAGGCTTGTTCAAGCCGCTAACCTCTTAGTAATTTACCATAAAATTTCGCAAGGAATTTTGCCAAGTGCAGTGGAAAAAATGTCATTTTGCCTTGATCTGGAAATTATTATAATGGTTGTAGAGGGTTGTAAAGTTTTTTTTTGTTTTTATGGGATCTTTATGAGTGGTGAAGAGATTATTGAGCTCACTTTTTATTATCATAATTGTTACTTTATTACTTTTTACAAAATCTTATTATTTATTAATTGCTTCCAATTTAAGGGGTTTTGCGTTATATTTAAAATAATACAATACAATTTGGTAAATAATCTGATTTTTTAAGATTTTAGTTTTAATAGTGTTACACACATATATTGTCCACTTTTTTAAAAATAAATTACTATATATTTGGTAGAATATAGGATTTAAACCATACTACTTATATTTAAAATGTAATAACTCTCGGCCCCGTACTTGTCCTAATCTAGGATTTTCTACAAATATTAGGAAATATAATGCCATCAAAAATATTTAAAATAATAGCCATTTCCGGTTTTCTATTTCCAGAATTTGATAATAGACTTATTTTTATAAAACAAATTTTATACCATATTAAAGCGCTATTCTAGAACTATTTAATAGAATTTAAATTATGTTTTTAGCTTAATTAGGAATAAATATAACATATATAGTTTGATTATATATTAAACGAAAATGTAATATTTTTTGAATTTTGAATTTAATCATCATACCATTAAACAAAAAATTGAGATTTAATTTTACAATAATGAAAGAAAATATTATTCAGACTTAAAATGTAAAACTGGAAAGTTTTTAATATATCATTTGTATTGAGATTATTAAGATAAAGGTACTCAATTTGGGTGTGGTTTCATTTACTATTAAACGTGAACCCATTTGGGACATTTAAAATTTGGAAAATAATTTAATAATGATTGTATTAATATAAATATATTACAATGAATCAGGAATTTTGGGCTCATTAAAGAATTGATGTATGTTATAATTGCCACTTTCCTTCACTATGTCGCACATATCTTTGAGAACTTTATAATATTAATTATATCAAACAAAATTTAGAATAATATAAAATTTTTAAAATCATATTTATATAAAGAATACTATTATAGGAGGAAAATCTATTTACAATTTAGTAACAAATGTATAAAGCCCTATACAAACAAAATAATATTAAAAAATTACTCAAGTTAGACTATTAAAAAGAATATAGTCGCTAGATAGTATATTTATTTTTTAGTTAGTCTATTATTAAAAAAATAAACTAATGTTAGAATTCATTGCATCAAGATATTAATAAAATATCTATTATTATCTTATAGTGGCAAAAAAATATTTTTCTATCTATCATAACATAATATCTCATAATCCTATATACTTGTAGAAGTTGTAGTAAATTTTGTAGATTGCTCTGTCCAACCTTTTATATTATAAAAATGTAAACTATATTTATAATTAAGAAATTAAATATTGATCATTAAACGAAAGTTGATAAGACAAAGTTCTTAATTTTTCTAACATACTTTAATCTTGAGATTGATATTTCCTCATAATTTACAATATAGAAACACAGATTTGTTAGCATTAAATAATACTTGATGAAAAATACATATTTTCTTATAGTGGGGAATAATGTTATCAAATGTACATCTCGATACAATACTAAAATTAATAACCAATTTGCGATAAATAAGATTAATTTCAAATTCGGCTGTTAGCTAAGTGCATTGAGTCAACATGCAGTTACAGCAAACAATTAAAAAATATAAAATAATTTTTTAAACATAATGAAAAATTTAAAAATCAAACCAGATACGGAAACAGTTGACTCTCCAGATAATTTATCCTCAATGGTATTATTTATACCATATTTAAGTTAAAAGTATATAATTTACTAAAAGTCTAATATGGTTGTTAGCAAATAATTTTTTGAATAAAGATGTAAAAGAGGATAGTTCTAACTACTAATTGAGACCTTCACAAATAAATATTTTTTTTATTCAATCTTCGTCGGTTCGCAGTTATTTGATTTTTTGTAATGTGTTTTAAGGAGGGGAGATAAAATTTGTAAGAAAATTTAGTTAATACAACAAATTTACATTTTACAATTGAGATTTTATATTGAATAATATTAATATAGTTTTTCTTTTGATTTATATTAAAGTTTATTTATTAGTGGTAATAGGAAATTTGGGATTATATTTGATTTTTAAAATAATAATCAGATAAGAAAGAAGTTGTTTTATTAATTACACCAAAAATCTCCTAAATCTTATTAAGATAAAGTGCCCTACATAAAAGAATAAAGTGTAAGATAGTTTGTATAAGTCTAATAATCTGCATCTATTTGTATAATATTAGAGAAATATTTTTTCAAATTTTTAAATTTAAATATCAACCGTTTTTGTCATGAGTATATTTATCAACCATATTTCTAGAAACAATTTTAGGATGCGATACAAGATATGTTGGTAATTGAAAATATTATTTTTGATAATTATTCAAAAAAAGGCGTTACAATATAAAAATTATTAATAAAAAAAAGGAATTAAATCCATAAAATGATTTTACAAAGTCAATCAGCTGTTAAATAATATCGCATTCACTGCAAATTTTCACAATTTTTTTTTTCCAGTTTTTAAAAGATCAACTCATTTTACATCTCAGCCATGCTCATAAAATTAGATACACCTCTAGAAATTAATGTTATCAAATGTAAATATTAGAGATACATTGCTAAAATTAGTAACCAGTTTGCGTTAAATGATATTAATTCACAAATTCGAGCCATAGTTATCTAACATTGGTTTAGGAAGCAGGAAGCAATTAAAAATATATAGAAAAACTCTTTTTATAAATATGATCATAAAATCAGATATCAAACCAGATATGGCATATTTAAACTAAAGGATTTACTATCATTTATTAGCAAATGTAATTTAAATATTAACTATTAATTGTATAAAAGTGGTTTTTATATTATAAATAACCTGAATAAATGGAAGCTTACACAAATAAAAAAATTATATTTATAAAATCTTCTTAGGTTCCCAGTTTTATTTTTTTGATTTCCGAAGAGGAGACTCAAAATTTCTAAAAGAAATTCAGTTCATACAATATTAATTTTACAGTTGGGATTATTGAATAATTCTTTATATATAGATTTTTATCTGATTGATATTAAAATTTATAGAAATTTAGTAAGAAATATGAGTATATTTAATTTTTAAAATAATAACTAGATCCGAAAGGAGTTTCTTTAGCTGTTACGACAAGTTTAGTGGTAAAATCTAGGATAAACAAAAAAATAAAATATGATGACAATTTTGAAAATATATTTATTTACTACTGATTAGATTAATAATGAATTTTATATTACTCTCACATAACAAAATAATTTCATAATTATATATCATAACTTTACAATCATATCAATTAAATTTTGTCAAACTATATTGCAAATTTATCTAATTTTTTTTTAAATGTTTTTAAAAAATCAACAACCTATTCTTATACCCCATCCAAGCTTAATATGGGTAGCTACGATTCTCCAGAATATTAGAGTTATCAAGTGTACATGTATAAGATACATTGCTAAAATTAGTAACTTTATGTGCTGCAGTATTCAAATATAGAATTTATTTAAAACATTTTATATTAATTAACTTATTTAATTCTTACTTTTAATTTATTATGAAATTTAATATTGGGATCAAATCGTAAATCAAGATCTATTAAATAATGTCAACTTGCGATAACAATTCAAACGTGATAATCCAACAGAACAAGTAGTTGACTATAAGAAACAATGATGTCGTAGTATTCAAATATATAATCTATCTAAAACATTTTAAACTTATTTAATCCATACTTTTATAATTCATATTATGTTATATTATAAAATTCTTAATATCGCTTATATTATATTTGTTATAATTTCTTATTTAAAATAATTTAATAAACTTTATATAGAAAGGAACAGTAGCCCCTACAACGGAAGGGGGGGGGGTCCAAAGCAACTGCTTCTAAAAATTTGAGTAGGGGTACTTTTTTTCTATTTTTTTAAATTTTTTATTTTAAAATTTTTTATTTTAAAATTTTGAGTGGGGGTACTTTTTTTCAAAAATATTTCACTTTAAATTTTTTATTTAAATTTTTTTTTTTTTTTAAATTTAATTCTTTGTTTTGCTACATCTATTCATATCCAATTGATTTCTGGTTGATGTATGTAATAATAAGACCCCTACCTCTCCCACTTATTATTTAATTTAATATGTATTTCTGGAAATTTTGGTGGATGTTTAATAAATTAGGTTGTTATCCAAGATTTCTTGTCATAAATTATTTATCCAATTTCAAAATATGCCCAAAAATATTACCAAAAAAAATAAAATGTGTTAGAAGAAAATATCTGACTCTTTTAATGATCATGAAATTTAATCTTGATATTATTGTGCATGAATCTTCACAGGCCCATATGATGGCCGATTATGGAAGGCTTTCACACAATAAAAATTCCATATTACAATTTATAATACCCCATAAAGAATGTGTGGATAATAACCGTTTTATCATAAGAATAATAATAATATGTCTAGGTTATTTAATATCTCGTAACCAAGCCTTCTGGGGAAACAGACAACAAGAAGGCAATATGATGGGCCTTATTAAACTCATTGCAGATTCTGAACCTGTACTGGGAGAAAAAAAATAAGGGATTAAAAACGAAATTATATTCAAATCTATTATCATATAATAACATAAATATTCTCATTCAAACCATGAATATGGTTATAAAAAAATGAAATTGAATTTAACAGATGCTTTTCAATCATAGTTGATGGCACATATGATGTTTCGAAATCAGAAGCAATAGCATTGATAGTAATATATGAAAATAGTGAGACGCCTAAGCTCACTGAAAAACTGATAAGTCATACATTGTATGGGAAATACAAATGGTCTCTATATTAAAAAGAATATAATATCCAAACTTGGCTCCATGAATTTATCTCTTGAAGTCCTAGTTGGGCAAAGCTATGATGGCGTCTCAAACATGAGTGGAAGAATCAATGGAGTGCAGGCTTTGATTAGAGCAGAGGCGCTAAGGCAGCTTTTATTTGGTGCTATTGTCATCAATTAAATTTAATCATTGTTCAATTATGTCAATCAATAAATGAATTACGAAATGTTTTAGGAATATTAGACGAGATTATATATATTTTAATGGTGTTAAAAGATATGAGGTGCTCAAATCATATCAGAGTAATGCACTAACAAAATCGCAACAATTTCAACGCATCAAGAATACCACTCGGTAATATCTTATTTGTTTAGAAAGAAGCTGGCTATCGTCTTATTCTTATAAAGCTATAGTAAATTTTTTTCTACTTTATGATGCCTTGAGGGCAGCTTTAACAAATTTAAAAGATTCTGAAGATCTGCCACTTCCAGTATGGCTAGTGCTATAGTCTTTAGAATAGAAAAATTTGATTTTATCTTATCACTTTGTGCTTTGGATAAAATATTGTTGATAACAAGTTTGGCTTGTACAAAATTGCAAACCATTTTTAAGGATATAGGATTTGCAATAAATCAAATTCAATTGGCAAAAGATTGCTTTATTATCTTGAGAAGTATAATATAAATTATTGTCTTAATTATTTTTTAATCTTAAAAGATAATAACATTGAATTTTTGGATGTTTTTTCAAAGGCACAAGATTTTATGAAGGAGAGAAATCTACCTTTTGATTTTAAAAGTTCTAGACTTCAAACATTACAATCCAAAAAGGAGAGGTATATATATACTTTTATCATTAAATATAATAATTTTTTTTAGCTTTAAAATAGGTGTGTTTTATGCTGCACTTGATTTGATTATTATGCAGTTTAGTGAAAAATTTAATGATGAATCGATGAAAATCAAACATCATTTTTTACACCAAAGGGAATGACGGAAAATTATTAAAGATCGAGGATATCTGTGAATTTTACCATTTAAATTCAAGTCAAATTTTCTAAGAAATGTTGAAGTTTAGAAATATTTATAAGATGACCAAAATGCGGGATGTAATTATTACTCATGACCTAGAGGTTCAAGAATCTAAAGATTTGTCAGATTCTGAGAAAATTTATTTAATTAAAATATTTTTACCAATATATTATTTAACTTCTTCTGATGATGATGATAATTCAGGGACTTATGATTCAGATTGGAAAAACTATTCATTTATTTTTCCTTATCGTCTACTTATAAATTTTTCTGCTTTCCCTAATTTAACAATTTTATATAAATATTTATTAATCATTCCTAAAACCTCATGTACTGCCGAAAGAATCATGAGTAAAATTAAATTAATTAAAACAAGACTTCGTAGCACCATGAAAGATCCATTTCTCAATAATTTAACCATTTTATCAATGGAAAAAAATTTATTTAAACAATTAAATATTGATGAAATTATAAATTCTTTCACTTTCTCTTCCCCTAATTTATCTAAATTATTAATTTAAAAATAATATTTTTAAAGTATATATTTTTTGCATTTTATTTATATTATATATTAAAAATTAATGCAATAAAAATTATTTTTGAAATTTATGGGTGTCATAAAATAATTAACATTTTTTTGAGGGGGTGGGGGGTACTTTTCAGGGGGATATTCTGCTTTGTTCGCTCAGAAAGTGTAGGGGCCACTGGAAAGGAATATAATATAGCTTTATTGTATTAAATAAAAATTAAATAAAATATCATAAATAAAATAAAGAAATTATATTTATTAAATATTTAATTAATGATCGGCTGAGTATAAACGACAATAAGAATATCATAATTTTACTAGGTAATTGCATTGAGTTAAGATGATGTTTTAGGAAATAATATAGGCCGAAAAGTCAAATGGTTTAAAAAAATATGAATAATAACCTTTTTTTTAAATATGATTATTAATTTAAAAATTAAACCAGATACGGAAACAGTTGCTCCAGATGATTCGACTTCGATGGTACTATCAATTCCTATTTGAGCAAAATTTAAACAAATTAAATATCATTTATTTATGTATATTTTTAATTAACTATTTGTAGAATAGATTTATAGCTAAAAATAATACTACAAATTGAAACCGTCACAAATTATAAATATTATATTTATTCAATTCTCTCTCCAGTTTTTTTTCATTTTTCTAGCGATTTTCAGCACGAGGATTTAAAATTTATAAAAGAAATTCAGTTAATGCAAAAAATTTCCATTTTAAAACAGAGATTTCATATTGATTAATACATTTATATAGTGTTTCTTCTTATATAAATTAAAATTCCTTACTAAACTTTAAATAATAAATATGAATGAATTTAAGAATAATAACCAGATCTAAAAGGAGTTGCCTCTTTTACTGTACGACAGATTTAGTGATAACAAATGAAAAATATTGATCATAAATTTGTATACTTTTACAATTTATTAATACGAATAATATATTTTATATTATTGTAAATACAAATATTAATAATATTATTGAGATTTTATAATATTTTCAAATTTCCAATTAAGTGAATAATAAATTTTAGACAACTTAATTCATTTATGCCATTTTTAAAATTTTTTAATTTATTCAAGATTATTAATTAGAGGAAAATGAAAGTGAACTCAAATAAAAATTATTATGTTGGATATTGTTATTAAAGAAATACGTCTAAATAAAAATATTAAAATTGAGGCATGACTATGCTTTTTAATTTTAACTATATTTTGCCTATAAATAAAATAAAAAATTTATTTTATTCAAAAATTCTTAAACCCGAGCTAAACCCGGGTTCAAAAATATTTCCCTGAACTGAACCCGAACAGAACCCCCTTTTTACCTAAAACCGAACCAAACTCGGGCAAAAATGTTGAGTTCGCTAACAAAATATCTTAATTACTCCAGAAAGATATTATATTGTAGCTTTAGAATCAAAGTTCGCTACTTATAGATAGTTGTGAGGCAAGTTAAATTATACACATCTATTCATGCAAAATATTTACAAACATTAATTAAAATTCTAATATATCCACTATTTTTGTAATTTTATCAAAGAAATTTTTGAAAATTTTAATTTTATGCCAGAAATTTTGGTAATTCAGAAGTGTTATTCTTGACAATTTATAAAAAAGGATGATATAAATTTAAAATTAATCTTATTAAATTACTTTATAAAGTCGATCAGGTGTTACATCATAACGCATCTATATCAAATTTACTACTTTTTTTGCTTAGTTTTTCTACCCAAGTTTAGTAATTATAGGTACAAATTTTTGATCTAAGATACATTGCTAAAATTAATTATCAATTTGTATTAAATATAATTAATTCCCGAATTTTACGGCCGGCTAATTGCATTGATAAATGGGGTTACAGGAAACAATATTGGCTGAATAGCTTAATGTTTTACAGAATAACATTTTTTTAAATATGATGATAGATTTTTTAAATCAAACCAGATACTGAAACAGTTAATTCTCCAGATGTTTCAGTTCCAGTGGTACTATCTATTTATTTTTAAGTAAAAATTAAACAAATTACTAAGGGATTAACTTTTAGCAAATATTAGTGGTTTAACGGAGGTTTTTTATATTAAAAATTAATATCTATAAATTTAGGCCACAAATAAAAATATTTAAAATCTTCTTTGGGGCCAAGTTTCATTTAATTTTTTTAATATTCTTCAAAAAGAGAATTAAAAATTTATAAAAATATTTTAGTTAATATAACATCTATTTTAGATTTGGAAATTCATATGGAATATTACATTTATATAGTTTTTTTGACTGATTTATGATAAGAGATATATTTAATTTTTTAAATAATAACCAGATCCGGAAGGAGTTGTTTCCTTGGATGTTACAACAACTTTAGTCGTAGAATCTAATGATAAACATAAAAAATAATCAAAAAAAGATGTTATACAAAAAAAGGCGCTACAATTTAAAAATTATTAATATTAAAAAAAAGAATTAAACCCATAAAATGATTTTATAAAGTCTATCAGCTGTTAAATCGTATCTCAATCATTGCAAATTTACTTAATTTAGTTAGGTTTTTAAAGATCAACCAATTCTATACCTCACTCAAGCTTAATATAAGAAACTAATATTACTCCAGTATGAATTAATGTTATGAAAGATATATTACTAAATTTATTTGAATAACATTAATTCCTAAATTAGACGGTTAGATATCATTCAGTTTTAGGAAATATTGTTGGCCAAAAAATCTAATATTGAAAAAAAATAGAATAACCTTTTTTTAAAATATAATCATTAATTTAAAAATCAAACCAGATAAGGAAACAGTTGATTCTCCAGATGATTCGACTTCGGTACTATCTATTCCTATTTAAGTAAAGTTTAAACAAATTACTTAGGAATTACTATCATTTATTAGCAAATATATTTTTAATTAGGTATAACTAAAAAATAATCTATAAATAGAGGCCTTTACAAATAAAATTTATCTTTTATAAAATCTTCTTCGGCTCTAAGTTTTATTTGATTTTTGTAATGTTTTTCAAGGAGAGACTTAAAATTCAGAAAAGAAATTCAGTTAATGCAACAGATTTCTATTTAGATTTGGGAATTCATATCAATTATTATATTTATAAGTTTTTCGTCTGATTTATGTTGAAATCTATTTACTAAACTTTTGTTATGGAATATGAGATAAATTTATTTTTAAAATAATAACCAGATCCTGTAGGAGTTGTTTTCTTGCTAGTTACAACTTTAGTCGTAGAATCTAATTATAAGCATGAAAAATAAATTATATATGATTGTTATTTTGCAAATAATTTGATTATGATTAGATATTAATAATTAATTTTATACTCTTCCACAATAAAATAATTTCTTAATTACACCAGAAATCTACTATATCGTGTTGAATTAGAGTGGCTACTAAGAATATATAAAAGTGTGAGATATTTTAGTACAAGTTTAATAATCCACATCTATTAGTATAAAAATATTAGAGAAACATTTTTTTAAATTTAAAATTTAACCATTTTTGTCATGAGTTTTTATCAAGCATATTTCTTGAACTATTTTTTAATTTATCTGATATATTGTATAAATAAATGTATTCGTGATTGAAAATAAAATTCATTTAAAAGGTAAATAATTTTATTAGCTGCAAAAGTCTCTTCAGAAGGATTTAGGGGCCGATTAAAAATAAATTACATAGAAAAATACAATCTTAAGAATGGTGATTTATGTAGAATTTTGACTCATGAGGAAAAGTTTTAATTCATTTGATAAAATATTTGTTCCTAATTTCTCTTAAATGTTACAGATAGTTAAATATAAATTTGTCTCTTATTATCAATAAAAATAATAATTCAGTAAAAAAGATTTTCTATACTAAAATTTATCTATAAATTGAGACTTTTACAAAATATAAATACATAAAATCTTCTTCGGGGGTTTTATTTGATTTTTCAATGTTTCTATAGAGGACTTAAAATTTATAAATGAAATTCAGTTAATACAACTGATTCTATTTTTCACTTGGGAATTCATATTGAATATTACATTTATAAAGTTTTTTTTATCTGATTAAAGTGAAATTTATATAATAAACTTTTATTAAAGAATATGAGATATATTTAAAAATGATAACCAAATCCGAAAGGAGTTGTTTCCTTGGCTATTACACTAATAGTCGTAGAATCTAATGATAAACATAAGAAATAAATTAAATATGATTGTTATTTTGCAATTATTTTCCTAATAATTGAATATTTAGTATAAACTTTATACTACTCTTCCAAAGCAAAATAATTTTTTAATTATAACAAATTCTACTATATCGTATTAAGAAAAATTGTGAAGTATATAATTTGAGATAGTTTGATACAAGTTTAAAATAATCCACATCTATTCAATAAAAGTCTTAGTTTCAAATATAAATATCAACCATTTTTGTCAAGAATCTAATTTTATTAACTATACTTCAAGAAACAATTTTTTGGATGCGATACAAGAGATATCGATAGTATAAAATATTATTTGTGACAATTATACAAAAAAGGGACCACAATTTAAAAATTATCAATAAATTTAAACCCATTAAATACTTTTAAATATGATATTTAATTTAAAATCAAACCAGATACGGAATCCGTTGTTTCTCCAGATGATTCGGCTTCAATGGTACTATCTGTTCCTATTTAAATAAAATTTAAACAATTACTTAATAATCTACTATTATTGGAAATATATTTTAATTAACTATTAGTAGTATAAAAGAGGTTTTAACTACAAATAATATCAATATATATTGAGGCCTAATCAAATTAAAATAAATTTTTATTTTATCTTCTTTGGGTCCCAGCTATTTTTTGTTCTGATTTTCAAATAGGAGACTTAAAATTTGCAAAAGAAATTGTTTATAAATAGATTTTTCCATTTTACTATCGAAATTTAATATTGATCATTACATTTATATAGGTTTTCATCTGATTTTCATTTAAATTAATTTAAGAAAACCTTTAATAGGAAATGTGGATAATATTTATTTAAAAAAATTAACCAGATCCGAAAGGAGTTGTTTCCTTGGCTAATACGACAGGTTTAGTTGTATAATCTAGTGATAAAGAAATGGAAATTAAATGTTAAAATTTATTATTTGTAAATCAGGGTAGATTAAAAAAAATTCATGAACTCAAATAAGACCTTATAAATAAACCTCTACACATTTATATATTTTTTAAACCTACTGGAATTGAATTTGAATTTTATATATTAACTAGTTCAAAAATTTTTTGACAGATGATTTGTCCTTAATCTTTTTAAAATTTTATTGAAACAGCAAAATTATTATGAATAAATTTTATTTTTAAATACCTGGATAGGTCAAAAAATAGTAATAATCGAACACCGTTGTTAAAGAATATTTTTTTAACTCCTATCAAACCAAAAATAAATCATAGCTCTGAGCTATCTAAGATTTTATTCATTTCTGCTTTTAATTCAACCTTTTTTATGATTAAATATTTTATGAAAAAATATAATATAAAAATCATAACCAGATCCAGAAATAGTTGTTTTTTGCGATGGCGAGTCAGATTTAGTATCACATTCTATTGATAAATAAATACAATTAACTAATTATCTTATATATTATGAATAACTATATTGGTTTTAAAATAAAATTTATTTAAAAGGTAAATAATTTTATTAGCTACAAAAAGAGTCTCTTCAGAAGGATTTAAGGACCGATTAAATAACAAATCATACAGAAAAATTAAATAAATATGCTAGTGATTAATGTAGAATTTTGACTCTTGAAGAAATGTTTTAATTCATTTGGTAAAATATTTGTTCCTAAACCATTTCTCTTTAATATCACAGGTTTTTAAATAAATTAGTCTCTTATTAGCAATAAAAATAATTTACAGTTATAATTAGACCATTTAAACAAGCGCGTAGATGACATGGGGAAGAGATTGTAGCAATTTATTTAAAAAAATAGGTTTACATGAATTGTGAATTGAAAAGATATATTTCAAATAGGTTATATTTTTATTTTAAATTTTTTCAAAGATGTAAATTAATTTGAATATTTTTTCCATGTATTAATATTTTATTTATTTTATCCCGCGAAAAATTTAAAGTAAATTCGTATATTACTACAAGAAAATTTTATCAACCAAAAAATAATTTATTTCCTATTTGACAGAATTTCTAAAGTGAATAAAATCTTCAGATATCCAAAGACACAGCAGTTTACGATTATTTGTTCATGTGGTACAAGAAAGAAGAAAATTCAATAGACATGCCCTACAGGATGGAGCCTTCGACATCAAGCTGTTACAGCATTTTGAATCTAAAAACGTCTTTCTTGAGTTCTCTTAATTACGACAACTATTTCTGTGGAATGATGTAAATTACACAAGAATTTAATTAAATACTTTTCAAAAACATGGTATGGATTTGGTTGAGGTTATGAGAATCGTGAATATTATTATATTACAACTTAGAAAACTAAGGGATCATATCAAAATTCACGAGATTTATGAGATTGCTGACTGAGATCATAGCGAAATAATCTAATTTCGTAAGCCTCGAGTTCTACCTATAAAAACAAATCGTTCTAATAATAACGTGTACTCAATTGGGGATTTCATAAATAAACGTTTTCATTCCATTGGATACATTTTTCACTCGAATCAATGTGATTCATCTATGCCTTTAATAAGTTTACAAATACATTATATCCTCTGAACCTATTTGTATCATGCAAATATTCTTGTAAGATAAATATTTATTTGGAGTAAATTCATAATAAATTTTATTTATTAAGAACAATGGCGACATTATATTTTAAAAAATGAAGGATTTTTAGGTAATAACCAATATTTTAAAATATAAGAATTCAATAATCTTTTTTATAAATCTAAAATACTCATTCGAGTATCTCAAATATCAGAGAATATATTATAAGAGTTATTTTTATAATAAATATTTTAGAATTTAATTATATTTTTAAGGTATGATAGATGAGCATAGAAAAGTTTTCGGGAGAATATAATTAAAAAAATAATAAATAGTTTTATTAGAAGAATCTAAAAATGAGGAGAGATAAAATAATGACAACATTTTATCAACAAAATAAATATCGAAATGTATATTAGGACCAAATGAAGTTCAATTTTAAATAACTAGATAGATTTCGACTTTTAGGGATCAAAATGTTATCTTCTTTTAAATCTAACTTCCTCAAATCTTAATTTATATGTTTTTTATTTAAACGAAGGGAAAAAATAATATTTACAAATTTTCTATCTATAACAACTTTCCATATTTTATATGAGATCTCTTATTCTTTTAAAAGGTCATTGTGGCAATTTTTTTATCAAATCAAATCTTTAGAAAATATCAAGTTTAATATTTTATTCGAAAATAATAAATATATGAAATTATTTTCTAAAAGAAACCGTATCCAAAAGGAGTTGTTTCTTCAGTTTGTATAACAGTTTCAGTGGCATTTTCTATTGATAAATAAAGATTAATGAAAACGATGTCATTTTGCTATTAAATACTTTATAATTAATTATTAGTGGTATAAGAAAGGTTTTTATATATAAATTAAATCCTTAAGAAATGAAAAATATATTTTATTCAATGATCTTTATCTAGTGGTTTAATTACTTTTTTGTGATTATTTTTATTAAATAATATATTTATATAATGTTTATGATTAAACTAAAATTTATTTACTTAACTTGTAGTAAGAAATATGGTATAATTTAATTTTAATTATAATAAACCAGATCTATAATTAGTTGTTTTCCTGGATGTTACGAAACTTTTAGTAGTAGTATCTAGTGATATATAAATAAGAATTTATTATTTATAAAGGCTTATATTGTAAAAAATTTTAACCCATTGATTGGGTTAACAAAATAATTTCTTAATTATTCCATTAAAACAAAATCCTAGTTTTAGAGTTGAAGCCCGCGACATAGAAGATCATAAAACTTTGAGATAGCTTGATATAATTTAATAAATTCACAAATATTCTTAAAGAATGTTTTATAGAAACTTTTTTTTAAATTTAGATATATAGGCCATTTTTGTCATGAGTAAATATTAAATTTATTTTTCTATTAGTATAAACCTGATATTATATTCTTTATAAATACTGACGACATTTAGATATTGAATATAAATTTCTACTTTGTTGAAAATAAAAAACTGTGATTTTAATAAGTAATACCTGATGTGGTTTCATCTATCAATTTTATTTGTGATTATTAAAAATTATTAAGTATAATGCGACTAATTTATAATATAACATACCTTCGCACATCTTGAAAACAACTTTTAATTTATGCCTGTCTCCACTCAGTTCAAAATCACCTATTAGATAAGTAATAAATGAGTGAGGATAAGTTTTATTATTGAGTATTTTTCCATCGTTATCAATTTCTTCAACACTAACATCAATATCTTTCTGTACTGCTTCATTCTAAAAGAGTAATAATAACAAAAGAATATTAGTTTTGTTTCTAATCATAAAAAAAGGAAACAAATAGTAGGTATATTTTATATATATTAGGATCAATACCAATACCCTCATTTTCTATCATTAGTAACTTATTTTTGTAAAAGCAGGTTTTTAATATCCATTGTATTAGATAAATCATTTAAGCCTTTTTAATAAATATTTCTTTAGTATATTAAATAATAATTTGGAAAACTATACTAAAAATTGTTATTATATTCTCCAATTTCATCCATTTTCTAAATTTGGCATATAGATAGTCAGATTATCTCTGCGAAATGGTGCAATAAATTTATATATTATTTGGTTACATATCAATACTATAAAAATTTTGAAAAACACTATTATCTCCGCTAATATATTAGAGTAAAATTTTCCTAGCAAATACATTATCGAAGCGAGTAGCGAATATATTATCTCAAATATATTACTTCGAATTTATTGCGCATATATCACGAAAACATTATTGCGAATGCAATTACTAATATATTATCGCGAATGCATTATCGCAAATAAATTGCTGCAATTGCATCAGAAATAAAATTTGGTGAAAAATTCTGGACTTTAATATAATTATCCAAAATAAAAAAAAACGTAAATTAGGCCGAGTCTCTATTAAATTTAAAAACGGTTTAAACTTACTAAATAAGTTAGAGTAAAGCATTGGAAAATTTTATGAATGTCTTTAGAACCAGCAAACAAATTATGTGATCCGCACACCCAAAAGATAACAAAATTATAGTTTCCAAATATTTTAAAAATAAAAAAATCTATTTTAAAAAAAGTTAAAAGTAGCAAAAAATATTTAATGCTTTATATTAATTGTATCAATAATTTGTCAAATATAAAGAAATTTATAAATAAAAGACTATCTCAATCGCGGGAAGATTACTCTTATTACATTCGTGTAATGCACTTGCGATAATGCATTTGAGATAACATATTTTCTAAAATTCCATCGCTATAACGCATTTGCTCTAAAGAATCGCGATAATTTTTTCACGATAATGTGTTTGTTGTAATATTTCTCTTTAATGAAATTGCGTTAATATATTCGCGGTAATGCATCTGCAATAATGTATTTGCGATTGTCTTCGCTGCAGTGCATTCGCTATAATGCATTTACTGAAATATCTTTTCGTGGAAAAAGTCTTGCGGTATAGACAAGATACGTTATTGTTTATATTCTGATAATAAATTAAATAGGTGAATGAAATTAAAAATGAAACTATAGAATTAATAAGTGCCAATAATAGGTTAATTATATATTTGGTATAAATCAATAATTAGTATTACTAATATTCCGCCGATGTATGGAATAAGACATATCGCCTCCACACTGCCATTATAAATAAAGACGAATCTGCAGAGCTGAAGGATAGATTGAGAAAAAGGAGAACCAAATTTTACCCTTAACTAAAAATAAATATAATCAATTATTAAAATATTTTTAAATTTTTTAAAAACTATTAATTTAGATATAATATTAATGACTTATGAGAGCTTTTCTTGAAAGTAGATCAAAGAGATCATTTATAAAAATTATTTTAACAAGTCAAAACAGAGTAGTATTTATTATCTATTACATATTATTAAAATAAAAACCACATTACTTAAATATATGAAATTATAAAATCAATAGCTTTTATACAAAATGAATACCTCACTATTCAACAAATGAGCCTTTCATTTATCAGGGAAGTATTGTATTAAATATTTACTTAAATAATTCTAACATTTTTCTAATATATTAAGACTTGTCTTTTTAATGTAAAAACACCTGATTATAATATATTATGTATTACATTGCTATCAATGCTACGATTTAAAGATTGTCTTTCTAGCCAAAGAATTTGTTCTTCGGCTACATGGGATATTCTCGTTGAATTGTCTTTTTTTATAAAAATATCGTTTCCATCAACGTTCCATATTATTAGATCATCAACTCTTTCCAAGTAAATTATCTGGGGACTATATAAAACATGATATTTTAAATTAAAAAAAATTTATAAATTTTAATTTGCGATATGATTGAAAAGAATAATTTTATAAAACTCTTTGTTTTCTTTACAGTTACAATATAGATATATAACATCTAACATTGATTTATTATATATATTATATTGTGGTTTGGAATTCATGGATTTTTGAATACTCTAATTTCAAAATCATTTATGGAGGGCAATTTTAGTATTACAGTATGTATAAAGTGTCCTTAATGTGGATAATTTGCCGTGTATTTTTTGAATACTACTAATTTATATAAAGTTTTAAACTAAATTCTTTATATAAAATTAAATAATTGTAATGCAAAAATTGGGTGATATATATAGGTAAGGACCCTACACATTCTGAAATAAATTTCCGATCAGATCAATTTTTTTTTAAAAAAGTCCTCTGTAAATGATCCTTTATTAGGAAATTCTTAATTCTCCTGTTATCGTCTGATTATAAAATAAACTTTTAAAAATTTAAATAGAAAATTGGATATCTTAATTATATATATCAAACTATATATATATAGTTAGTTTGACATATTTAATAAACGAAAATGTAAAACATATTTTAAAATTTTGAATTTAAATATCATATCACTTAACAAAAATTGAAATTTTTTTTTAAACTCATTTAAATGGTCAGTAATTGATGAATTTAAAAAAATATTCAGATTAAAGTGTAAAGCTGGAAATTATTTAAATTTATTATGTGTACTTAGTAGATTATTTAAACAGGGGTACTCAATTTGGTTGTGATTTTATTTACATTTAATCACTAACCCATTTGGGACATTTAAAATTTGAAAAATAATTAATAAAGATTATATTAATATAAATATATTACAATGTATCAGGAATTTTAGGTTCATTGAAGAATTGATGTATGTTATAATCACCACTTTTTTTCACTACGTTGCACATATCTTTGGAAACTTTATATATAAATTATATCAAACAAAATATAGAATAATATTATATAAAATCCTCATTGAAAATCATTAAAATCATATTGATATAATGAATACTATTATAAGAGTAATATATATTTACAATTTAGTTAAACCTGAATAAAGCCCTATACAAACATTAATATTCGAATTTTTCAAGTTAAACTATTAAAAAGAATATAGTCGCTCTAGCATTGAAAATCGCCAAATAGTGTATTTATTGTTTAATTAATTTATTATTATAAGAATAATAATAATGTTAGAAATAATTGCATCAAGCCAATATTAATAGAAATTATTATAATCTTCTAGGGGTATTCTATCTATCATAACATAATATCGCATAATCCTTTATACTTGGCGAAGTTGTAGTAAATTCTGAAGATTGATCTGACCAACCTTTTATATTATAAAAATATAAACTATAATTTTTAATAATGATCATTGAAAGAACACTGATAAGAGAGAGTTCTTAACGTCTCACATTTCCCTATAATTTTCAATATACCAAACACCTCTTAGCATTAAATAATAATTGAAATAATAAGCATTTATTATCAAATCATGGTATGAAAAATACTGATAGATAATATATAGTTGGTTTATTTAACCTTTTTTTGTCAATTTTTAGTAGGCAAAAAAAAATGAATCTAGTCGTAGCTAAAAACTATCGACTCAGACTCAGGTCTTCTAAAATATATGTCAACTTGGAAGATAGCATAAATAATTAACTCGCGCCTAAATTCTTAGAAACTTTTTTTAATATGTTCTTCTATATTGAGTCTAATTAACTTATATAAATAAACTACTAAATTTATAAAATAAATTTATTTAATACAACAGATATCCATTTTACAATAAAGATTTTATTGAATAACACATTTATATAGCTTTTCTTCTCAGTTATATTACAATATCTTTACTAATATGATATATTTAAAAATAAACCAGATCCGAAAGGAGTTGTTTTATTTCCTCTAACGTCTGTTATAGTAGTAGTATCTAGTGATAACAAATAAATTAAATATGACTGTATATTTTGCAAATAAGTTTAACTAATGCTCTTAAGCAATATCGATAGGGTGCTACCCTTTCAAGAAAAAAGAACGCCACTTATTACTTGTTTTAAAAGTAATAACGCTTTATTTTTCTTTTGAGTAGAGGTAATGTAAACTTTACTCATTTAATATTTTCTTAAATATAGAATTTTTTATTTATTATATATTTTTTTAAATTTTATAAATAATTTAAGCCGAGTTTTTAATCCAGATCAGCCACAACTTTGTTTTCATTTTATTTATTACATTTTTGTTGCTGAAATTCCTACATTAATCTAATTAATATTGAATCTAGATTTTTTAATTTTATATTCTCTAATATTATAATTACTTTTATAAAGAATATCTCAATACACTTATTTCTTTAAATGAAGAAAATTTACTCTGCTCTGGCCCAGTATAAAACATTAATTAGACAAATAAAAGATATGGGCACCAAGTCAAGTGTAGATTATGCCCTAATTCAAACCTCTACTTTTAGTAGCTCAAATATAAAAAGCATATGAAGGTAAAAATATGGATTCAGAATAAATTTTGATACTGAAATTTTTATTTGATAAGGATCTGAATGAAGATAAGGATAATCTAATAAGAATTTTTGGAAATAAATAACATTCCTTAAATATTTTTTTATTAATTTCATCCAAATGAAAATTTTATTTATTAAATAAAATACAACCTTTCCACCTGGGATCGTTTCTAAATAAATTGCTGAAAAGTGAATCTCGCTTATATCTCCTAGAAAATTTTAAAGTAATACAGAATAATATTAATAGATGCTAGGGAAAAAACATTTATATTTAAATTGAGTTTGGAAATAATTTTAAAAACTTACCCTCTTTTTAAAAAACGCAATTTAACAAGTGCTTGCTTACTTAGCATTTTAATATTATTTTTAATATTACTTTTAAAATTTTCTAGGAGAATCACCAATTTTTTGTTTTGATTTTAGCGACTTAGAAGGGGAACCTCCCATCCTCCGCACCAGTTAAGTGTGTTTAGCACATCGAAAGCTGTGTTAAGCTTATATGATTAAATGTTTAAAAATCTATCTTATAATTTATTATTTTTTTATAATTTTATTCTTAGTGTATTGATAAAAAGATAGATAAAAAGGAAGTTTATATATAATATTTAGTATTTTTTAAGTAATGAGTAACGCGTTACTTTTTAAAAATAGATAATACGCGTTCCATTTTCACTGATAACGCGTATAGGCAACGCGTTATGTTCCTTTTTAGAACATATGAGTTACTTATAACGCGTTTCTTTTTTGAAGTAACGTTTACAGCATACTTTTACTAATGATTAGCAGATAGTAATGAATTGTATGTTGCTCTTGACTAACAAAATAATTTCATAATTACACCAGAAAAATATAATAATGCAGCATCAGAGTTTAGGTATCCTAAACTTTGAGATAGTTTATAGAATTTTCTTCTTATAAGGTTATTTTTGCCAGATTTATAGCTTGATAAATATGAATTTAATAACTCTTCCATAAAAATATAATATTATAATTACAACAGAAAAACATTATAACGCCGCTTTAGAGTTAAGCGTGCTACATAGAAATTCTTAAAATTTGAAATAGTTTGATATTATTCCACTTCTATTAGTATAAAATTGTTTACAAAAACCTTTTTGCCATTAGTTTACAAAAAAAAAATTTTGAGAAATTATTTTTAAATGCGATGGCAAGCTGGTAGTTGAAAAATGTTATTTTTGAAAATCTATAACAAAAGGCATTAAAATTTAAAAATTATTAAACCCATAAAATAATTCTATGAAGTAGATCAGCTATTAAATAATATGAAATTCATTGAAAGATAACTTATTTTCTTTTAGATTTTTAGAAAACATATACCCCATACAAGCTTAATAATATTATCTACACATTTTCCAGTAGGAATCAATGTTATTCAATGTCATTGTCAAAGATAAATTGCTTAAATTAGGAACTAATTTGGGTTATATAACAATAACATTAATTACTCCAAGGTTAGCTTTAACCTAGAACGAGGTTAGAGGATATAATATTGGCCAAAAGTTTTAATGTGTAAAAAATATAGAATAATTTTTTTTTTTTAAATATGATTATAAATTTAAAAATCAAACCAGATATGGAAACAGTTGATTCTCCAGACGATTCAGATTCTATGGTACTATCTACTCCTATTTAAGTAAAATTTAAACAAATTACGAAAGTGTTTGTTACTATCATTTATTAGCAAATATATTTCAATATAATATTGGTTGTATAGAAGATTTATACTATAAATATTTTATATAAACTGAGGTCTTAACAAATAAAAAACATATTTTTTAATCAATCTTTGGGGTTGAAGCTATAATATTATATGTAGTGTGTTTTAAGGAGGGTAGTTAAAATTTGTAAAAGAAATTTCGTTTATCAACAAATTTACATTTTAAAATTGGGATTTCGTATTGAATAATACATTTATATTATGTTTCTATTGAATTAAATTAAAATATCTTAAAGAAAATAGGAGATATATTTAATTTTTAAAATAACCAGATCCAAAAGGAGTTGTATTCATGGCTGTTATAACAGGTTTAATTGTAGTGTCTAGTGATAAACAAATAGATAAACAAAAAATATGATGGTTATTTTGTAAATGCTTCTCCTATTGATTAGATGCTAATAATAAATTTTATGTTACTTTTGCATTACAAAAAAACTTTTTAATTACTCTAAAATAATACTATATAGTAGCTTTGGAATTAAAGTGTGAAACATAGAAGTATATAAATTTATAGGTAGTTGTGATGCAAGTAAATAATCTATATTCATTTGCACAAAATATTCAATAGAAACATGATAATCATTTTTGTATTGAGTCTAATTTTATCAAAGAGATTTTAGAAAATTTTAAACGCGATGCTCGAAATTTTGGTAGTTCAAAAATGTTATTTTAGACAACTAAAAAAAGACGCTACAATTGTAAAATTATTTAAACTCAATAAATTAATTTACAAAATCGATCAGCCGTTAAATCATATCGCTTCTATTGCAAATTTACTACTTTGGTTATCTAGTTTTTAAAAATTCAACTCATTATCATATCCCATCTAAGCTTAATAAATGTAACTACAAATTTTCTCGCAATTGGAATTAATGTTATCATATGTATAATATCAAAGATGTGTCGTTAAATTAGTAATCAATATGCATTAAATAAAATTAAATCCCGAATTCGACGGTTTTTCAATTGCATTGAGCTAAATGCGATTAAGGGAAATAATATTGGCCGTATTAAATATGATAATAAATTTAAATATTAAACCAGATATTGAAACAGTTGATTCTCCGGAAGATTCATCTCCAATTGTACTCTCTATTAAAATAAAAATTAAACAAATTACTAAAGGATTTCTATCATATTTTAGCAAATATATTTCTAAATATAAAAGAGGTTTTTTATACTTAAAAATAATATCTATAAATTGAGGCTTATATAAATAAAAAAATATATAAAATCTTCTTCGGGGCTAAGTTTTATTTGATTTTCATTTTGGTAATGTTTTTCAAGAAGAGGACAAATTTATAAAGATTCAGTTAATACAACAGATTTTTATTTTATACCTGGGAATTGGTTTTTTATCTGATTATGGTGAACATTATTTACTAAGCATTTAGTAAGAAATATGAGATTTATTTAATTTTTAAAGTAATAACCAGATCCGAAAGGAGTTGTTTCCTTGGCTGCTACGACAAGTTTAGTGGTAGAATCTAATGATAAACATAAAAATTAAATTAAATATAATGGTTATTATGCAAATATTTTTGCTAATAATTAGATATTAAGCATAAACCTTATAATACTCTTCCACAGTAAAATAATTCATTAATTACACCAAAAATATACTATATCGGACTTAGATAAAGTGTGCTACATAGAAGGATATAAAAGTGAAATAGTTAATAAAATTTTATAATCCACATCTATTAGTATGAAAATATTAGAAAACTATTATTTTAAATTTAATATCAACATTTTTGCCATGAGTATAATTTTATTAACCATATTTCAAAAAACAATTTTCGGATGTGATACAAGAGATATTGGTGGTTGTAAATATTATTTTTGACAATTATCCAAAAAAAGGCAATACTAAAAATTATATAAAAAAAATAAATTAAACTTATGATTTTACAGAGTCAATAAGTTCATAAATTTATTTTATTTTTATAATTTTAGATTAATATAAGTAACTAGAAATTCAATATAGGAATTAATGTTTTTAAATATACACGTCTAAGATACATTGTTAAAATTAGTAACCATTTAAATAACATTAATTCCAAATACGACAGTTAGCTAAATTGAGCTTAGCACTGTTTAAGAAATAATATTGGCCGAAAAGTTTAATTTAAAAAATATATAGATTTAGAATATGATTATTAATTTGAAAATCATACCAGATATGGAGACAGTTGATTTTCCAGATGATTCGACTTCAATGGTACTATCTATTCCTATTTATGTAAAATTTGTTAAAATAGTGCTACTATAATTTATTAGCAAATAATTAAATATTAGTTTTGTATAAATGTTTTAACTATAAATAATATCTATAAATTGAGGCCTTCACAAATTAAAAATATTATTTTCATTCAATCTTCTTGGCTCCCAGTTTTATTTTTTCTGTAGCGATTTTCCACAAAGAGATTTTTAAATTTGCAAAAGAAATTCAGTTAATACAACTGTCATTTTAAACAAAATCTTGAGACTTGTGTAATCTTATTTTGAAATCTTAATTTAAATAGGCTAAATCGAGCGATACAACACTAGTTACTACTGATTTAAATTAAAATTTTATTAGATTTTTAGTAGAAAATATGTGATATATTAAATTTTAAAAATAATGACCAGATCCATAATGTGTTGTTTCGGCTGTTACGACAAGCTTAGTGGTAGAATCTAGTGATACAAATAATAAATAAAATAAATATGATGGTTATTTTGTAAATACTTCTCCTATTGATTAGATGCTAATAATAAATTTTATGGTTCTCTTCCATAAAAAAACAATTTCATAATTACACCATTATAATAATATATCGTAGCTTTAAGGTTTTGCACTACAAGTAAGTTTATTAAATTTTAAGGTAGTTTGATACAAGTCTAATAATGCATTTATTCCTAAACTTTTAAACTTTTTCTTAATTTAAAAAATCGGCCATTTTGTCATGAGTCCTTTATCAAATAAATTTTGAGAAACTATTTTCAGATGCGATTTCAGAGGTTGGTGAAGGAATTCTATTTTTGACAACTTCCAAAATTATGCACTGTTTAAAACATGCTCAATTGATTAATGTTCATCATAATTAATTGAATTAAGCTTTTTATATAAAATTTTTTTTTTTATATTTACTTGTTATAAATTAGATTTTATAAAATGTTTAAACGAGATAAATTTTTTATATAATATAATGTGCAATCATAATGACAATTAAAAAATTATTAAAATATAATAGTAATTTTACTCATTAAATAAATTTCGAACGTCAATGATCTGTTAAATTATATCGCATTAATTCTTAACTTACCTATTTCTTTCACAGTTTTTAAAATCAACTCTTATACCCAGCCAAGCCCAAAAAATCCGCAAAATTTTCTTGTAACAGGAATTAATGTAATTAAATGTACACGGCTAAGATATATTTCCAACATTAGCAATCAATTACTTTAATAACATTAATTCTTAAAATCGGGGGAGAAATTCCTAGCTAAAAAGATCTAAGACCAGGTTACAAGTAAAAATATTGGACAAATAGTCAAAAGCTCTAAAAATAGGTATAAATTTATTTATTTTAGATATGATAATAAATTTAAAAATTAAACAAGATTCGGAAATACTTGATTCTCCAGATGATTCATATTCAATGGTACTATCTATTTATAAATAAAAATTAAAAATATTATTTAGTATAATTATATATGATATATAAATTTTGCAGAAATTTTAATCATTTTTTCCACATTGCAAAATATTTCTCAGAGCACCAGTAAGGATGGAATTGGTGTATTCAAGGAAGAAAGAGGCGAATATTTCATCATTAACCAATTCGCCAGTTTTCGTAAATATCATTTTAAATAGTGTTTTACATTTTTGCAAAATAGTCATAACTTATTTTTTTTGGAATTAAACTGTTGCCAAAATTAACTAGGTATTTTTAAAAATATTTATATGTATGTATAAATATAATCAAATTATATTTTTTTTATTTTATAATAAATTAATTTTAAACATTCTCCTAACTGTCCTTAAAAAAGTTAATATCCCATGCTCTCTCGAACCAATGAACTTTTAAATAAAATAACCCTATGCTCGGGTGATATTTTCTATCCCATGAACGAACGGTCTCCCGTTGACCTGGAACTACACTTTGTCGAATTTATAACGACGTCTAACCGCTCATTGCGGGAAAAACAGATTACAAGCCATTCCAACGAAGTATACAAAATCTTAAGCATTCACTTCTCTCAATGTACCTTCCTTTTTTCAAGTTCTTTTTAATAAAATTTTTATATATTTATTTTTTCATATAATTTTTACTATATTTTTATTTGTTTTATTTTATAATATTTCATTTTGATATCATTAAAGATGTATTTTATATATAAATATTCACAGAGTTAATTATTTTTTGGCAAAATAAAATCTAAGGAATGGAAAAAAAATGATTAAATGTCTGATTCTGTATGTGTGACTTTTTTCATATATAATTTTGAATTGATAATTGATCAGACCTATGTATCTGTCAGATACAGAATATAATATGAATTCTGATTCGTCACTCAGTGACGTTGAGATTTAAATGATTCAGTTAGAAGAAATAGAAATTTACCACCCCTTCTAAAACTTTTACCAAAACAACGTAATTAAATGCAAAAATTTGGATTTCACAAATCCATTATTTTAAACTGACTGGCCGTGGATAAGGAAAGAAAAAAATTTATCAAAAAAATGGAAATTTTAATAATAAACACTCGAATGTCTTAAGGCGATCCTGAAACAATTGAATCACTCACACCCCTAAACCAACATCATTTGATTATATAATTTTGACCTAAAACGACAATATTTATTGTTTACATAATGAACATAATAGAAAATTTTATACAATCCAATAATAATACATTATTTTTATTTGGTGATCTCAGATTTAAAATACTTCTTATCAAATATAATATTAATTCAGCTAATAAAAAATTTGTGCCAACATTTCCCTCTCCCCTCCAATGAATTATTTTATATTTCAGTATAAGCAATATTTTTTTTATATAATTTATATTTTTTTTAAATAAAAGCTATAATGTGATAAACGAGTTTTCCCCTAAATTTCTTTTAAAAACATAGTCCTGCCAAAAGTCTTTCAAAGCGAAAAAAACCACCCAAACTCTTTCCACTTTAAAAATCCTAAATATATCCATTGTGTATAAAACAACTCATTTTATTTATAAGCACAAATATTTAAGAATTCTAATTATTAGTAGTTAAGATAGGGCACTTTATTATTATCTATAACTTTATCATTATTTAGATATATTAGCTATATAAACGTTGGTTTTATAATTTACTAACCAATCGAAGTTGTAGTAAGTTCAGAAGTATAATCCGTTGAACCTTTATTGTAAAAAAATATAATTAAAAAATTAAATCTTGATTATTTCGGATATTTATTAATTAAAATAAGGTATTGCCATTTCTCAAATTAAACTTAACTTGTTAAAATTGCCATTAGCCTTAAATTTTTAATAAATATTTTGGCACTTAACTGTACTCTAAATAAAATTTGAATAAAAGATATCAAGAGTTAGAATATTGTATCTTTTAAAATAAGAATTCATGTAATATTTGGATATGAAAACTATTTTTTTTTAACCCAAACGGGCCTGGGTAGCATTACGTGTTCTAATTTTTTTACTCATTTGCGATTTAAATAAAATTTTATGTAATTACTAATTTATCAATTTAAATTTTAAAATATCTGACGCCAGAAAAAAATTATTCCTGTATAATTTAAATTCTATATTCATCAAACAACAAGATTGATTCAAGATATCATATTTTGGATTGTATTGATTTAGCAATCAGTAGATGCCCGAAATTCCAAACTCCAGATATCTTAGATCTGTAATTCGGATGATAAATATATTCATGTTGAGCAGAGAGATTTTAATGATTGTTGTAAAAATGATAAAATATATGATAAAGACAAACATAAAACTTTGAAATTTGATAAGCCTATTGATATGTGAAATGGGAAATGAGAAATAATTTTCGATTCTTATTTAAAAGAATAAAGGAAAATGAGCTCAAATCGTTTTATTTTATTTAGATTTGATAGAAATTTTAAAAGTTTTTTAAGATTATTCAAAAGATTATTAATTTTTTATCCACAAAAAAAAGAATGCATGCTAAAATACGCTTTGTTTTACAGTGATATCTAATCATTTGATCGTCAGTGATAATGTTAATTATCATATTTTTCCTAAAATAAAACATATATTAAGTAATCAATTTTATCAAATATTTAAAAATTATAGATTCCACACTCCGTCCTAGCTAAAGAAATATCAACTAATTTTCTCTTTTACTAATTTTATGGATTAATGTTATCAAATGCATGTGTCTAAATTTATTATGAAAATTAGTAATATTAAGGGAAAATAACATTAATTAACAAATTCAAAAAGAAAATTCTTAGTGAATCTTATTGTGCTAGTACAAAGTAACAACGGCATGTAACGATTATAAAAATATACCGCATATATATAAAAAAATTTTAAAAAAAACTTAATAAAAATTAAATTTAAAAAAATTAAGAGATCGGACTTGCATTGCTATATGGAAACATGGATAACAATGCAATAACTTCGATGAATAGCCAATGTAATGGCTTGTTTGAAATAGAAGATTATTTTAGAAAAATTATTTCATAGTAATATTTTATTCAATATAAAAATATTTTATTCAATATAAAAATATCATTTTTTATTTTTAGCATTAATGGGAGGTGTTAATGATATATTGTAGAATCGCCTTAAATAATTAATAGAGCTACATAAGAAAATTACGGTTAAGAATTTATTTTTTTTAATATCATAGAATAAAATAGCATTAATTTAAAATAAAGCTTTGAAATATTTATCAATTAAATTTGCTAACCTTGGCATGTATGTAACAACATGTTGCTTTTATGTTTAGTTCCTTGAACCTCAAAATCTCCAGAAATCCGTAAGATGAAAGAATTATTATAGAATTTTTGAATGTCATTAGATTCTACGATAATTCGGTCTTCTTGTTGTTTTAAAATGATCTAATAAAACATTAATTATATTCAAGAGTTTTGAAATTTTATATTAGACTAGTATTTTAAACTAATTAAATAAAGTTGCAATCCCTTCTCTATTAACGTTATCTTTTCTTAAATATATAAATTGGAAATATAAAATCATAATTTAATTACTTCACTATTAGTAGCAGTGGTGGGCAACGTGCACATAATATTGTCTTCGATATTTTTAACATTGTAATAACATATTGAAAATTGAGTATTGGAAGAGTTTCTTTGAATTGTTCTCAACTAGCAAGGATTGAATAAATAAATTAGAATTAAAATATCTCACAATAAATAATTATCAAAGATCCTACCATAAGTTTATTATATTTTATCTTATAATTTTATTTAACCAAATTTTAAAAATAAAAACAAACATTGTTTATCCTGGCTGGAGTACTTGATAAAAAAAATATATTTATCCTCTAGTTTATATTTTATGGCTCTTTTCTTCCTTGACCTTATATATTTTGTAAATATATTCCACCTTACACCCTTTTACCAAAAAATTATATCCTACTAATCGGCACTTTTAGAAATTAATATTTTAATAGCGACAAATTTTTGGATGATTTGCATCCAAACCCTGTTTTGCCTTGGCTTCAGCCGAGTCCCTTCTATAAAAAATATTATATATTATTGATTTTTCCATGCTTCTCTTTATATCATCTTCGTTAACGTTAGCTGAACAATCGGAAATGCTAATTCTAAAAGATGTCATTGTTTTATTCTTTATTAGTGTTAGTGTCAGACCGTAACTAGTATAGTAGCCAGTATAAATGGAAAAATTATTAGTAACAAAATTTTTTCCAGCGTTACGATTAAAAAGCGAGTAAAGGCATTATTCTGAAATTTTATGAATGATTAATGCTCAATTGTAAATAAATATAATCTGTTTAGAAGACATAAAAAGAGAAAAAAATTGCATTATTTAAAAAAATCAATCTATCCGGTGTGTTCTAATATTTAGTACCTGAGAGCCACAAAAGGAAACTGAGTTATAAACAAAAGGAAAACTACAGTTTTTTGGAAATATACCAAACCATTAAAATATTTTATTCTGATTGGTAGATGGTTTGAAAGGGAAGAGAATTATTGGTAAAAAATAAAAAATTATCAAAATTAGCATCAAGCCAGAACGAAGAATATAGAAGTTATAAGTATCTGGTTTGCGTTATGATCTAGTGTCTTACTTCTTTAATCAATTTTGTCAGCCACAAAAAAAGTAGTCAAATTAAGAACCAATCAAAAGATATGGAAGCATTATCTCTGATATTTATATGAATAATTAGTGTGCATTTTATATTTTTAGAGCTTTAACTCGTTTAATAGATAGTTTAAAGATTAACATTGTTGGCAAAATATAAATAAATTGACAAGTTTGACATCATTTTAGAATAAAAATTATTGAAGTAATGAATTATATAAAGCATGATTAGAAGCTACTAATTCAACAATCTGTTTTTCTAATCAATAAATAAAAACCAGTTATAAGAGAAACAAAAACTACGACACGCTTTAGGCTGAGTCTTAAATATCAAATTTTAAATTACGATGCAAAAGGAAATCACGTGTAAATATTTAAAGTTTTTCCCCTATTCAAAATATTTAGAATCTTATGATTCTATGATTTTTTTAGATGTTGATTGTTCTTTTCAGTTTATTTAATTGATATTTAACATATTATTATTAAATTAATTTAAAAAAATAAAAATCTGAATTTATGGGCGCCCATCCCCTGTCTACGCCCAATGTTTAAATAATATTTGAAGCTAATACAAATAAATAGCTAGATAGCCACTTAAATCTTTTTTCAAATATTATTTGTGCGGGGTGTAGGATCTATGATCAATAATAAATATTAATCTTATGATATAAAGTAATATCACCTCAAATTGTTATATACTAATGTTTTGTAATAAATTGACAATAAAAATATAATCCCCAAAATCTGAATAAGTAATTAAATACACTATTCGACCAGCATTTCAAATTTTTTTTGTTTATGACGAAAAAAATAAGGTTATTTATAACAAATAAAATGACTTATATTATTGCTTCATTTTATTACTAATTCTTCATTTTGGGGCATTTAAGACAATCATATTTACATTCTTAATTCCTAAATTAAAAGTGATAATCAAAAAATATAGGGAAATATATTTTGAAATAGACTAAAAATGGAAAGGGAAAAGATATGTATAAATCTCATTTCATCATTTCATGCATTCAATATTGGTTTAAAACAATAAATGTCGATTTTTTTTTAATCGTTCATAATTTTGGAGACATAATTTCGGTTGTTTGAAAATAATTTAGAAATGAAAAACCTAAAAAGTGGGTATGTTAATATATCCATAAAAAATTTGTATATATTACATTGCTATCGAAGTTGATAATGGAATCGATTCCTAGAATGCTAATTGCCATGTAAAATTGATCTTGTGTAGTCAAACTGACCGAGCCTTTATAACAGGTCATCTCTTCCTCGTGGCAGTCCTTTCTTTTATAAATATCTTCTCCATCTATGGACCAAATAATCTCATTACCATTCCTTAACAATTGAACTCGGGGTCTGATATTTTTTTAAATTTTATAAATAATTCATTATTCAAGTTAGATAAATATTTGCTTTAGTTAAAGAGTTGCGACGACAATGCTCTAAAATTAATTTAGAGGGTTTATTAAAGTGACATCAAATAATTTATTCACTTTAGCCAAAGATCACCTCTAAAAGATTTCACCTAAGCTATTTTAATAGTAATAGTTTAATTCTATCATTTTGAAGATATAACAAATATAAAATTATTTGAATTGTTATTTTAATATTCTCAAATCTTCTTAAAGCTGCTTATTAAATTTGTTATGGAATGACTCTAACCATACGCGTAAGCAGGAATTTGGTCTGGGTGAGGGGCGGGGTGGATAATAAATTTTTTAATGAAATATTATTGTTATTTAAAAATATCAAGCATAAATTTATTAGGACTAATAACTATTTCTAATACACAATTTCAATTATATGAATTATAAAAAAATTATATATATAAACCGGCACATAAAAAACTATAAAATAAATGTGAATTAAAAAATATAAAGTGAATTTAACCACCATATGAATCACTTAAATGACCCAAAATAGAAATTTGAATTTTTTGAGCCTTTAAAATTTATATATAAAGTAAAAAATTTTAATGTTGGAAATATAAATATTAATACCGTTGGGATTGAGCTAATTTTTCAATTACTCATCCTTGCTTGGCGTCAAATGCCTATAAATATTTAAAAGATCCAAACCATTCAATTCATTTTCAGAAGTTGTACTTCTTAGGTATGTTTTCAGAGAACTGCAGGCCCGGTTCCCGGGCCGGACCGTATTTTAATTTTTTAAATACACCCGGGCAGTGTCTAAATTTTTTTTTAAAAAAAAACACTCGGGCTGGGCCGAATTTTTTTAAAAAAAAAATTATCCGGTTCCGGCTATATATTTTAAAACCAAATATTTGAAATTATATAAAAATCAAAAATAAATATAATTTATTTAAAAATATCCAGGCCGGGCCCTGCAAATTGTATCTCTGCAGGGCTCTGTTATTCTTCTTAAAAAGAGAATGTTCTCTCATTAGTTTACTAATGGGAAGAGTTTTCTAATATGTATATATAATCATTTTAATACATTGGGAATAAAATCTAAAATGTGTTTGAAATTATACAAAGCATCCATAGCATTTTTTGGGACTATATCTTAGTTAATCTTTTAAACATAGTTATTTAGCTAATAAGGCATCAAACAAATATTTTTTTTTTCTATCACCATCTGTAAAAGATTGGGAAGGCTTTTGTGGAAGTAATATCTGCAGATTGGTAAGTGCTGCATGATGAATTAAAAACCATTCATTTATTTGGATTATAGTTTTATAATACTTTTCTACTGACCCTATACTAATGTTTTGACGATGAGCTTGCCTTGCTTCAAATCGAGTGAGGCAAATATTAAACACTTATAGCTCTCCTTTACTCAACAATTACATAAAAATTGAAATTCTTCAACAACATTAGCCCTAATTTCCTTGAGTTCTAATAAAATTCACTCCGCTATTCTCATCTTCGTAATCAAGTCAATGCCATGTTTTTAAAAAGTATTACATAAAATAGTTGTATAATTAAATAATACATTCTAATGAAAAAAAAATTGAAATAAGTATTGAATCCAATAATTTTCTTGCTTCTGAGAAAATATTTCTTTCAGGCCATGTGATATTTCAGTAATAGCATTAATAATCGGCTCTTCTAACTCCATAAATGATGGCTGAGACTCCATCTCGTTGGACAAGCTTGCACTTTCTTTCTCCCTGTTAGACAAGGAGTTTCAGAAAAATTATATTTGACTAGAAATATAAAAATGGTAGATAAATATTACGCCACTAGAAATTTGAAAATTATAGGTATATATTATGCCAATGAAAACTTGAAATCGAAATTAATAAATAAAATAACTTAATAGATGAATGTGAAATAAATGTAATTAAATATATATTTAACATGAGATAGGAATAAATATTAACAAATAAATATTAATTTAAACATTAATATTTTTGAAAAATATATCCGGCATCTGCATTTTTGCCCCCCCCCGCTTCGTACGCCAATGACTCTAACTGAGAAGTACATTATAAAATTTAGAGCAGATATATTATTAAATTTAAAAATATTATTGATTTTATTCAAGGAATTAGAAAATTAAAATATTTGACGGGCTGTATTTAAATTGATAAGTATTAATTAATAAATAAGAAAAATTATACATTGAATCAGAAATCTGAATCGAAGGAAAAATCTCCTTTGGATCATATTGACCACTCTTGATAACTTTTTGACATAATTCGTCTCTCCATGCTGAAGAAAAGAATAAAATATAATTAATCTTTAAATACTGAATTTTTGCAAATCTATATTAATCGTTTTATTATAACATTCATAATCAATATTTGTCGATACTTCAATAAAAAATTAGGAATTTTTAAAAAAGGTGTATTTTTTAAAATAATAAGTTAAACTTCTATTAATAAATTGATAGTTTGATAATGATCGATTTCAATAAATTTTTGTTTCGAAAATTTTATTCATCATGAAATAAATATAATTTATATTCACTTTTTGTGGGGATACTTTTATCAGTTGTGGCTATATTGTTGCATTAATATAAATGATTATATATTGATTTCTAAAAATGAGGCATATAATAAATTTTTTTAACGGCATAATAAAATGATAATATTCGAATAACAATAATAATTTTATTCAATGTTATATTTTATTTTGAATATAACGATATCTAACGCCAGATTGGACTTTAATAAAATTAAAGAATATTTAACAAATTTTTTAAAAAACATTTATGAGATTTAAATTAAAGGGTTATACCGATAACTAGTTTTTTTATAAGATTACTCCTGAAGTTCGATACCATTTATATTTAAAAATTTAATCCAAAAAAATATGCATTTCAATTAATATAACATTTTAAAATGGCTATTTACTTTACCTAATAACTTTAGTATATTAAACACAATTCGAAGTAATTCAAAATCATAAAAAATAAAATTTGGTAACATCGTATGAGCTATAGGATCGGGCATAAATATTGCAATGTAAAAGAACCCTGGGAATTTTATAAGCAGGACAATCAAATTTTATAATGTATTGATATGAAAAACAGATTATCGTTATAGTAAATAAATTGATCGAGAGGTTTTCAGACCAGAAAAAGATCTTCCGTTGTAGAAGGAGTAAGATTCGGCAAAATTCGAGATCTCAACTTTGTCTGTTTGAAATTTTTAAGTTTGAAGTTCCTCCTACATGAGTCTTTTAAGTATTTTGTATTTATTCAATGCTAGGGTCAAATGATTCTTCAAAATCACTTTATAATTGGTGTTTTTTTTAACAACTAAATTTTTAGCTTATATTTACATTTCTTTTCATAATATTTTACCGATTCTTAAATTTAAAAAATTAGTTCAAATTAATCATATTATTAGGTAATATGAAATAACCAGATCCTGAAATAGTTAATTTACCAGATGATCCAGCTTTAGTAGTACTATCTATTGATATATAAATAATTATTAAAACATATCATTATCATAAAATTAAAATAAGAGAAATAAATAAATCATTTTAAACATCAATAACATCATAATTTATCTATTTTTTTTTATATTTATGTTTTTCTTATAAAAGCAAAAAGACAGTAGTTAATGAAATCGTAAATAGAACCTAAAAGCGATTGATAAAAATTATTATAATTATTTTATTTAATATAGTTTTTATATAAATTTTATTTTGCAAATAGTTTACATGTTATTTTAAATATATATAATTTTTTAAAAAATAAAAGAAGTGAGATGATTTAAAATTTTTAATTTATATTGTTTTATTTTATAATGAAAATAAACTTATTTATTTGATGTTTTTTTAATAAAAAAAATAATATGCTGCTATTATAAAAATGTAATATTCTTTTTAATATAATTTATTAGTGATTTTCACAATCTTCTTTGTAAATACATCTTTTATTGAGGTATTATATTGTAAATTTTATTAGATAAAAAAACATTAGGTGAAATCTTATATAATTTTTTTTGCTCAATTTTGTAAAATTATCTATTTTTTTATTAAATGAGTTGTTTCTTTTTAAATAATTTTTTTTAAATATTTATATTAAACTTTTTTGATGTTATTTTATATGATCTTTTTAAGGATAATATTTTAATGTGACAATTGTCATAATCGTTATTTTTAAATTTTTTTGAATTTTTTTGACAAAAATAGACTAAAATAAGTATTGATAACATGTTTAAATAAAAATTTAGTGAAGATGTACCATAGAAAAGTGACAATTGTCATAATCGTAGTTTTTAAAGTTCTTTGAATTTTTTTGACGAAAATATGTTAAAATAAGTATTGATAACATGTTTAAATAAAATTTAGTGAAGATGTACCATAGATAGGTGACAATTGTCATATTCGTAGTTTTTAAAGTTTTTTGAAGTAAATAGGCTAAAACAAGTATTGATAACATATTTAACATAAAACAACATTAAAAAAATCCAGGACGGGCCGGCCCTGAATATATAATAAAAATCCTGGCCAGGCCTAATTTTTTTTTTGAAGAAAAGAGCCGGGACGAAATTTTTATATTTTAAAAATTAGGGTCATGCAAATAACACCTCTACTGCTATCTCATAAATTAATTATTTACAAAAACCACAGTTAAAAATTTCTAAACAACACATAATATGAATAAAAATCACCTTTAAAAATATTTAATAAAAAAAATTTATTAATATTTACATCAAATTTTATGAAAAAATAGGAAAAAAAATGTCGAGTTAATAATTGATTATTCTTCAATCAAATTATCTTTAGCTTAAAAAAAAAAAATATTTGTATTTTAATTTCTTAACCTATAAAATTAATTATAGCACTAATTTTAACCTATTTGCTTCAAAAAACTTAAAAATAACGATTATGATAATTGTCGCTTAAAATTTTTATTTAAACATGTTATCAATACTTATTTTAACATATTCTTGTCAATAAAATTCAAAAAACTTTAAAAATAATGATTATGACAATTGTCATTTTTCTACGGCACATCTTCACTAAATTTTATTTAAACATGTTATCAATACTTATTTTAACATATTTTCGTCAAAAAATTCAAAAAACTTTAAAAATAACGATTATGACAATTGTCACTTTTCTATGGTACATCTTCACTAAATTTTTATTTAAACATGTTATCAATACTTATTTTAATCTATTTTCGTCAAAAAATTTTAAAAATAACGATTATGACAATTGTCACATTAAAATATTATCCTTAAAAAGATCATATAAAATAACATCAAAAAAGTTTAATATAAATATTTTTAAAAAATTATTTTAAAAAAAACACCTCATTTAATAAAAAAAACAAGATAATTTTACAAAATTGAGCAAAAAAAATTATATAAGATTTCACCTAAAAGATTGTTTTTTTATCTAATAAAATTTACAATATAATTCCTCAATAAAAGATGTATTTACAAAGAAGATTGTGAAAATCACTAATAAATTATATTAAAAAGAATATTACATTTTTACAATAGCAGCATATTATTTTTTTTTATTAAAAAAAACATCAAATAAATAAATTTATTTTCATTTCAAAATAAAACAATATAAATAAAAAATATTAAATCATATTATGTTTTTTGTTGATAATAATAAAATATTTACATTAAATATAAATAAAATAAATTGTTTTACTAAAATAAATAAATAATAATTAATGCTAGGCATCGATGCAGAATTTTTGACTAATTTATTTTAGCCAATTTTTAGGCTTAGTTCATTTTTAGGCTAAGCCGATTTTTAGGCTTAGCCGATTATTAGGCTTAGCCGATTATTAGGCTTAGCCGATTATTAGGCTTAGGCGTAGTTTTTAGCCGATTACGCAACACGCTGCGTGATATACTTTTTATATTTAAATTGAATAAAATTTATATATATATTTAATTAAAGTTCATGAAATGTTTATTAAATTTATATGCCTTTTATAGTTTTGTTAAATGATTCGATTTGAGCCCATTTTTAAAAACGCCTAACTGGTTATTTATACAGAAAAATTATTTTGAGGAGTTGTCCAAACTTTGGCGCTATCTATGAACAAAATCGTCAGGCTTGCCCTAATAATTATTCTGGTAAAATATTGAGTTAGCCATATATAAAAATAGGCTCAAATCGAGCCGTTTAACAACATTAGCATAAATTTTCTTTTAATATATCATAATAAATATAAAAATCAAACCAGTTCCGGAAACAGTTGATTCTCCCGATGATTCTGGTTTAAGTGTATTATCTATTAATGTATAAGTAAAAATTAAGATTGTTAGTATATAATATGGTAAAAATTATAAACTTTGCAAAGATTATTTAACATAATTTTTTGTATTCTAAAAAATCCCTAGAGCACCAAAAGGATATAATTGGTTAGCCAAAGGAGCAGAAATTTCCTACTTAACAAATTTGTCAGTATTAGTAAATAATATTTAAGCTAATAGAAAATTTTCCCAACATATCCTCTCACTCCCTTTTCCAAAAAAAAAATAATAGTTTTTAAATACTGCTAGAAACTTCTGAGAAAAGAGAGGGCTGAAACTATCTAAAAGAATGCATAGCAAAAAAGCATCTGAAAATCTGTCTTTTTAAATCTTGAATATGTCTAGCTAAGAACTATTTCTGCAGATATAATTAAAATATTTTCAGAGTTAAATATTGTAGGAAATGCAAACAAAATTCAAAGTTTATTGTATCTTTTTTAAATAAAAATTCTCGTCAATGGAATAAATTGTTTAATAATTCTCAATAAGATAAAATTGGTCTATTCCATTTTAAATTAAATAATTTTTTTTAACACGTGTATATAGAAAAGATGCCAAAACTTTAAGTTTTATTATGCAGTAAATCCAGAGAATGCTTAATCCTAAATTCCTTTTGAATTGTTGATAAAATAAATTGTTATAGTTAAATGGTTGAATATAAGGAGTTGTGATATGAATAATTCCTAAGCGGTTCTAATATGTGCAAATTATATTGTTTAATTTTTGTGTGCTTCTTTTTAAAGGATTTGTCTACTGTTCAAATATTTTTAATTTTTTTTGATAACTTTAAATTCAAAATTTAAAGTATGAATAGAACAACCAGAACCACTATTTATTAAAATATTCAGTACTGAAGCAAAATTATGATCTGTGTTCCAAATTTTTATAATATGCAATGGTTATCATTTTATCAGCACTTTTTATCTTTTATAATGGAGCTTTTATTTTGTTTTTAAAATTTTTGTATTTAGCACAGATAACTGCAGATCGTTAGAAAAGCCTAATTTGAATGATTTTGTAAATTCAAGTCTAGATTAAATAACAGGATTATTATCTAATGTACGGTCTTAAATATAAAAATAAACTTCAGTAGAGATTTTTTTAAACAGACTGGAATTGAATTTATTATATCAATTAACTAGTTTTAAAATTATCTGATGGATGATTAAAACATACAAACCTTTTGTATTTTTAAATTTCTTTGTAACAGCAAAATTATTTTAAATTAATAAATTTTAAAATATAGGGATGGGCCAATAAAGCCGGCAACAGCGTTGAGTTAAAAAATATTTTTTAACATCAACCGGGTTTAAGAATGGATTGCTCCAAGCTATCTCAGATTTTACCCATCTTTGATTTAGATACAACTTTTGCTTTATACATTTATGAGAAAATATAATATAATTATAATAACCAAATTCAGAAATAGTTGTGATTTAGTATCAAATGCTATTAAATAAATAGATAAAATTAATTATTTATCTAATTTTTAATAAACTTTTATAAAAAGTAAATAATTTTAGCTACAAAAAAAGATTCTTCAGATGGATTTATAGACCTATTAAATCTCAAATAGAAAAATAAAGTCTTAAATATTAAAGTAGAATGTCCCATACAATAGGTATAATTTCAATTCTTAATAAAATATTTCCTTTTGATAATATATTTGTTTTTAAAACTATTTATCTTTAATATTACAATCTTTTAAATAAGAAAATTATATCTTAATATAAATATAAATATTAATTCGGTACATATATAATCCTAATTAAACAGTTTTAATTATACTTCCTTTCAATATTCGTATCATGCACAATTTTATTTGGTAAGATAATTTATTTTTAGTAAATTATATATATATATAATATATATTTTTATATTTATTAAAGAAACTCTCACAACACTATTTTTCAAAATATGAAGAATTATTAGGTAACACCCAATATTTAAAATATAAAAATTGAATTCTCTTTTTTAGAAAGTTTTGAAAACTTATTCTAAAATATTATAATAGACTGTTACAGCAGTTAATTTTGCTAGAAAATTTTGAATTTAATTATTAACTAAATTGTGTAATTAGTGTATGTTAGATGAGTATAAAAAAATTGTTTTCTTACTAACATTTGAAATTAAAAAATAATTAAAAGTTATTATCCGAATCTCGGGATGAGGAGAAATCTAAAGATGATAATTACATTTTATCAACAAATCATAATAATAATTTTTTTTATTATTCTATATTTATTGGTGCCAAAAAGAGCTCAATTTAAAAATGGATAGATTCGATTTTCACCGATCAAAATGATATTTTTTAAAGAATCTAATTATATTCGTTTTCCAGTTATTCTAAACGAAATGACAAATAATTTTACAATTTATTCCATCTATAACAGGTTTCTATTAGAGCTTTTAGATTTTTATAAAATGTCTTAGGGTCATCTTTTGATTTTGAGAATATCAAACCTTTAAAAAATATCTTGTTTAAGTAATTTATTCAAAAATATACAATATATTATTTTCTAAATATTAATAACCAGATCCGAAAGGAGTTGTTTCTTCAGTTTGTATGACAGTTTTTGTGACATTATCTATTAATAAATAATTTAAATTAAGCAAACAATTTAAGGATATGGTGTCATTTTGTTAGGAAATATTTTTTTAATTAACTATAGTAGTATTATACTGTATTCACAGTTAACGCGGATTCGCACGAAATATATAAAAACACAGCATATTTTATTTACTTAGCCGCGAAATAGAGCTAACGGTGAATGCAAGATTATAGAGGCTTTTTTTACAACAAATAATATTTATAAATTGAGGCCCTCACAAATTAGGGCTTCTTAAATATGAAATTAAATTTAAAAATTTTACTAAAATTTATTAGTAAATATATTTTTAATTATTAGGGGTATATAAAAGATTTTCTATACTAAAATTTATCTATAAATTGAGACTTTTACAAAATATATATACATAAAATCTTCTTCGGGTCGAGGTTTTATTTGATTTTTCAATGTTTCTATAGAGGACTTAAAATTTATAAATGAAATTCAGTTAATACAACTGATTCTATTTTTAATTTGGGAATTCATATTGAATATTACATTTATAAAGTTTTTTTATCTGATTTAAAGTGAAATTTATATAATAAACTTTTATTAAAGAATATGAGTTATATTTAAAAATAATAACCAAATCCGACAGGAGTTGTTTCCTTGGCTATTACACTAATAGTCGTAGAATCTAATGATAAATATAAGAAATAAATTAAATATGATTGTTATTTTGCAATATTTATTATAAACTATATACTACTAATTATAGCAAATTATTATATCGTATTAATAAGAATTGTGAAGTATATTATTTGAGATAGTTTGATACAAGTTTAAAATAATCCACATCTATTCAATAAAAATTAAAAATTTTAGTTTTAAATATAAATATCAATTATTTTTGTCACGAATCTAATTTTATTAATTATACTTCGAGAAACAATTTTTGGATGCGATACAAGAGATGTCGATGGTATAAAAAATTATTTGTGACAATTACACAAAAAAGGGACCACAATTTAAAAATTATCAATAAATTGAAACCCATTAAATACTTTTAAATATGATATTCAATTTAAAATTAAACCAGATACGGAAACCGTTGATTCTCCAGATGATTTGGCTTCAATGGTACTATCTATTCCTATTTAAATAAATTTAAACAATTACTTAATAATCTACTATTATTGGAAATATATTTTAATTAACTATTATTGGTATACAAGAGATTTTAACTATAAATAATATCCATATAAATTGAGGCCTTATTAAATTAAAATAAATTTTTATTTTATCTTCTTTGGGTCCCAGCCATATATGATTTTTTGTTCTGATTTTCAAATAGGAGACTTAAAATTTGCAAGAAATTTAGTTTATAAATAGATTTTTCCAGTTTACTATCGAAATTTAATATTGATCATTACATTTATATAGGTTTTATCTGATTTTCATTTAAACTAATTTAAAACCTTTAATAGGAAATGTGGGTAATATTTATTTTAAAATAATAACCAGATCCGAAGGGAGTTGTTTCCTTGGCTAATACGATAGGTTTAGTTGTATAATCTAGTGACAAAGAAATAAAATTAAATGTCTAAATTTATATTATTTTGTAAATCAGGGTAGATTAAAAAAATATTCATAAACTCAAATACGATCTTATATAAAAATAAACCTCTACACATTTATATATTTTTTAAACCGCCTGGAATTGAATTTGAATTTTATAAATTAACTAGTTCAAAAATTTTCTGACAGATGATTGTCCTTAATCTTTTTAAAATTTTATTGAAACAGCAAAATTATTAAGTATAAATTTTATTTTCAAATCCCTGGATAGGTCAAAAAATAATAATAATCAAACATCGTTGGGTTAAAAAATATTTTTTTTTACTCCGATCGGACCAAAAAAAAAATCATAACTTATCTACGATTTTATTCATTTGTGCTTTTAATTCAACTTTGGCTTATTTTTATGATTAAAAATTTAGGAGAAAATATAATATAAAAATCATAACCAGATCCAGAAATAGTTGTTTTTTGCGATGGGGAGTCAGATTTAGTATCAAATTCTATTGATAAATAAATACAATTTAATAATTGTCTGATATATTATGTATTTAAGTTTAAGTTTTAAAAATAAAATTCTTTTAAAAGGTAAGTTAAATTTTATTAACTTGTAGCAATTTATTTAAAAAAATAGTTTATATGAACTCTGTATTGAAAAGATTTATATTTCTAATAGGTTATATTTTTCTTTTAAATTTTTTCAAAGATTTAAAATAAATTTATCGATTTTTTCCATATAGTAACATTTTATTTATTTTATCCCATGAAAAAATGTTCCTTACATTATATTATAAACACTAATGGATGCAAGAAAATCTTATCAACATATATATAAACTATTTATTAGACAAAATTTCTATAATGAATGAAATGTTCAGATATCCAAAGACACAGAAGAATAAGATTATTTGTGATACTTCATGTGGTACAAGATATAAGAAAATTCAAAAGACATGCCCAACAAGATGGTGACTTCGACATCAAGCTGTTACAGCATTTTATATCTAAAAACGCCTTTCTTGAGTTTAAGTTCGACAACTATTTGCTGTGGAATGTTGTAATAAATTATTGTATTACACAAGAATTTAATGAAATACTTTTCAAAAATATGGTATGGATTTGGTTGAGGTTATGAGAGTCGTGAATATTATTATATTACAACTTAGAAAACTAATGGATCATATCGAAATTCACGAAATTTTGAGATTGCTGACTGAGATCATAGCGAAATAATATAATTTAACAAATCGTTCTAATAATAACGTGTACTCAATTGGGGATTTCATAAATAAACGTTTTCATTCCATTGGATACATTTTTCACTCGAATCAATGTAATTCATCTATGCCTTTAATAAGTTTACAAATACATTATATCCTCTGAACCTATTCGTATCATGCAAATATTCTTGTAAGATAAATATTTATTTGGAGTAAATTCATAATAAATTTTATTTATTAAGAACAATGGCGACATTATATTTTAAAAAATGAAGGATTTTTAGGTAATAACCAATATTTTAAAATATAAGAATTCAATAATCTTTTTTAAAAATCTAAAATACTCATTTGAGTATCTCAAATATTATCAGAGAATATATTATAAGAGTTATTTTTATAATAAATATTTTAGAATTTAATTATTAAATTATTAAATTTAATTATATTTTTAAGGTATGATAGATGAGCATAGAAAAGTTTTCGGGAGAATATAATTAAAAAAATAATAAATAGTTTTATTAGAAGAACTAAAAATGAGGAGAGATAAAATAATGACAACATTTTATCAACAAAATAAATATCGAAATATATATTAGGACCAAATGAAGTTCAATTTTAAATAACTAGATAGATTCCGACTTTTAGGGATCAAAATGTTATCTTCTTTTAAATCTAACTTCCTCAAATCTTAATTTATATGTTTTTTATTTAAACGAAGGGAAAAAATAATATTTACAAATTTTCTATCTATAACAACTTTCCATATTTTATATGAGATCTCTTATTCTTTTAAAAGGTCATTGTGGCAATTTTTTTGTTAAATCAAATCTTTAGAAAATAACAAGTTTAATAATTTATTCGAAAATAATAAATATATGAAATTATTTTCTAAAAGAAACCGTATCCAAAAGGAGTTGTTTCTTCAGTTTGTATGACAGTTTCAGTGGCATTTTCTATTGATAAGTAAAGATTAATGAAAACGATGTCATTTTGCTATTAAATACTTTATAATTATTATTAGTGGTATAAGAAAGGTTTTTAAATATAAATTAAATCCTTAAGAAATGAAAAATATATTTTATTCAATGATCTTTATCTCGTGGTTTAATTACTTTTTTGTGATTATTTTTATTAAATAATATATTTATATAGTGTTTATGATTAAACTAAAATTTATTTACTTAACTTGTAGTAAGAAAAATGGTATAATTTAATTTTAATTATAATAAACCAGATGTATAATTAGTTGCTTTCCTGGATGTTACGAAACTTTTAGTGGAAGTATCAAGTGATATATTAATAAGAAATTTATTATTTATAAAGTATTGTGAATATTTTTAACCCATTTATTTTACTAATTATGAATTTTATTCTACACATCATAATAAAATAATATCATAATTACCTTAGAAAAATAGGGTTAACAAAATAATTTCATAATTACTCAATAACACACTATCCTAGTTTTAGAGTAGATGTCCGCGACATATAAGATTATAAATTTTGAGATAGTTTGATATAAATTTAATAAATTTACATCTTATTTAATATTTTATTAAAACTTTTTATAAGTTTAGATATGTAGGCCATTTTTGTCATGAGTAAATATATTAAATTTATTTTTCTAGTAATATAAACATGTTATTGTATTCTATATAAAATACTGATAACATTTAGTTATTGAATATCAATTTCTACTTTGTTGAAAATAAAAAGTGACTAATTTATAATATAGCATACCTTCGCATATCTTGAAAACAACTTTTAATTTATGCCTGTCTCCACTCAGTTCAAAATCTCCTATTATATAAGTTATAAATGAGTGAGGATAAGTTTTATTATTGAGTATTTTTCCATCGCTATCAATTTCTTCAACACTAACATCAATGTCTTTCTGTACTGCTTCATTCTAAAAGAGTAATATAACGAAAAGAATATTATTTTTGTTTCTAATCATAAAAAGGGAACAAATAGTAGGTATATATTGTATATATATTAGGATCAATACATGCCCTCATTTTCTTTACATTCTAACTTATTTTTGTGAAATAGTATGTTTTTAATATCTATTGTATTATTTAAGATAAATCATTTAAACCAATTTACTAATATTTCTGTAGTATATTAAAGAATAATATGCAAATTAAATTAAAATTATTTTTATATTCTCTAATTTTATCCATTTTCTAAATGAGCTTATAGAAAGTCAGATTATCTTTGCGAAATGGCGCAATCAATTTATATATTATTTGGTTATATATATCAATACCGTTAAAATTTTGGAAAGCATTATTGTCTCCGCTAATATATTAGAGTCAAATTTTATATCAACTACATTATCGAAGCGAGTAGGGAATATATTATCGCTAATATATTACCTCGAATTTATTATCGCGAATATATTTCTTCCAATTCATTATTGAGCATATATCACGAAAGCATATTTCGAATGCAATATCACTAATGTATTATCGCGAATTATCGCAAATGAATAAATGCAATTGCTTAGGAAATGCAATTTGGTAGAGATTAAATTTTAATATTAATCGGACTTTAGACAGTGTTGCTCTGGGATTTGGGATAGGGTCTAAAACAATTTTTAAAAAATCCACTTCAAATTAAATTTTATTAAAATATAGTAAATTCTGGACTTTAATATAATTATCACAAAATAAAAAACATAAATTAGGCTGATTCTCTATTAACTTAAACTTGCTAAATGAGTTAGAATAAAGCACTAGATAATTTAAGAATATCTTTAGAAAATAAAAAATCCAGTGGAACAAATTATGTGACCAATAATTGATAAACTCCTTGTTATAATAAAAATGTACAAGTAGCAAGAATTTTAATAATCGTATCAACCATTTATTAAATATGAACAAATTTAAAAATAAGTGACTAATGCATTTAAGTTAATATATAAGCTATAATGCTTTTGCGATAAGGCATACGGGATATTTTTTATGTGGTAATACTTTACTATAATGCATTGCACTTAAAATTTGCTATAATGTATTGCTGTTGTAATTTGTTATAATACATTAGCTAATCTGTTTTCTGTAATATATTCTCTTTAATACAATCACGATAATAATGTCGCAGTAATACATTTGCTGTAATGCATTCGCGATAATGATTTCTCGGTAATATATTTGTTGCAATGCATTTGCGATGTTTTAGCAGTAATGCATCTGCAGTAATGTATTTACAGTATTGTTTTTATGGTAATGAATTAGCGATAATGCATTTGCTGAAATATCATTTGGTAATAAATCAATTCGCGGAAAATATTTTGCAGTATTGACGTTATACAATATTATTTATACTATGGTATTAAATAAAAGAGGTGAATGAAATTAAAAATGATCTATAGAATTAACAAGTGTCGATAATATGTTTATTAATTTTATATTTAGTATAAATCAATAATTAGAATTACTAATATTCCGCCTATGTATGGAATAAGACATACCGCCTCCACATTGCCATTATTATTAAAGACGAATCTGCAGAGCTGAAGTGGAGATTGAGAAAAAGTAGAACCAAATTTTATCCTTACCTAAAAATATATATAATCAATTATAATTAATATTTTTAACATTGAGTGTTTTTTTATTTACAAAAACAATTTATTTAGATATACAATTAATGACTTATGGTAGCCTTTCTTATGAGATGAAAAAGATCATCATAGTTAAATTAAAAGATAATTATTTATAATTTTAAATCAAAATACATTATTCATTAACTATTCTATTAATTTAAATATTTTTTAAAGGCTAATATAAACACCATGTTATTTAATATTACAGCAATAGCTCTTATATAAAATGGATTCCTTACCATTCAACAAAGTATTGTATTAAATATTTACTTAAATGATTCTTACATATTCCTAATTTATTAAGACTTTCCTTTTTAATGTAAAAACTGCTGATTATAATATATTGTGTATTACATTGCTATCAATGTAACGATTTAAGGATTGTCCTTCTAACCAAATAATTTGTTCCTCGGCTACATGGGATATTCTCCTTGATTTGTATTTCCTCATAAAAATATCATTTCCATCAACGTTCCATATAATTCGATCTTCATCTCTTTCGAAGTGAATCATCTGGGGACTATATAAAACAAGATATTTTGAATTAAATGGGAGTATTTTTAATTTGCAAGAATCTGATATGAATAAAGAGATAATTTTTTTTTAAACTCTTTGTTTTCTCACAGTTATAAGAGAGAATAACATTGATTTATTATATAATATATTTATTGTGATATGGAATTCTTGGAATTTCGAATGCTCTCATTTTAAATTCATTAATGGAGAGTAATTTTAAAAGTTGGAAAATATGATTTGACCTGAACTGTGTTTGAGCATGTGTAAACTACCTTCAATGTGAATAATCTGTCGTTTACCTTTGACTACTCTTAATTCATATTAATATTTAAATAAATTCTTTATATAAAATTAATATTCACAAAATTGCAAAGCAAAAATTGAGCTTGAATATAGGAGAGGACCCTAAACATTCTGAAATACATTTCCGGTCAGATTCGTTTTAAAAACGTTCTCTGTAAATGATTTTATATATATAGTTTACTTTATAAATTGAAGAAAATGTAAAAAATATATTTTGAATTTAAATATCATACGACTTAACAGAAAATTAAATTAAATTTTATTAAATTCAATGAGGCCAGCAATAATGAAATAAAAAATTATTCAGATTAAAATGTAAAACTGTAAAGCTTTTTAATATATCATTTGTATTTAGGAGATTATTTAAACAAAAGTACTAAATTTTGGCGTGGTTTCATTTATTTTTAAACGTGAACCCATTTAAAAAATTGTAATATAAATATATTACAATGTATCAGGAATTTTGGGTTCATTGAAGAATTGATGTATGTTATAATCACCACTTTCTTTCACTACATCGCACATATCTTTGAGAACTTTATTATATTAATTATATCGAACAAAATTTAGAATATTATATAAAACATAAAGAGCATTAAAATCATATTGAAATGATGAATACTATTATAGAGGAATATCTATTTATAATTTAGTAACAAATGAAATACAAACAAAATAATATTTGAAAATTAGTCAGTTAGACTATTAGAAAGTATATAGTCGCTCTAGCATTGAAAATCGCTTAATAATATACTTATTCTTTAGTTAGTTTATTTTTAAATAATAATAATGTTAGAATTAATTGCATGTGGCATAAAAAATATTTTCTATCTATCATAACATATAATATCTCATAATCCTCTATACTTGGGGAAGTTGTAGTAAATTTTGTATATTGCTCTGTCCAACCTTTTATATTATAAAAATATGAACTATATTTATAATTAAGAAAATAAATGCTGATCATTAAACTAATATTGTTAATACAAAGTTCTTAATTTCTCAAACTAGTGTTGTAAAAGGCCTAATTTGGGTCGATTTTTCAAAATGGCCCGATTAAAATTTTAGCTAAAATAATCTTATGTAAGCATCGAGATTTGGCATAGATGTCCAAACATTTCTGCTAGTTATGAGCAAAATCTTTAGGCTGCATAATGTTATTTTGATTACAATCTTAATCGAGATGTTTTTTAAAATCGACCCGAAACGGGCTTTTTAACAAAACCATCTCAGACATCAATTTTATTGAGATTGACATTTCCCCTTAATTTTCAAAATAGAAAGAAAACTATATTAGCGTTAAGTAATAATTGAAATAGTTTGATAAATATTACAAACAGTTTTTTATTTTCAATATATATGATTAATTTTTTAGTCAATTTTGAGGTTAAAAAAAATAGTAAAACCTAGTTTTACTTAAGAACTCTTAATCATATTCAACAGTTTTAAGATATATGTCAATTTTAAAGAAAGCATAAATATATTAACTTGCGCTAATTACTTAACGAATATTATTATCATGCTCCTCTAGATTTAGCCTAATTAACCTTTATAAATAAACTATAAATGTATATATGTAGAATACATTTATATCGTGTTTCTTCTGATATAAATTAAAGCTAGACTTTTCTTAAGAAATATGGCATATATTTATTTTTAAAAATAAACCAGATCCGAAAGGTGTTGTTTTATTTCTTATTACACCAGTTATAGTGGTAGTATCTAGTGATAAAATGAAAAATAAATTTAAGATGAATGTATATTTTGCAAATACATTTTAATAATGATTAGATGCTAATAATGAATCTTATGTTGCTCTTGAATAACAAAGTAGCTTCATAATTACACCAAAAAAATACTATAACGTAGCATTAGAGTTAAAATGAGCTAGATTTAATTTGTCTAGCATATTGTTTAGATGTTAAAAATAAACTTATTTATATTCTTCAAAAAAAATAATTTCCTAACCAGAAAATATTATTGAAAATTATGAGAAGTTACATAAATAGTCTTGTTAAAAAGGCTGATTTGACCCCCCTATTTTTAAAAAGGGCTAATTAAATAACTTTTTCCAGAATAATATTGCCTAAGTCTCTAGATTTTGCTAGATATTGCCATCTATGACCAAAATTTTTAGACTTGAGCAATATTGTTTTGGATAAAATATTGAAATAGCTGTTTTGAAAAATTGGCTAATATCGAACCGTTTTACAACATTATATATAAATGTTTATAGAATTTTTAGCTAGTTTGATGCAAGTTTAATAATCATATATTTGTATTAAAAATTTTACAAAAGCATCATGTATAGAGGCCATTTTTGTCATGAGTGCAATTTCATCAAGTAAATTTTAAGAAACTATTATCAGATGCGATGACAGAGATTTTATAATTTAAAAAATGTTATTTTTGATAATAAAAATAAGCGCCATCAAAAATATTCCATAGTAATATTCATTATAATTAATTGGAATAAAAAATTAAATTTTTATAAATATTTTTATATCTTTATTCTAATTACTTGTTATAAATTAGAGTTTTTAAAATGTTATAATGTGATCGATTTTATAATATTATTATAAGTGGCATTACAATTATAATGACAATTTATAAATTATTAAAATAAAAATAGAAATTAAAATTAAAATCATTAAATGTTTTTAGAGTCGATCAGCTGTTAAACAATATCACTTCTACTGTTAATTTAGTTTTTAAAAGATCAAGCCGTCTTATAAATTAGATCCAAATTTTCTCGCAGTAAGAATTAATATTATTAAATAAAAGTATAAAAGAATTTGTAATCAGTTTGAGTTAAATAACATATGCTAGCTATGTGCATTGAGCCAACATGTGGTTACAGGAACAATTTTTAAAACATATATTATTATTTTTTTAAACATGATGATAAATTAATAATCAAACCAGATACAAAAACATTTGACTCTCCAGATGATTCAGCTTCGCTGATACTCTATTCATATTTAAGTAAAAAGTAAACAAAAGACTAAAAAATCTAATATCCTCTATTAGCAAATAATTTTTTGATTAAATATGGAAAAAAGTACATTTTCGAACTATAATTAATATCGTTAATAGAACAAATTTTCATTTAACAATTGGGATTTCATATTGAATAATATATTTATATAGTTTTCTTTTGATTTATACTAAAATTTATTTATTATAGGTAAGGGAATTTGGGATAATATTAATTTTTAAAATAATAATCAGATCCGAAAGGAGTTGTTTTCTTGGTTGTGACAACAGGTTTAAAGGTAGAAACTAGTGATAAACAAATAAAAAATAAATTAAATATTTTGGTTAATCTGCAAATTTTTATTAATGTTTGTTAATAATGAATTTAGGCTACTCTTTCATAACAAAATAATATCATAATTACACCAGAAAAAAAATTATATCGTAGCTTTAGGGTATTGCGCTACATAGGGGTTTATAAAATTTTAGGGAAGTTTGAAGCAAATTTAATCATAGACATCTGTTTGTATGAATATTTTATAGAAATATTTAATAAAATTTAAAAATATATTGGCCATTTATGCCTTGTGTCCAATTTCAAATAAATTTTGTAAAATTATTTACAGATGCGATGGCAGATATATTAAGAGTTCATAATTGCTTTTATGACAATTATCTAAAAATAAGTGCAACGATTTATAAATAATTTAAGCTCGTTAATTTTTTTACAAAATCCGCATTTATGGCAAATTTTTATAAATTTTCAGTTTTTAAAAGATCAACCCATTTTATACCCCACCCTAGCTTATAAAATTAGTTATACCCTCGCGTAGGAATTAATGTTATCAAATGTAAATATATAAGATACATTGCTAAAATTAGAAACCAATTTGCCTTAAATAACATTAATTCCTTATTTTAACAGATAGCTAATTGTATTGAGCTAACATGGGGTTATAGGAAACAATTAAAAATGATAAATTCAAAGACCAAACCAGATACGGAAACAGTTGATTCTCCCGAGGATTTAGCTTCAATGGTGGTACCTATTCATTAATTATTAAAGGATTTAATTTCATTTATTAGCAAATATAATTTTAAGAACTATAAATTGTATAAAAGAAGATTTTATACTATAAAAACTTTCAATAAATTTCTTCCTAAATAAAAATTTTATTTGTATAAAATCTTCTTAGGCTCCCAGTTTTATTTCTTTTGATTTTCTGGGAGGTGACTTAAAATTTGTAAAAAATGCAAATAATACATCAGATTTCTATTTTAAAATTGGGATTTCATAATAAAACATTTATACATATTTTTATCTGATTGATATTGAAATTTCTAATTTAATATATATTAAATATATTTTATTTTTAAAATAGTAACTAGATCCAAAAGGAGTTGATTCTTTCGTTGTTACCACAGGTTTAATGGTAGAATCTAGGAATAAACAAAAAAAAAATAAAGATATGATGGTAAATTTGTAAATATTTTTACCATTGTATATACTAATAATTATTCTTATATTACTTTATAATAAAAAATTAATTTCATAATTACACCATAATATAATTGTAGCTTTAGGGTTAAATTGCGTTACATAAAAATTTATAAAATTTTGAGATAGTTTAATACATAATAATCCACATCGATTTACACTATTATAACTTTTTTTAATTTAAATATATGACATTTTTACTAAGAGTCCAATTTCATCAAATAAATTTTGTGAAACTATAAATTTTGATCATTATTCAAAAAGAGGCAATACAATTTAAGAATTATTAACATAAAAAGAAAATTTAATTTATTAAACTAGTTAGAAAATTTATCGATCAACTGTTAAATCCTATCGCATCCATTGAAAATTTACTTAATTGTTTTAGATATAAACCCATTCATCAATCTCACCCAAGCTTAATATAAGCAGCTATAACATTTTTAGTAGGAATTAATATTATCAAATGTAAATGTCTAAGAAACATTGTTAAAATTAGTAGCCATTTGAATAACATTAATTTCTAAATCCAATAGCTAGAATTGCATTGAGCTAAGACGTAGAAAAGTATTATGGTTAAAAAAAATAAGCAGATTATTTTTTAAAATATGGTCATAAGAAAATCAAACCTGATGCGGATACCGTTGATTCTCCAGATGATTCGGTCGCAATTGCACTAACTATTCCTATTTAAGTAAAATTTAACAAATTACTAAATGATTTACTATTATTTATTAGCAAACATATTTAATTTAAAAGAGGTTTTAACTACATTAATATCCATAAATTTAGGCTCTCACAAACTAAAATAAATATTTTTATTTAAGCTTCTTCAGCTCCCGATTTTTTTGCTTTTTTTTGGGTTAAATAGGGGACTTATAAGTTGTAAAAGAAATTCAGTTTATACAACATATTTTTCCATTTTACAATTGAGATTTAATATTGAATTTTTTCTTCTGATTTATAATAAAATTTATTAATCAGACTTTTAGTATAAAATAAGGGATATATTAAATTTTAAAACCAGATCCGAAAGGAGTTGTTTCCTTGGCTATTACGATAGGTTTAGTTGTAGAATCTAGCGATAAACAAAAAATAATATATGATGGTTTTTATGTAAATGATTCTCCTATTGATTAGATGCTAATAATAAATATGTTGTTCTTGCATTACAAAAAAACATTTTAATTATTACAAAATAATACTATAGTTGCTTTAGAATTAAAGTGCGTAACATGGAAGTATATAAATTTATAGGTAGTTGTAATGCAAGTTAAATAATCTATCGATTTGTAAAAATATTTAATAGAAACATGATAAAATAAATAAATATATACACCATTTTTGAATCTAATTTTATCAAAGAAATTTTAAAAAATTAACGCGATGCAAGAAATTTTGATAGTTCAAAAATGTTATTTTAGAACAACTAAAAAAAGACGTTACAATTGTAAAATTATTACTCAATATATTACTTTACAAAATAATCAATCAGCCGTTAAATCATATCACATCTATTGCAAATTTACCATTTTTGTTACCTAGTTAATTCAACCCATTCTCATACCCCATCTAAGGTTTATAAAGGTAACTATAAATTTTCTTGCAATAGGAATTAATATTATCATATGTACATATCAAAGATGCGTCGTTAAATATGTAATCAATTTGCAATAAATAAAATTAATTCCCGAATTCGACGATTTTCCATAGGCATTGATTAAATATGATAATAAATTTAAAAATTAAACCAGATACGGAAACAGTTGATTCTCCAGACGATTCATGCCCAATTGTACTATCTATAAAAATTAAACAAATTACAAAAGATTTCTATCATATTTTAGCGAATATATTTCTAAGTGGTATAAAAGAGGTTTTTTATACTAAAAAAATATCTATAAATTGAGGCCAATACAAATAAAAATATATACAAAATCATCTTTGGTTTTATTTGATTTTTGTAATGTTTTCAAGAAGAGGACAAATTTATAAAATATTCAGCTACAGCGGATCTATTTTACATTTGGGAATTGAATATTACATTTATATGGTTTTTTATCTGATTATGGTGAAAATTATTTACTAAACATTTAGATTTAGTAAGAATATGAGATTTATTTAATTTTTAAAGTAATAACCAGATCCAAAAGGAGTTGTTTCCTTGGCTGATACTACAAGTTTAGTGGTAGAATCTAATGATAAACATAAAAGGTAAATTAAATATGATGGTTATTTTGCAAATATTTTTGCTAATAATTAGATATTAAGCATAAACCTTATGCTACTCTTCCACAATAAAATAATTCATTAATTACAAAAACCTACTATATCGTTCTTAGATAAATTGCGCTACATAGAAGTATATAAAAGTGAAATAGTTTGATAAAAGTTTAATAATCCAGTATAAAAATATTAGAGAACCATATTTTAAATTTAATATCAACCATTTTTGCCATGAGTCTAATTTTATCAAACCATAATCAATTTTGGGATAAGATATAAAAGGTGTTGGTAGAAATATTATTTTTGACAATTATCCAAAAAATACGATATAAGAGGTGTTGGTAGTTGTAAATATTATTTTTGACAATTATCCAAAACTAGTGTTGTATAGCTCGATTTAGTCTATTTAAATTAAGATTTCAAATAAGATTACACAAGTCTCGAGTTTAAAATGACAGTTGTATAAACTGAATTTCATTTGCAAATTTAAAAATCCCTTTGTGGAAAATCGCTACAAAAATGCAAATAAAACCGGGAGCCAAGAAGATTGAATAAAAATAATATTTTTAATTGGTGATGGTATGATTTTCAAATTATGATCATATTCTAAGATATATATAAGTTTAAACCATTAAACCTTTTGGCCAATATTATTTCTTAAACAGCGTCATAGATCAATGCAATTAGCTAGCATTAGAATTTGGGAATTAATGTTATTCAAGTGGTTACTAATTTTAGGAATATATCTTAGACATGTACATTTAAAACCATTAATTCCTATTATTGAATTTCTAGTTGCTTATATTAATCTTGATGGGGTATAGGAAGATCCTTTAAAATTATGAAAATTAAATAAATTTATGAACTTATTGACTCTGTAAAATCATAAGTTTAATTTCTTTTTTTATATAAAATTAAAATTTTACTAGATTTTTAGTAGAAAATATGATATATATTTTTTAAAATAAGAACCAGATCTGAAAGAATGTGTTTTCTTTACAGATTTAGTGGTTGTATTTAGTGATAAACAAGTGAAAAATAAATTAAATTGATGGTTAATTTGGAATTGTTTATAATTGAAGGTATGCTAATAATGAATTTTACGCTACTCTAGCACTTGCATACATTAATTATTTCATAATTAATCCTGAAATTACTACACCATAGCTTTATAGTTAATTAATACTCTTTAGAAGTTTTTAAAATTTTAAAGTAGTTTTAATATAAGGTTAATAATCTTCATCAATAATCTAAATCTATTTGTACATATGTCATTTTTACGATAAGTTCAATTTTATCAAAGATAAGAAAGAAATTTCACACGCTATATCAAAGATATAGGTTGATCAGAAATGTTATTTTTGAAAATTATCTAACAAAAAGCTCTACAATTTAAAGATTATTTTACAAAATCAATCGGCTGTTAAATCATACTACATCTATTGAAGAATTTACATTTTAGTTTTCTATAGTTTTTAAAAAAACAAACTATTCCCATACCCCATATAAACATAATTACAATTATCCACATATTTTCGAGTAATAATTAATTAATACTATCCAATTCAATTTAAAGCTAAAATTAGTGACCAGTTTGCTTTAATTAACATTAATTCTCAAATTCAACGGTTAGTTAATTATATTGACCAGGAAACAATATTTGCTGAAATAAAAGGAATATTAAATAACATTTTTTTAAAAATATGAGCATAAATTTAAAAAGCAAACTCCTGAAATAGTTGATACATCAAATGATCCAGATTTAGTAGTACTATCTATTGGTATAGTTATATGTATATCGATGTTACACAAATTAATATATATTATATGTTAGCATTTTGACTTTGAAAGGTAAAAGAATATCCTTATATTTATTTAAATCGGGATATTTATAATTTAAAAATCCTATAACATGTAAATTTATCCATATAATTTTTGTATTTTATAATGCAAAAAAAATTTTCGATTTAATAAACAAATCTTCTTATTTTCTTTTAATTTTCTAAAGTCGAGTTATAAAAATACTTATAAAATATACCTATTGCCGTTGTAGTAAATTGAACGGGAAAATCGGTCGAATCTTTATATTTATAAACAAATATGATTAAGAAAACAAATCTTGATAATTAAATAGGCATTTATTAAGATTGTCAGTTTTGAGGATATTTTATCCTGTTAAGATGAGTAAGAGACCTGTGCAGAGTATATTTTATAGGCTGACAGGGGTTTAAAAACATTTCTCATTTTCTTGTCTACATAAGCTTAAATTTTAAAATTTCCAGCCTAGGCGATTATAAATTTTTGGAACATGCGCATATTTTAAAGTTTGGCCAATCAATAATATAGCTATATTTTGTAAAGTTTTCAAAAAGAAATCAAAATCAAGTAAATAAATATGTAAATGATCCATCTTGATATTTTCCAACAATTTAATTAATACAAATTTAAATATATTCAAAAAAAATGACCCTGCAAATTATATTGCAATTTGATATTTTTAAAATCAGATCCTGACTTGGGTGTGCCCAGGCCGGGCTTTGATGTGGGTTTGCAGGTCTTTTAGATAAGCCTTAGCCTCTAATTATTAAAATCTGAACTAATTTAAAACTTGTTTATAAACATAAGAAAAACATTGTATAACGAGAACTAAAATCAATTAATATTAAAAGGTAACTCGTTATTATATTAATAAAATCTTAAAAAATATAATATTAATTCAATTTATAAACCTTGGCATGTATATAACAGCACATTGACTATATGTTTAGTTCCTCGAACTTCGAAGTTTCCAGAAGTCCTCAAGATGAAAGACTTTTGAAAAATTTCTGGAGCTTTATTCGTGGCAAAAACAATGCTGTCATCGAGCTGTGCTAAACTTGTCTAATAATATAACATAAAAGAATAAAGAATTCAGTGTGTACAAATGCATTCATAAATAAATAATCAATTATCAACTGATTATAACTTTCCGTTAAATGAATATTTGATATTGAAGTAAACATAATAATACTTGATCAGATATCAGATATTAAAATAAATAATTTACTTTAACATTCGGTGGACGAGTTAGATTACAAAAAACATTGTCGATAGGTTTTTTGAGGAAAAATTTGAAATAGCATAGTGTTGAATTATCGTTGGATGAATTCACTTGAATAATTTTCATCTAATGAATATCAATTTGTATTTTGTTAAGTTTAAACTTTTATTAAAAAAGCGATTTGATTTTAAAAAAATATAAAAAATAAAATATTGTAAAAATCTTATAATTTGACAAGATTTAAAATATAAGAATAATTTCTATAAATTTTTTTATATACGTCGCTATCGAAGTTGATGATCGGGTAGGTGCCAATAATACTATTTATTGAGTATAATTTATCCAGAGTATTTCCAATAATTGTGTTTTTATAGCAGAATGTATTTGGATTGAGGCATTCATTGGTTTGATAAATTTCTTTTGCATCTACCGACCAAAAAATCTGGCTACCAGTTCTCAACAATGGGATTTCTAGAGGACTAATATTTTTTAATCATATTTTATTACTAATTTGCAATAGAAAACTTTATAATGTTTAAACTTACTATGCAAAATGCACTATATTATAAAAACTATTGCTGTATAGTTTTAGATTCTATTTAGAGTGATCATTACTCTATGAGAAACTATTAATTAGAGAAGTTTTTTTCATAAAAAAAAACAATTGACAATCTAGCTATTTTTGAAATGCATATGAATTTATATTTGACCGAACTAAATGTTTAAATACATATAGATGTTCAATTCCCTTTTATGATTTAATTTATACTCGTAACCTTAACTTTATAACTTCATTGTAAAATTTGTAGGGTAGATATGGGTTAAATTATTTTGAATATATTTATATAATATTCATACAATTCGTTTGGTAAATCATCTCCGAATATATCTTTAGCATAAACAGTTTTCCGACCATTGTCTTCGATATTTTGGCATATATTCAAAGGTTCTTTAATATTGTAAATACCGGAAAATATATTATTTTAACAAATTATATCATTATTGTTATTAATATTTGGATCATTTTATATAAATAGTTTTACTTTTAGTTACATGCGGACTTATTGACACTGTGGAAGAATCTAGAAGGTTTGAAATATTTTATAAAAGTCATGATAAAAATAGATATCAAAAAATTAAAATGAGAGAAAAAAATTTCAAAACATTAATAAAATCATATATTTATATATTTATATTTTTTATAAACCTTCGGTTTTTTTAATAAAATAAAAAGGTAACAGTTAATGAAGTCAAAATTACTGTAGAAGTCAATATAATTTAATTAAAACAGGGAAATGTTTATTATATTTATATGGCATTTGCATTGATTGATTATTTTTTGAATTTTTTAAAACTATATCCAGATCATTTAATTATTTTACAGTCAATCGGTTGTTAAATATTACATATCTAATTGCATACACTTTAAAATTACATATTCATTTTAAAAGATATACATTCTTCCCTGTCCAAGCTTAATGAAATTAGCCACAAATTTTTTCATAATAGGAATTAATTGTATCAATGTAAATTTCTATGATATATAAAAAAAAATGGTAAACAATTTGCCTTTTATAACATTAGTTCTCAAATTTGAGTCACCTAATTGCATTGAGCTAAGAATGGATAATAAAATAATATTAGAAATATCTAATGGTTTTAAAAAGATAGAATAACTCATTTTTTAAAAAAATAATAATAAATTTAAATATCAAACCAGTTCTGGAAACAGTTGATTCTTCAGATGATTCAGATTTGATGGTACTATCTATTTATATATAAGTAAACATTAATATTAGAAGATTGTTAGTATAATATGCTATACAAATAAAACTTTACAAAGATTATTATTTAACATCAATTATTCCTAAAAAATTTGTTAGGGCATCAATGAGGTAATAATTGGTATAGCCAAATTTCCCCCATAACGAATTTGCTATTATTAGTTAATATAATTGTATCTAATGTAAATTTTACTCAACCTACCTCCAACCCCACTCTCTCTCCGTTTTCCCAATAAATTAATTATGTCATAATAAACTATATTATATAATAAAAATATGTACCAGTTAATAATTTTTAAATAATGACTGTTACATATTTTAGAGAAAAGGGGAGGCCATCTTAATGTATAGCGAAAAAGGCCTTTAAAATCTTTCTTTCAAAATTTTGGATATGCCTATGGAGGATATAATAATGATTTCTGCAGATATGTGTTCAAATTGCTTTCAGAGTTTCTCAAAACATTAAGATACGTCATTGGCTGTAATTTTATAATTACTAAAATTGGATATATTAGCTATCTACAAGTTAGTTTAAAAAAATACCAACCTGGAGAAATTTTAGTAAATACTGAAGTAGAATCCGTTGAACCTTTATTGTAAAAAATTTTAGTAGGAATTTAATTCTTGATTATTTCGGACATTTATCAATTAAAATAAAATGTTCTACTTCTCAAATTAAACTTTACCTTAATTTTTCTATATTTAAGTGTTATTACAATCCAAATGACAATTTAAAAATTATTAATACAAAAAGAAAAATTAAACTGATTTAAAGCTTTTACAAAGTCATTCAGGAGTTAATATATATCGCATCCCATGAATAATTTACTTAATTCTTTTTCAGCTTTTAAGGGATCAGCCGATTCTTATCCCCCAGCCAAGCTTAATAAATATCGAGACCTGCAGGCCCTGCTCTAAGCCCGGCCCTTTAGGACCGGGCCTGACCGTTTAATTTTTTAAAATATACCCGTTTGGGGAGGGGCCGTATATTTTAAACCAAATATTTGAAATCGTCATTATTAGCTATAAAAACCAAAAATAAATATAATATATTTTGAAAAAATCCGGGCCGGGCCTGAAATTTTTTTTAAAAAAAATCCGGGTCGAGCTGTTAAAAATTTTTTTAAAAAAAAATCCGGGTCGGAGCGAAAATTATATTTTTAAAAAAAATCCGAGCCCCTCTGCAGGTCTCTGATAAATATAGCTAGAAATCCTTCACTATAAACCAATGTTATCAATTGTACATGTCTACTATTGCTAAAATTAGTAACCAATATGCGTTATATAACATTAATTCTTAAATTAGATGGTTCATAAAGTTGAATGCTTTAAAAGAAATATTTTTTTTAATTTCATTATAAATTTAAAGATCAAACCAGATATGGAAACAGTTGATTCCCCAGATGATCCAGCTTCGATGGTACTACTATCTATTTATATTTAAGTAAATATTAAACGAATTACTAAAGGATTTATTAACTAGGTATATAAGAAGTTTATTTTACTAAAATATCTATAAATTGAGACCTTCACAAATTGAAAATATATTTTTTATTCAATCTTTTTCGGCGCCTAGTTTTTGTTATTTACTGGAATAATTTTTAAGAGGATACTTAAATTTTAGAAATTCAGTTAATAGAACTTATTTCTATTTTATAATTGTGAGATAATACATTTATATTCTAATTTATATTAAAATGTATTTACTAGACATTTAGTAGGAAATATGGGATATATTAAATTTTTAAAATAATGACCAGATTTATAAGGAGTTGTTTCGGCTGTTACGACAAGCTTAGTGGTAGAATCTAGTGATAAACAAATAAATAATAAAATAAATATGATGGTTATTTTGTAAATACTTCTCCTATTGATTAGATGATAATAATAAATTTTATGGTTTTTGTCCATAAAAAAATAATTTCATCATTACGCCATTAATACTATATCGTAGCATTAAGGCTATTGCACTACAAGGAAATTGATTAAATTTTGAGGTAGTTTGATACAAGTTTAATAATTCACATTTATTCCTAAGTTTTTCAGAAACTTTTTCTAAATTTAAATATTGGCCATTTTGTCATGAGTCTAATTTATCAAACAAATTTACATAATTATTTGGAATAATAAGCTTTTTATATAAAATTCTATTTTTTTTATATTTACTTGTTATAAATTAGAGTTTATAAAATGTTTAAATGAGATAAATTTTTTATATAATATAATGTGCAATCATAATGACAATTAAAAAATTATTAATATAAAATAGAAATTAAACTCATTAAATAAATTTCAAACGTCGATCATCTGCAATAATTGTTAACTTACCTATTTCTCACAGATTTTAAAATCAACCTTATACACCGCCCAAGCCCAAAAAATCCGTAAATTTTCTAGTAATAGGAATTAATGTAATCTAATCAATTTACTTTAATAACATTAATTCTTAAAGGGGGATAAATTCCTTGCTATAAATAGCTAAGATCAGGTTACAGGTAAAAATATTGGACAAATAGTCAAAAGCTTTAAAAATAGGTATAAATTTTTTTTATTTTAGATATGATAATAAATTTTAAAATACAAGATTCTGAAATACTTGATTCTCCAGATGATTCATATTCAATGGTACTATCTATTTATAAATAAATAATTAAAACTATTATTTAGTGTAATATTTATTAGATATATTATATAAATTTTTTAGAAATTTTAAGCATTTTTTTCAAATCGCTAAATATTTCTCAGAGCACCAGTGAGGATAGAATTAGTGTATCCAGGAAAGAAGAGGCGAAATTGTAAATATCATTTAAAAGAGTGTTTTATAATGAGTTACATTTATGAAAACAGTCCTCTTATATTTTTTGTGAAACTGCTGACAAAATTAACTACGTTTTTAAAATATTAATATGTACGTATAAATATATTCAATTTATAATTTATTTTATTTTATAATAAATTAATTTTATATATTTACCAAGCTACCCTCAAAATAGTTAATATCCCACCCCTCTCGAACCAATGAACTTTCAAATAAAATAGCCCTATGTTCGTGTGATATATTCCTTATCCCCTGAACGAACGGTCTCTCGTTGACCTGGAACTACACATTGACGATTTTATAACGAAGTTTAACCTCTCATTGCGAAAAAGGAGACAGATTACAAGTCATCCCAACTTATACAACATTTGTCAACAGATTACTCTCGAAATATGCCGGTCCAATTTCTTAGGCATTCACTTCTCTCAAGGTGATATTATGTACCTTCTATTTTTTTAAGTTCTTTTTATGTTTTATATTTTATATATATTTATATTTTTCATATAATATATTATATCTAATTTGTTTTATTTTAAATATATTTCATTTTAATATCGTTAATAATGTATTTTATTTCTAAATATTCAATGAGTTAATAATTTTTTGACAAATAAAATCTAAAGAGTGAAAAAAAAAATTTAAATGATCAAATATTCTGTATGTGTGCCTTTTTTCATATTTAATATTGAAATAATGATCTGACCTATACTTTCTATTTAAAGGATTCACGATGAAGAAATAGAAATTTACCATACCCTTCTAAAACTATTACCAAAACAACGGATTTAAATGCAAAAATATATCGAACAGCTTCGAAATATATTTTGGATTTTACAAATCTATTATATTAAACTGACTGGCCGTGGATAAGGAAAAAAGATCTTTATCAAAAAAATGGAAATTTTAATAATAAACACTCTAATGCCTCAAAGCGACCCTAAAATAATTGAATCACACCCGAAACCAACATCATGTGATCATATTTTTTTGACCTAAAATGATAATATTTTATTGTTTAATGATCATATATAAAATTTTATACAATCCAATAATAAAACATTGTCTTTATTTTATGCTCAGATTTAAAATTACTTTTTATCAAATATAATATTGTTTTTATATCTAGGGCTCCCTTAACTATTCTAGCTTTTAACAATACTAATTTTAAGTTAATAAAAAATTTACTCTAACATTTCCCCTCCTTCCCTCTCCCCTCCAAAAATGAATTTAATATTTCAGTATTAGCAATATTTTATTTTATATAAGTAAAATTATATATTTTCTTAAAATAATGGCTATAATAGAAATTTTTGATAAACGAGTTTTTCCCTAAATTTCTTTTAAAAACATTGTCCTGTCAAACATTTTTCAAAGCGAAAAAAGCCAGCCAACATCTTAAATATATCTATTGTGTACAACTCATTTTTCATTTAAAAGACCAAATAATTCTAATTAGTAGTTAAGATAGGGCACTTTATTATTGTTATAACTTTATCATTACTAAAGGTGGGTATATTGTCTATATTAAAGTTGGTTTTAAAATATACTAACCAGAAGAAGTTGTAGTAAGTTCAGAAGTATAATCCGTTGAACCTTTATTGTAAAAAAATATCATTAATTTAAATTTTGATTATTTTGGATATTTATCAATTAAAATAAAATATTGCCGAAAACTAATTTTTTTAAACCCCAAACGGGCCTTAAAATGGGTAGCATTACGCATTCACTTTTTTTTACTCAGCGATTTAAAAATTTTATGGAAGATTCTAGACTTCGAATTTTGGATTGTATTGATTTAGCAAACAATGGATGCTCAAAAAAACTCCAGCTATTTTAGATCTGTAATTCGGATCATAAATATATTCATTCGAGCAGAGATTTTAATGATTGTTGTAAAAAGATAAAATATGTGATAAAGACAACATTAAAACTTTAAAATTTGATAAGCCTATTAATATGAAATGGGAAATAAGTTTCGAATTCTTATTTAATAGAATAAAGGGAAATGAGCTCAAATTGCTTTTTTAAATGAGATTTGATAGAAATTTTAAAAATATTTTAAGATTATTCAAAAGACTATTGATTTTTTATCCACAAAAAAAAGAATGCATACTAAAATTCGCTTTGTTTCACAATGGTATCTAATCATTTGATCGTCAATGATAATGATAATTATCATATTTTCCCTCAAACAAAACATGCTTAAAAAACTGAATCATAGATTCTAATCTATTATCTTCAGGTATTTATAATATTTGGAATTCATATATTATATTAAGTAATCAATTTTATCAAATATTTGATAATTATAGATTCCACACTCCGTCTTAGCTATAGAAATTCGCAACTAATTTTCTCTTTTTACTAATTTTATGGATTAATGTTATCAAATGCATGTCTAAATTTATTGCTAATTAACGTAAAATAACATTAATTAACAAATTCAAAAAGAAAATTTGAATATTATTGTGCTAGTACAAAGTATCAAAGGCATGAATTTGTAATCATGTTTATGAAGGATTTCTTTATTTTTTTATTCATTGAGTTTATTATTTAAAAAACGAATTTAAAACAAGGATCATATAAAAAACAATTAACGATTATAAAAATATACAGCACATATATATAAATTTAAAAAAAAAACAACTTAAAAATTAAGAGATGGGGTTACCTGCATTGCTATATGGAACCATGGATAGCAATGCAATAAATTTGATGAATAGCCAACGTAATGGCTTGTTTAAAATAGAGGATTAGTTTACCGGTTCTGTTCGGTTTCATCTGATTATTGGGCCCTACTGTACGACCCTATCCGACAACACAATCCTATTATCCGGTTCGGTCCGACCGAAGACCGATTAAAAAAGTTAATCGTTTACTATCATTTAGTTAATACATATTCATTAACACTTAAAACATGATTATTTAATGCCTAACACTTTATAATATCTCATTCATCGTTTACTTTTTATTCTTCCGTTTCATTCATTCGACAAGTAATTTAATTTATAAGAAATGGAAATTGAAATCATAGAAGATGATAATATTATTGAATCACCACCCTCAGCCAAAAAATAACTTTTGATTTAGAAAATGCAAATGAAAAAAATCGATCAAATTCAAATTTGAAAAAGAATTATATATAAATTTTTTAAAGGATAATTTTGGGCAAACATGTAAAATAGGTTTCCAGATATTTCCAATTCTTCAAGCACAATTAGATTATGCATATATATCAAATTGAGAGCTCAAAATTTTAAATAAATTAAACTTTATCAAATAACTTACTTATAGTTATGAAGGGCTGGAAACAATAAAAACTCAAGATTCGAAATATTGTATTGGTATTGGATGGGTTAAAAATGGAATAATTTTTGATTTTTTAGAAGATAATAGAATATTTATTTATAAATCAGTTTTATTTTATAAACAAATATCTAACACATATAAAAACAATAACTAATTAAATATGCTAATCAAATTGATTTAAATTATATTCAATAAATTTGTATTGGTTTAATCTTTTTGTATAAATAATAAAATAAAAATGATTGATAATGTAATTAAAATATTGGTAATTTAACACATTTTATTTTTATAAATTTCATGCAAAATAAAACTTTTATAGCTTAACAAAAAACTTTTATACGCGTCCGGGTAGACCGGACCGGACTAGACAGTCAGCTGGTCTCAGTTGACTTAACGGTCCATCGGTCCGATCTCATTTTAGAAAAAGGATCGGACCGTTGCAAACACTATAGAAGGTTATATTTAAAAAAGTACTATTTTATTCAATATAAAAATATCATTTTTTATTTTGGCAGTAACGGGAGGGGTTAATGATGTTGTTGTAGAATCTAAGTAAATAAGGGTAATTTTCTAAGGCAGTTCTTAAAACATAAATAAATGAAAATAACTAGAGTTATATAAGAAATTTAAGGTTAAGAATTTTTTTTAAAAAAATAAAATGACATTAATTTAAAATAAAGCCTGAAATATTTATCAATTAAATTTGCTAACTTTGGCATGTATGTAACAACACGTTGCTTTTATGTTTAGTTCCTTGAACCTCAAAATCTCCAGAAATCCGTAAGATGAAAGAATTATTATAGAATTTTTGAATATCATTAGATTCTATGATAATTCGGTCTTCTTGTTGTGATAAAATTATCTAAAATATAAATATTATTCAAGAATTTTTAAATTTTATATTAGACTAGTATTTTAAAAACTAATTAAATAAAGTTGCAATCCCTTTTCTATTAATGTTACCTTTTTCTTAAATATATATAAATTGGAAATATAAAATTATAACGTAATTACTTCACTATTAGTAGCAGTGGTAGGCAACGTGCACATAATATTGTCTTCGATATTTTTAACATTGTAATAACATATTGAAAATTGAGTATTGGAAGAGTTTCTTTGAATTGTTTTCAACTAGCATTGATTGAATAAATAAATTAGAATTAAAATATCTTACAATAAATAATTATCAAAGATCCCACCATAAGTTTATTATATTTTATCTTATAATTTTATTTAACCAAATTTTAAAAATAAAAATAAACATTGTTTATCCCGGCTGGAGTATTTTATAAAAAAATATATTTATCCTCTAGTTTGTATTTTATGACTCTTTTCTTCCTTGACCTTAATTAATTTACAAATATATTCTACCTTATACTTTATTACCAAAAAATTCTTTTAGAAATTATTATTTAAATATAGTGGCGTGAAAGGGGGTGACAAATATTTGAATGATGGGCCTCCAAACCTCCTTTTTGCCTTGGCTTCAGCCGGTCCCTTCTATAAAAAATAATATATATTATTGATTTTTCTATGCTTACTTCGTACTTTTAATTCATCAATCAAATATGAGAGCCACAAAAGAAAACTAAGTTATAAACAAAAGGAAGACTACAAGTTGGAAATATACCAAACCATTAAAGATGTTATATTTTAATTGGTAGATGGTTAATTGGGAAGAGTTATTGGTAAAAAATATAAAAAATATCAAAATTAGCATCAAGTCAGAACGAAGAATAGTTTGCGTTAATATTTAGTTTCTTATTTATTATCTTTAATCAATTTTGCCAGCCACAAAAAAGTAGTCGAATTAAGAACCAAATACAAACTATGATATCACGCCTTAAGTGTAAAGTTATCCAAAGATATAAGCATTATCTCTGATATTTATATCGACAATTAGTGTGCATTTCATACTTTTTAGAGCTTCAACCCGTTTAATAGATAGTTTAAAGTATAACATTATTGACAAAATAAAAATAAATTGCCAAGATTGACATGTTATAATGAAAATTATAGAATCAATGAACTATTTAAAATATAATTAGAAGCTAGCTACTAATGTATCAAGAAGTTTTTTTAATCAATAAATAAAAACCAGTTATAAGAGAAACAAAAACTACGACACGCTTTAGGCTGAGTCTTAAATATCGAATTTTAAATTACGATGCAAAATGAAATCACGTGTAAATATTTAAAGTTTTTCCCCTATTCAAAATATTTAGAATCTTATGATTCTATGATTTTTTTAGATGTTGCTTGTTCTTTTCAGTTTATTTAATTGATATTTAACATATATTTAGAATCTTATGATTCTATGATTTTTTTAGATGTTGCTTGTTCTTTTCAGTTTATTTAATTGATATTTAACATATTAATATTAAATTAATTTTAAAAAATAAAAATCTGAATTTATGGGCGCCCCTCCCCTGTCTACGCCCAATGTTTAAATAATATTTGAAGCTAATACAAATAAATAGCTAGATAGCCACTTAAATCTTTTTTCAAATATTATTTGTGCGAGGTGTAGGATCTATGATCAATAATAAATATCAGAGACCTGCAGGCCCGGCCCTAAACCCGGGGGCCGTATTTTAAATTTTTTAAATATACCCGGGCCGGGCCTAAAAAAATTTTTTTAAACATATATCCGGGCCGGGCCTAAGATTGTTAAACCCGGGCCGGGCCGGGCCTTAATATTTTTTATAAAAATTTTTACTTTATGAGTTAATGGTTATAAGATTATATTATATTATAGTTATGATTAATATAATATTGAGTGATGGTTAACACTACCTAACACCCACAGATCGTTCTAATTATTAATTTCCTGCAAATTTATTCAAAGTATTAATATATTTTTTTATAATTCATATCTAAATTTTTACAACATATTTTACCAAAACAATCAAATAAAGGAATATCTTAAATAAGCCCCAATATTCAAGTATTATTAATATATTTTTTTATAATTCATATCTAAATTTTTAGAATATATTTTACCAAAACAATCAAATAAAGGAATATCACTTCTTGAAGTTTGTAATACCTTTCAAAGCGAAAAAGGAGAAATAAATTGATTTTACTTAATATAAAGCATTTTTTAATTGAAAAATTTGTTTTACATAAGTATCATTTTATTTCTCTTTTTCTCTGTCCCAAATTCAAGCAATTACGTATGTAGTCAGGGACAGATCGCAAGATGACGGAAAACTATATAAAAGATTATATTAAATTACAAGTGGCTCAGGAAGTAAATGAAATACCATCGACCAGTCAAATTACGACTGTTGTTAAACAAACTGAATCGTTTTATGACAAATGGGGCGATGGTAATTCTGGTAATATGTCAATACCCGATGATGAATATTATAATTACATAAATAAAAAAATAGATGAAACATTTAAGGTAGATAATTTGTTAGAGTGGTGGGCGGCTCATCAAAGCGAATTTCCAATTTTAGCAAAATTGGCAATTCCTGCTTCAAGTGCAGGCTGTGAGCGGAATTTTTCCACTACGAGAATTCTTGAAGAAAGAAGAAGTAATCTTCAACCTGAAAAGGTAGATATGCTTCTCTTTCTTCATGATAATTTGTGAATTTTTAATATCTTTCTTGAGTATAGGGTTTCGTCAATCATGCTGGTTTTTTACTTTGCAAACTGTCAAATATTTATTGCATTTATTATATTTACCTTGAGTCATGAAAGTTTTTAATCCAACATTTTTCATTATTTTTTTTTACAATATTATATAATACAATTATCTTCTTTTGTTAAAAATTTATATTATAAAATAAATTATATTAATATTGTGCAATTAGATTATATTTTCAAAATACTATTTATTATACATGCATTTTTTTAAATAGCGATTTATTTTTATTTTATAAATTAAATAGTAAATTAAATACAATATATTATATTCTCAAAATATTTTCTATTTTTATAAATTAAATATTAGTTTTATTTTTATAAATGCAATATAAAATAGTATATGCTCAAAATATCCATTTTTATAAATAACAGTTTTATAATTTTTATAAATTCAATATAATATTCTCAAAATATTAGCTTTACATGTATTTTTTAAATAATAAGCGATAATACTCGCTGAAAAATATGGTAAAATACCTCATAGGTGAATTTTTGTATATACCAGGTCGAATATAATTTTAAAAAATTCCGAGCCAGGCCTGAAATTTTTAAATCCGGGCCGGGCCGTAAAAATTTTTAAATCCGGGCCGGGCCGTAAAAAAATTTTTTAAAAAATATCCGGGCCGGGCCGGGCAAATGGTACCTCTGCAGGTCTCTGATAAATATTAATCTTATGATATAAAGTAATATCACCTCAAATTGTTATATACTAATGTTTTGTAATAAATTGACAATAAAAATATAATCCCCAAAATCTGAATAAGTAATTAAATACACTATTCGAGGCCAGCATTTCAAATTTTTTTTGTTTATGACGAAAAAAAGAAGGTTATTTATAACAAATAAAGTGACTATATTATTGCTTCATTTTATTCCTAATTCTTCATTTTGGGGCATTTAAGACAATCATATTTACATTCTTAATTCCTAAATTAAAAGTGATAATCGAAAAATATTGGGACATATATTTTGAAATAGACTAAAAATGGAAAGGGAAAAGATATGTATAAATCTCATTTCATCAACATTTCATGCATTCAATATTGGCTTAAAACAATATAAATTTAAATGTCGAATTTTTTTTAATCGTTCATATTTTTGGAGACATAATTTTGGTTGTTTGAAAATAATTTAGAAATGAAAAACCTAAAAATATTCTTCAAATGGGTATGTTAATATATCCATAAAAAATTTGTATATATTACATTGCTATCGAAGTTGATAATGGAATCGATTCCTAGAATGCTAATTGCCATGTAAAATTGATCTTGTGTAGTCAAACTGACCGAGCCTTTATAACAGGTCATCTCTTCCTCGTGGCAGTCCTTTCTTTTATAAATATCTTCTCCATCTATGGACCAAATAATCTCATTACCATTCCTTAACAATTGAACTCGGGGTCTGATATTTTTTTAAATTTTATAAATAATTAATTATTCAAGTTAGACAAATATTTGCTTTAGTTAAAGAGTTGCGACGACAATGCTCCAAAATTAATTTAGAGAGTTTATTAAAGTGCAATCAAATAATTTATTCACTTTAGCCTTAGATCACCTTTAAAAGATTTCGCCTATTTTAATAGTAATAGTTTATCATTTTGAAGATATAACAAATATAAAATTATTTGAATTGCTATTTTAATATTCTCAAATCTTCTTAAAGCTGCTTATTAAATTTGTTATGTAATGACTCTAACTGAGAAGTACATTATAAAATTTAGAGTAGATATATTATTAAATTTAAAAATATTATTAATTTTATTCAAGGAATTAGAAAATTAAAATATTTGACGAGCTGTATTTAAATTGATAAGTATTAATTAATAAATAAGAAAAATCATACATTGAATCAGGAATCTGAATCGAAGGAAAAATCTCCTTTGGATCATAATGACCACTCTTGATAACTTTTTGGCATAATTCGTCTCTCCATGCTGAAGAAAAGAATAAAATATAATTAATCTTTAAATACCGAATTTTTGCAAATCTATATTAATCGTTTTATTATAACATTCTTAATCAATATTTTTCCATACTTCAATAAAAAATTAGGAATTTTTAAAAAAAGTGTATTTTTTAAAATAATAAGTTAAACTTCTATTAATAAATTGATAGTTTGATAATGATTGATTTCAATAAATTTTTGTTTCGAAAATTTTATTCATCATGAAATAAATATAATTTATATTCACTTTTTGTGGGGATACTTTTAGCAGTTGTGGCTATATTGTTGCATTAATATAAATGATTATATGTTGATTTCTAAGAATGAGGCATATAATAAATTTTTTTAACGACATAATAAAATGATAATATTCGAATAACAATAATAATTTTATTCAATGTTATATTTTATTTTGCATATAACGATATCTAACGCCAGATTGGACTTTAATAAAATTAAAGAATATTTAACAAACTTTTTTAAAAAACATTTATCAGATTTAAATTAAAGGGTTTACCGATAACTATTTTTTTTTATAGGATTGTTCCTAAAGTTCGATACCATTTATATTTAAAAATTTAATCCAAAAAAATATCCATTTCAATTAATAATATAACATTTTAAAATGGCTATTTACTTTACCTGCAGTGGTATAAATAGAGGTAGGAGTTACTATATATATTTTAAATAAAATAACTTGTATATTAAACACAATTCGAAGTAATTCAAAATCATAAAAAATAAAATTTGGTAACATCGTATGAGCTATAGGATCGGGCATAAATATTGTAATGTAAAAGAACCCTGGGAATTTTATAAGCAGGACAATCAAATTTTATAAAAATGTATTGATATGAAACGCAGATTATAGTTATAATAAATAAATTGATCGAGAGGTTTTCAGACCAGAAAAAGATCTTCCGTTGTAGAAGGAGTAAGATTCGGCAAAATTCGAGATCTCAACTTTGTCGGTTTAAAATTTTTAAGTTTGAAGTTCCTCCTACATGAGTCTTTTAAGTTTTTGTATTTATATTCAATGATAGGGTCAAATGATTCTTCAAAATCACTTTATAACCGGTGTTTTTTTTAACAACTAAGTTTTTAGCTTATATTTAAATTTCTTTTCATAATATTTTACCGATTTTTAAATTTAAAAAATTAGTTCAAATTAATCATATTATTAGGTAATATGAAATATGTATTTCAAAGGCATAACCAGATCCTAAAATAGTTAATTTACCAGATGATCCAGCTTTAGTAGTACTATCTATTGATATATAAATAATTATTAACGCATATCATTATCAAAAAATTAAAATGAGAGAAATAAATAAATCATTTTAAACATCAACAAAATCATAATTTATCTATATATTATTTTTTTTAAATATATTTTATGTTTTTCTAATAAAAGAAAAAAGACAGTAGTTAATGAAATCGTAAATAAAACCTAAAAGCGATTGATAAAAATTATTATAATTTAATTAAAGTTCATGAAATGTTTAATAAATTTATATGCCTTTTATAGTTTTGTTAAATGATTCGATTTCAGCTGATTTTTAAAAACGCCTAACTCAATTTTGAAGAATTGTCCAAACCTTTGCGCTGTCTGTGAACAAAATATTCAGGCTTGCTCTAATTATTCTGGTAAAATTTTGAGTTAGCCATATATAAAAATAGGCTCAAATCCAGCCGTTTAACAATATAAAATATTTTTGAGTTTTTTAATATATCCTTTTCTTAAAAATAGGAAATAGATAAAATATATTTCAAAATCCTGACCAGATCCAAAAATAGATAATTCAATTATTTAATAGTCAATCTCATCTGTTAAATATCATATTGTACAAACTGTTAATTTACATAATTCTTTTTAAAAAGATTAATATATTTGAGTATCCCGTCCAAGCTTAATGAAATTAGGTATAAATTGTATCGTGATAGGAATTAATTGTATCAGATAAATTAATAAAATTAGTACCCAATTTGCTTTAAATAATATTAATTACCAATCTAATTGCATTGAGCATATGCCAAATTACAAGAAATAATAATGATTTTAAAATAACTTTCTTTTTATATATGATAATAAATATAAAAATCAAACCAGTTCCGGAAACAGTTGATTCTCCCGATGATTCTGGTTTAATGGTACTATCTATTAATGTATAAGTAAAAATTAAAACTATTAGAAAATTTTTAGCATATAATATGGTATAAATTATAAACTTTGCAAAAATTATTAATATAATTATAATATAATAACCCAATTCAGAAATAGTTGTTTCTTGCGATATTGAGCTAGATTTAGTATCAAATGCTATTAATAAATAGATAAAATTAACTATTTATCTAATAAATTGTTGTGCATTCCTTTTTAATAAACCTTTATAAAAGGTAAATAATTTTATTAGCTACAAATTGATATTCTTCAGATGGATTTAAGGACCAATTTGCGTATCTTCTTTCCCAAAAAATTTAAATTCTAATCCGGTTGATATAGCCGAGAAAAAAAACAATGAAATATTCCAAATTCACAAATTATATTTTTACACCGATTGTTATCTCTTCCCTTGGACATATGCCACGCGGAACTTTAAAGTTTTTAAAAAATATAGGGGATAAGACAAGAGCCCTTACATCAGAACCTAAAGAATTTTATTTTTTAAAACAAAACCTTCAAATCACAATTTTAAAATATAATTACGCATGTTTTTTGGGAACTTGTAGTCCCACCTCCGTTTTTATATAATATTGTTTTATTTTATTTTATTTTATATTTGATGTGAGAAACTATATTGAATAAAAATATTTACAATCAAAAAAAAAAAAAATTATATCTCTAATAGAAAAATAAAGTCTTAAATATGAAAGTAGAATGTCCCATACAATAAGTATAATTTTGATTCTTAATGAAATGTTTCCTTTTTATATTGTTCTAACTATTTATCTATAATATTACAATCTTTTAAATAAGAAACTTATCGCTTATTATAAATATAATTATTAATTCAGTATACATATCCCTAATTACACAGTGTATCATACAGTTTTATGTTATAAGATAATTTATTTTTAGTAAATTTTAAAATATATAATATATTATTTAAATTTTATCAGAGAAGTGCAGGTACACGGGTCGGGTTGTATTTTAATTTTTTTAAATATAACCGGGCCTGTCTGTATATTTTAAAACCAAATATTTGAAATCGCCATTTTTAGCTATAAAAATCAAAAATAAATAAAATATTTTAAAAATTCCGGGTCGGGCCGAAAATAATTTTTGAAAAAAAAATCTGGGCCGGGCCGTACAAATGGTACCTCTGCATGTCTCTGATTTTTATTAAAGAAACTCATGAATTTATTTTTCAAAATGTGAAGAATTATTAGGTAACACCCAATATTTAAAATATAACATTTCAATTCTCTTTTTTTTAAATTTTGAACACTTATTCTAAAATATTATTATAGACTATTACAGCTGTTAATTTTACTAGAAAATTTGGAATTTAATAATTAAAACTAAATTGTGTGTTTAGTGTATGTTAGATAATTATAAAAAAATTGTTTTCTTAGGCTGTGTCCAAAGTATCAAAAAAATTTAATCGCGCAATTTGCGCAAATCTAGCGAAAAAAAAATATAAGCCATTTTTAATGGAAAATTAAAATGTTGACCTAAATGATTTTTTCAAATTTCTATAAATACCAAAAAATGATTTAGGCCAAAATTTTAATTTTCCATTAAAAATGGCTTATATTTTTTTTTCGCTAGATTTGCGCAAATTGCGCGATTAAATTTTTTTGATACTTTGGACACAGCCTTACGAATTAACATTTAAAATTAAAAAATAATGAAATGTTATTATCCGAAGAAATTAAAAGATGATCACATTTTATCAACAATTCATAATACAAAATTTTTAATAAACTTCTAAATTAATTATTTGGGCCCAAAAGAGCTCAATTTAAAAATAGATAGATTTTCACCGATTAAAATAATTTTTTTTTAAAAAAATCTAACTCTCTCCGCTCTTAATTATAGCTTTTTCTAGTTATTTTAAACGAAAACAAATAATATTATAATTTTTTTTTCTATAACAAATTTCTATCTTGCATTCGAGTTATCAGATTTTTTTAAAATGTCTTAGGGTCATCTTTGATTTTGAGTTAAATATCAAATCTTTAAAAAATATCTTGTTGAAGTAATTTATTCAAAAATATGAGACAATATATTATTTTCTGAATAATAATAACCAGATCCGAAAGGAGTTGTCTCTTGTATGACAGTTTTTGTGACATTTTCTATTAATAAATAATTTAAAATTAAGCAAACAATTAAAGGTTTTGGTGCTATTTTGCTAGAATATATTTTTTTTAATCAACTATAGGGTATTATCCTGCATTCACATTAACGAGGATTCGCCACGTATAAAAACACAACATATTTTATTTACTTCGCCGCGAATTCGAGCTAACTGTGAATGCAATATAATAGATATTTTTTTACTACAAATAATATCTATAAATTGAGACCCTCACAAATTAAAAATATATTTTATTCAATTTTCTTCGCCTGCCAGTTTTGTCTGATATTTTAGTAATTTTCAATAAGAAGACTTAAAATCTGTAATATTGAATATTGCATTATGCTTCTTCTGATCAAAAAATTTCTTAAATAAAAATTTTTATATCATATATCATATATGATATTTTCAATTTATAAAATTATCCAGATCCGAAAGTAGTTGTTTCTGTGAGTTAAACACATGAAAAATAAATTGAATTAATAATAATTTTGTAAATTTTTTTAGTATTGGTTAGATTTTAATGATAAATTTTATGCTTCTATTCCATACCAAAATATCATAATTACAGCAGAAAAAATCTATATTGCTATGAAAAATACGCTATAGATTAAGAATTTTGACTTAGTTTGATACAATTTTTATATTTCACATTCATTCGCATAAAATATTTTACAGAAAAATTATAAATTTAGATATACAGGCCATTCTTGCCATGAGTCTGATTATATCAAAGAAATTTAGAGAAACTATTTTAGATGCGAGAAATTTTGATAGTTGAGAAATGTTATTGTTGACAATTTTCCAAAAATATCGCTATAGGAAATATATTCAATAGATTAATATTCCTCATAATTAATTGTAATAAAAATCGAAAATTTCTCATTAAGAATTAATGTTATCAAATGTAAATGTCTAAGATATATTATAGAAATTAGTTACTAATTTGTGTGAAATAAAACTAATTTTAAATTCGACATTTATCTAATTGCATTGAGCTATAACGGGGTTACATGGAACAATATTGTCCGAATAGTCTAGTACTTTAATGGCTTCATTTTTAAATATGGATAAATTTAAAAATCAAATTAGATACATAATTTAAAATTAAACAAGTTATTAAAGGATTCACTATCATTCACTGAGTGAATAAATTTTTAATTGAATAAAAGCGGTTTTTTTGTAACTACAGACAATATCTATAAATTGAAGCCTTCACAAATTAAAAATATTTTTCGGTTCCCATTCAATAAATAATTAAAATTTGAAAAGAAATCATTTAATTCAACAGATCTTAAAATTATAATTAAAATTGGGTAGGTTTTACGAACTGATTTTAAATAAATTAATTTAATCATTCATTTGTCTGAATATATATTTTATAAAAAATTATTGCATATCATTAAAAATGATCAATATTAAAAAATGTTTTTACTCAAACTGGTAACAGAAACAATAGATGGTGTTGTTGATATTGTTGTAGAATCTAAATATTTAATTAATGGTCTTCATTCATTAAACTTTTTATTAATATTGTAAAATATAAATGAATGCTACTTAATTATATATATATTGTATTTTTTTAAAAAAGAATCACGGTTATAGATTATACTATAGAAAAATTACTGAAATGGCGTTAATTATTAATTATAAATTAAATATATATCGTTTGAATTATATAAACCTTGGCATATACGTAGCAATATGTTGCTTCTATGTTTAGTGCCCTGAACTTCAAGATGTCCAGAAATCCTGATGATGAAAGAATTATCAATAGAAGTTTGAACATCATTAGACACTATAATGCGATCTGCGTGTTGCTTTATTATTGTCTACAAAAAAAACATGATTTATATTCATGAATTTTAGCATTTTTTACAAATTTTTCTTTAATAACATGAAAGAATTTAAATTTATCAAAAATATAAACTTAAATTATAGCGAAATTACTTTTGTATTAGATGCGATGGGCAACGTGCACAGAATATTGCTATCGATATTTTTAAAACTGTAATAGCATATTGATAATTGATTATTGGAAGAGTTTCCTTGAATTGTTTTCAACTAATCAGTAATAAATTACAAAAAAAAATATAAATTTTAAATTAAATTATCAATATATTCGTGTATTTTTAAATTGAGAATGTTAAGTTATTAATTTAATATAATATAAATGTTTTCATTTATTTATGAAAAAAATTAATTATACATCACTATCGAAGGCGCTGATGGAACCAACTCCGATAATGCTATTTGCTAAATAAAGTTGGTCTTTTGTATTCTCGCTAACCGAGCTTCTGTAGCAATCTATATCTTCCTCATTATAATTCTGTCTTGTATAAATATTTCCTCCATCTATGGACCAAATAATTTCGTTTCCATTCCTTAACAAGCGAACTTGGGGACTGATATATAATTTTTTGTAATTTTATAAATAATTAGGGTGAAAATTGCAAGATTAGGCTAAATATTATATTAAACTTAATAGTGATTATTTTGTTTTTTTAAGAGGTTAGTTTTTTTTTATTACAAGTAGTGTTGTTAACTTATATCAGTGATTTATTATAAATTTCTATACATTTCAAATAAAAATGTTTAATTTATGCTCAATATTATTTATTTTAATAGAAATGAAATCTAAAATATATCTAAAAAACTATAAGTCTCCCATTAGAAACAAACTAAAATATTTGACATTTATCCCCGTGATGAATTTTCCTAAATAAAGGTATATGGACCTCTGTATTTGAATTGAGATAAAGGATGAAATAAATGAAACAAATTATTTTCATATCTTACATTGAATCAGGGATCGGAAATGAAGGGAAAATCTCTCGTGTATTATAATGACCACTTTTCTCAACTTTTTCGCAAATTTCATCTCTCCATTCTAACAATATAAAATAATATATAAACTTCAAATAAAATACCAATTTAAGCAATTTTATTAAATTATTGTAACAATAATCGATGTTATATCAAAATTCCCATGGAAAAATAGAATTTATTTTATTTTCTTTCAAAATTAATAATTAAAATAATAAATTCTAGTTTTTTAAGAACATTTATTGGTATTTTGATTTTTTTCCTTATAGAAAATAAATTTTAAAAATATCAGCATTTTCTGGTAATTCAAATCATATTTTTACTTTTGCAAGAACATCATAATATGTATATATCAAATTGCTATTTTTTTTTAAATTTAAATTTTCAGGTTAAAATTTAATAATTTTTTAATATTTCTAATTTTAGGGATTACCTGGCCTCCACAGATTTTTAAGAAAAATTTTGTGTATTAATAAGTTTCAAATATCTTGTATGATTAAACTAAGCTATTAAACGTCATATTGCCATTGACTAATAATAGCCTTTTATTTTACTATAAAATTTAAAAATCAATTTATTACCAATAAATTGATAATAAAAACCCGGAAATGGACATGGAAAAAGTAAATTTTTTTTCTTTATGAGCTCAAAAGATTTGTTATAGCTAAAATTCATTAAATTTAACATATAATATATATCATTCATATTAATAATATATAATATTTTTTGGTAATCAAATATGAATGATATTACCATTCTATTTTGACCATAAGAGACATAAAACTACTATATATTACATTTTCATATTAAAGGGCTATAATTAAGCTATATAATAATATAAAAGATCAGCTTAATTATTTACCGATATTTGAAAGTAACTTAAGTAATTTATATAAAATTTTAATTTCGTATGAGTCAATATCTCCGGAGAAACGGAATTGGAAATTGAAAAAAAATTCCTCTTGGTTATAGTATATATTATATACATTTTATAAAATTTTAAGAAATTGATGGGTTGAGATTGAAAATAAACTTTTGGTTAAAATTCTACTATATAAAATTTTGCATTTCTATCAATTTTGATAATAATTTCTTTCAAAATAAATTTTTATTCAAGAAATTTTTTAAGAACTTAATTTATTTTGAAATTATTAATAATTCTTTAATTAAAAGAGCCCCTTATTGATCAGTAAATTTACCTTTTGTGGGGGTATTTGTAGCTGTTGTGGCTATATTGTCATAAATAATTAAATTTTCAGAAAAATACATAACATAAGGCTAAATATTTTAGTATATGTAAATTGATTAAATAGAAAGCATCATTATTTTTTTAGCTATAATATGTTTATAAAAGGTTACTGGCAGTGGATGGGTTAAATGTAAATAGTGTCGTTGAAGTTAAGTCTATGGATTCTTAGTAAAATAAATTTTATATTTATATATTTTTTTTAAAATAACTATACTTGTAGAAATAGGAATTACTGTATAAAATAAATTAAAATATAGATATTAATTTATGGTCTAGAGAAAATATCTCAATTAATAATCACATATGTACGAGTTTACTTACAAATCAAATAAAACATTGTAAGAAAAAATATAGAAAAGGATTTCCATAATTTAACGACTAACTATGTAAATATTAAAAAATTTTAACCTGAGTTGCAATTTTGTAACATAATTTTGTAAATATGTTTGTTTCCTTTGATCTGAAAATTTCCTCTGATATAAGTTATAAATTTATTGGAGACTTCCAAGGTTTCTTTTCCACCATTAACTGTTTGAATTATTTTATAGCTATTTGGCATTTGTTCAATCGTATTCTATAATAGATGTATTGTTTTTGTTCAAAAATTGCTATAAAAAACTTCTTTTTGACTTAACTAAGTATGCTTGCTAATACTTAATTAAATTCGGCTTTCTAAAATGGAACAGATTGAGGAGCAGATTCAGAATTTTTATTAAATTGGATGCAGAATTTCAACATTTATTTCGTGTTAGCAAAAATATTTCGCACAAAACTTTTCAAAGTTTATTTAGTGCAAAAAAGATAAAGAAAAAGACAAATGGTAAATAAAAATTCGTTAATTTTATACTCTAACCATGGCTAAAAAAACATGTTAAAATATTTATAACTTTAAAACATATAACTCGGTTTCTATCAAATTGTTTTTAAAGATCAATTGAACTTAATACCTTTGAAATTCTGTAAAATTTGATCAAACGGTTTTTAGAAGACAAAACCTTAGTAAAAAATTTTGAAGTATGACCCTTTATTTTGCAAGTAAAATTAATAAGTGGAAGATGAGATTGTTACATATTATACAAAATAAAGATGATCGATAGCATATATTTGGTTAATTACATTTATTTGGTAATTCTATAATTGTGTTTTTAAAAAAGATACCATGTATTATAATTTATGATTAAGAAAATATTTTGAAAAAAGTAAGTGTACAGTTTTGATCCAACATAATAGGAACCTACTAGTCTGCTTTTGAAACATATATTGAGGGTCTTGATTTATTTTTTGAAAAATTTTATATTTTTTTTCTCAATTTTTAAAAACGACTTCATTCAAATTCTTAAGAATTTTGTAAATTTTAAGTTCAATAATTTAATAAAATATAAAATTTCGGGTGACATGTCGCGATTAGAGTTATAAAGATTTTAAAATTAGATCTTTTTTTAGCCGCCTGGTATAAATTTATAAACAAAAAATATTAATTTTGAAAATAATCTCTCATTAAAGATATATAATATAAATAACTGACTTTTAACAACTATAATTATTAAACTATTAGACCTAAATTCTATAGATCTTTAAGAACTAAATTGTGTACACTCTAACATCATAATGATATTGAGGCTGAATAAAGAAAATTTGACACATGAAATTTCTTTCAATGATTAACTGAATATATCTGACGTCTCAATTCTTAATCAAATAAGTATTGTGAAATAATAAAAAATCCATTCGTATCAAACTTCATCTTCCATAAAAGGAGTGAGTAAACAGATGAGAGTTGTTGTATTATCGACAAAGTTTAAAGTGCATATCATGACTGGAGGGCAATTATCAAAACTATTATTCACTAATATCTTCAGCTTTAAATGCATGCAAAAATTTAATCAATTTTTAAAGTTATATTTTAAATTATTTTATAAGTTAAAATCAATTAAAAATAATATTTGCAATCTAAAAAGAATATCGTTAAAAATATTTACATCACTATCTATAATATGTTTCGACTTGGAAAAACTCTCTAACCAAACTATTTGATTTTCCGTTTGTCTATCGATACCATGGGCATTTTTAACTTTCAATTTAGGGATGAATATATCTTTGCCATCAATAGGCCAATAAATAATATTGTTATCGCGAATCAAATAAATATCATCGCCGCTAAAAATTTAATAAAATTAGATATAAATAGTTATATAAAATATAATATTAATAATTTTATATTTTTTTTAAAATTTTACAATATTTTTGGGATGTTAGCATCATTGATGAGAGTCCTTATCTTATAAAAATTAGACTCTGTAACAGTATCGCATATTTGTTGTGCATCTAATTATTTTTTTAAACATTATTTTTAAACTCAAAAATAAATAAATGTAATATTCTAAAATATTTCTATTAACAAAAACTAATTGTTAAAAAGGAGAGATTGTAAAAAAAGTTTGGGCAAAAATATATTCTTTTTTTATGGTGTACAATAAATCTCGTTATGGATAAGTTCTAAGCAGATGCAAAAATCCTATTAACCGACATAGTTGATTTTATTAATTATAGCAGGTTTAGCGAAAAATATTATTTTGATTATTTTTAATTTAAAATAAAGCAAATTTTTTAAAAATTCTATCACTAATAAAACAATACAATTTATATAATTTAATAATCAGTTAAATAAATATTTATGGCAAAATCTGTTGTATGTATAATTCATATTTTTTAAAAAAGTGAAGCTAACTATAATGAAACATTATTAGATGGACAGAGTCAATAACGAAATGTTAATTATAAAAAATTAACTATAACCGAATAATTTAAAATGTTAGGTCTAACTTTATATTCGTTTTTTTACCATCAAGTATACCTCATATTTAATAAATTCAATTTTAATTTTCCCTTTTCCACCATTTTAAAAAACTAATAATAAAATATTATACTAATTCTGTCATCTTCAT